TAAATGCCTGAGTAATAGCGGATAGCAAAGCTAAGGAATCGTCAGTGATTGTCTCGGTGGGCACGTTAGTTACCTACACCATTTACCCATTTTTTAAACCTATTTGAGATTGAGATTGCACTGTGAGAATCTGTTACCATTTGAAGAACAGGGTAAGATTTTATTTTTTTATAAGCAGTTATAAGTCCAGCATACAGAAACAGTATTTTAGTAAGTCGGATGCAATCAGGTAGTGTATTGTTTCGCAAAAAGAACTCGTTGCATCAGATAATAAATAAAAAAATGTTGATGTACATGTATTTCACGGATAGAGTTTACATAATCTGAAATTTTGGCCAAAATTATTAGTGATGTTAAAGGATTTGCATCAAACATTAAAAATTTGGATTTGCATTAAACATGTTTGTATTTCACACCAACCCATCGCCTCCAACTCTATAAGGTGCAAGTCCAACCACATATGGGATACTGCTCTCATCTCTATGCAGGGGCACCACAGTACCAGCTTCTCCCTCTGGATCGCATGATTTGTCGTAAAGCGGAAATGGATAGCAATACTGGTTCAATATTCTCACGGTCTTCAGTAGTCATTTCATGGCCAACCAAAATAGCTTGTGTTTAATAGTTTTTTTATGTTCTGTATACTACATAGCAATGTCTGTATTTTCTCAGTTTTTTTAAGGTTAAAATTTCAATCTTCGCAAAACACTGACCACTATGATCTTTCAATTTAATATAGTCACATTGAATTTTACTTTTTTCAAAACCCACGTACAGGGAAATTTGAATTTTGCCATATTTTCTTTTTAATCATATCTGACCATTTTTTACTTTTTTAAAGTTTTATATGTTTGAAATGAACCGTCTTTTCTTTTCTTGTACCTACACAATTAAAGGTGTATTTTTTTTAACAGATAGGTACATATATGTCCAATGAAAAGATTTTCTCTGAACACTGATTCAATGTTTTCAGTCTGGTATTTGATCTTGGTTTTATTCATCATTATAAACTGTTTTAAATGACATATTTAAAGCTATTGTTGTCACTTCACCACCTAAGTCTTCAGCCTTAAGTGTGAAAACCCAAAGCAAAATATAAAAAAAATATAATCCATCTTTTAAATATTTCGCTTTCTGTAAAGTTGTAAAAATACAAATATTTACAAGTATAGTTTATATTTTCCAGTCCAAAAAAAATAATAAATTACAGTTTAAAAAAACTAAAAAACACGCTTTTGTAACTAGTCGCACTAAAAGTAGAATATAATTTTCTATAAGTTCAAAAAGAAAACTCATTTTATCGTAAAAATGCGTGGGATGCTAGATCTCAATTGTTGTAAAAATATTTTATTGACTGATATTAGTAAAAGTTCTTATATTATATAATAAAATATCTTGAAAAGTACCCCACCCCTTTTATTATTTAAGACATTAATGAATTGAGGGACCTAGATATGCCACGACATAAATCTTTAATGTCATATTCTACATATTTAGGAATTTCTTAAAATCTTTAAGAAAATCTTGACTTAATTCTTAAATAAAAATGATTGATCCAGAGATAGTACTTTCTGCGATTTAGGCTATGCCACTTTATGCAAGCGTCTAGATATGAGCGTCTGAACTGTTAGGATTAGGATCCAACAAGTTGGGCCCTCAGCCCAAATTGTTAGATCCTAACAGTTTTAATTCTAGTTTAAGAAATTAATTTTCCTTTGCTGTAAGTTATTACTATTTTTTACTAATTTTCCTATAAATCTTATTTCGTCTGCAAAGATTTAAAAAATGGGGCCTCGATCCAGATGCACACGCAAAATAATGTCGAAAATAGTGATTTAAATGTTATAGATAAATAATAAGTTGCCAAGCTTCTGTAATTGTTGGGCACATTTTAAAATTTGTTGCACTTATAGTTTTTTAGTTATTTCACAAAATAATTTTCTGTTGGGGTAACGTTACCGCAGCCAGACATTTTCTTTTGTATTTGAATTAAATATTAGCTATAAAATTAGTTGTCTAGAAGAGGTAATAGTTGTAACTTATTTTGTATTTATTTTTTCTTCAGCTGCGAAGTTATTAGAGCCTGCTGCAGTAACGTTTGTGGGTTTGTTGGATCTCTGAAAGCAGATTCTAATCATCTTTTGTATATGAGTTCTTAAGAATCAGTTTTAACTTGTTAAGTACAATTGCAAGGGAATGTTTTGAATTTAATAAAAACAAAAAAGTAATATCTGCTTTTATGGAAAAACTTCTTTTGTTCAAACGAAATCTAGGAAACAATCTTTATTTATGTTTGTGTGTTCTTGGGTAAACCCACTTCATACATGACGTAGGTTATGAAAATTGCTTTTGATACTCATTAACTGTGATTAAGTCATGGAAGTTTTAAATTAACATAATCACACCTACAGTATCTACAGACAGTAGATACTGTAGGTAACAGTAGGTACCTAGCGGCTGGCCTGTTGGCTTAAAGGTTAGTTAGTGGCCAGAGATCATGGGTTCGATTCCCACCTATGACAAATAATTGTGTGATGAGCATGATAATTTGTTCTGTTCTGGGTGTAAGTCATCTAGAATATGTATTTAGAAATATTAAAGTATTTCCATCTTACTTCTTTTCGCAAGGATTTAAAAATGGACCATCGATCCGGATGCATACTATTTATCAGCAGTCTGGTTACCATAGTAGTTTCTGCCTAGTTTGGGAGATGTAAGAGTTTGTTATTATTATTACTTATCTACACATTTTTAGAATGTTAAAGTATTATTTGACTATCCAATTCTTTCGGTCGATCTCGAGGTGCAGAGACGTGTAGCCATGTACTATTCAAGACAACAAAACTTGGAATGCGATTTTTTGGGCCCGCGGGATCGCGGTAAAATTACAACATTGCTTCAACAGTAGTCCGATGTCTATAATGACCTCATAGACGAATGGCAACAACGCTGGGACGAATCATCCAAGGGGCGCCATCTTTACCAATTCTTTCCATCTGTTCGCGAACGGTTGTCGAGGACATGGCTTGAGGTGGATCACTGTGTCGCTCAATTTCTTACGGGTCATGGTAACTTTAAGAGCAAATTGTATTCATTTAAATTAGTCGAGTCACCATTGTGTCAATGCTCAACACCTAACTCTCACTATGAACCGTCTGCTCATCATATCCTCTGGGAATGTAGTCTGGGGCGGTATACTATGGGGATCTTGTGTCAACTAGGGTGAATTTCCGTGTGTTTAGGCGATTCTGCCATACATATTGTAGAAATCAAATATAGCTCACGTAGGACCCGTAATATTTTGTGGCCGTGGTGCTTCCCTGTTTAAAAGGGTGTATGCCTATTATACTTCATTTTGTCTCCCGCTTTGCTAAGGAAGGAAGTGGATTTACTGTATTTCCAACTGATCCAATTTTCTTCTGATTAATTTTGTTGCGGGTAATTTCTTCCTGGGACTTCCCGAGTCTCATAACTCGGTGTGTTCGTGGGTCACTGCTGTGGATCCTGGTGTACAGGAGTTACAGTGGTGGGCGTGTGGGTGGGATTAGTCCCTATATCGAATTCTTTGATTGAAAGCCTGGCTTACAGGAAATTATTAGAAGTTTGTCTAAGTGTCTTACTAGATAATACGGTAGTATAAGCGCAGATAATATCTATATCTGCCCAGAATGTTACTATACCAAGACCAATGTGACGATTCTTTTGACCTTTTGAAAATGATGATACCTATAGGCATTGATGTATTAAGCGGATAAAGCGTTACAATTAATGTATGATGTTGAGAGTTTACGAGACATCGGCAGCGGTTAAAATCGACCTCACGATTACGTTGGTGGTAGGCCTGCGCAGGCGCGTCAATCGTGCTGCGGAAACGAAGCGACCGTTGATTTCACTTTCATTTATCAGTGTGGAAAATCCACTGTTATCCGTGGCTGATTCCCACAGTCGTTTACTTTTTATTTTCTGTTCTGTTTTTTTAAACCTATTACTAGCATAATGTAGCATACTTTTGTACGTGGCTCTACTCTAACAATAAGTCTAACGTCTACTGGTTCTATCGTCTAATTATTACTTTTTTTTACAAAAAATGTGTAGAGATCATTGAAACCACTGGCACACAGTAAACCGTAACTAAAACTCGTACCAGAAAACTAGGACCAACCCGAGAGGGGTAACATTTGAAAAATCAATATTAAAAGGTGTACATAAGATGAATGTTTTTTTCTTAATTTGATTAAACTATAAGACAATGACAGGGTCCCATCAATCTTATCAACTAAACAAAAACAAAAACAACTTAACAAAAACAAAGTATGTAAAGGTGTATAATTTTATAAAACTCTTCATGTTCTAAAATCCGTAGCAAGTGACATTTTTGTGATTTATTAATGTTACTTATGTACGACATCTTCGATGTACAGTTATGTAATCTTATTCTAAAATATAAATCAGAAGAAGTGCTCTCGAAACGAGACTCATGAATTTCTGAATATTTTATCTTCTTCTCTGCATCTTTGTTTTTGAATTTGTTGATATTACATATTTTATTGCTGGTCTACACTTCACATAGGTTTGTAATTTATACATATGTCAATTAAAAAATAAAGTATAATTAACTTGTAAACATGTTTATAAGATGGTTAACATCCTCATTTATATAGAAATATAATGAAACTGTATACCTTATGCACATGCGAAATGGTATAAATGCATCGTGACGAGGACGTTAGTGGGGGCTGGATCTCAGCTTAAGGTTTTTGATGCGGAGAGAAAGTACACTTGGTGGTGGCCGAAGACCCCTGCTCAACAGCACTCGGTGGTATCCGCGCGGCCGCGGCCGACACTCGGCCGGCGTTTCATGGGCGCTCTGTTTGCGAAATAATGCCTTTGAATCGCTGACACCAAATTGGCCAGTGAACGCGCTGAGCGCGGAGATGCCGCGCAAATAAATAGCGGTGCGGACTAATGATAAAGCCACGTATTCGTACAGGAAACTCAAAATGTGCCAATGGAGTATTGTGACCTTAATATACGTGATCCTTGTATTGAATTCGTCCGCCAGAGAGATCAGTTCACCGGATGTCACTGTCCTTGACAATCATGTAAGTACAAGGCTAATTAGGGAATTAAGTTATTTAAGAATATTGTTATGCGGCAGTGGTTGTTATCAGTCACAGCTGCATGTGCTTCGGTGCATTGACATTATGCACGCACTTTTACTTTCATCAGCTGCGGTCGTTTAGCTTATTGCGTTTATGTGTACTGCTATAAAGTCATTGTTTATCTATGTTCTCATGATCTATACTTAGTCATGACATTTATGAATGTTATGTAATTACCTACTATATTTAATATTAATTTAAAACTTTCAAATAATTTTTTATTATGTAAGTTTAATGTTTCCCATACTAGTTTTGATGTTTAATGGAGATTTTTTGTACCGTAGATTTAGTTTAAAGCAAAGCTCGCCAAAAACCTTTTATTATATTTATTTGGAACTAACTATCAAAATCCAAATTTTGGCAATCTGTTTTAACTTCTAATCATCGTAACTAAATGAGATGACTGTGTGTTTTAAATAACTAAAAGGTATTTCAGTAATCTATTTTCTTCGAATATATTTATATCCATACAGTCTAATTAACTTGAACAAAGATAATCCTAACGCATCTTTGCTTTGTTTTGATTGACGTCAAATGTTTGACCGCTAGGAACAGGTGTTTTATTTTATTCTTCGGTTTGTATGGGAAAATAAAGTTTTGTTTTTACTATTTTCCTCGCAATTTTTACTTTTTGTTTTCTCCATAATAAGAACCTTCCATGAGCCATAACGAAAAATAAATTAGCCGAATTGGTGTAGCCGGTCTCGAGTTTTGCGCTTAGCACAACGCTACGAGTAGATTAATTGACACATACCAAAACATTAGGTAGCCATACATATTTTATGATAATGAGAATCGTATACCTATTTTTCCAAATCATATAATAATATGTTTCCAAATGAATTATACCTACCTATATTGTTAAAGAAACCTTCATTTGTAAGTATAAGAGATACTTCTTCCAATTTTTTCGGGATTTGGTTTAACACAGTTTATATATAAAATAAAAATAAAATGTTCAATTCAAAAAATTCGTATGATCTTCGTAATCAGCATTTTTTTAATTGCTGAAGTTTTTTTATGATTAGGTACTAATTAATCATCTAGGTTGAATTAAAACAGTAGGACTTTAAGCAAAATGTGTAAACTGTATTGTACATATAACTACATACGAAATATGTAGTTTTATTGCATGTTTAGATTTACCTATACAAATTAGGTAGGCAATAAACTAACATTTAATTATAATAGACTTGTGACGTTTTGTTTTTATTTGCACAAAATCTAACAGTACAAGTATCTAGATATTACCAAAGATATTATTATTATATTGTATTATTAGTACCCATATTTACTCGTAAGTATATATACCTTCTCACGCCTCTGTACCCGAAGAATTAGTTTATATAAAACGTTATTCTTATAGCGTCATACCTTTATGCGAATTAGTGTGTTGCCCGCACAGGAGGATTGAAAGATTTATTGTCATGGCATATGTTAATAATGCTCTTGTCAAAGTGTGCCATTACTACATATTAATTTATGTGCATACCCACTATCCGTAAACTATAGACAAGCTATACTTTTTCTTACGTACAGTGAGTAAAGTACCTATAGTGCGTTACTAATTTGGTTGTACAAAAGGATTAAATTAAAAAAATCAAAACTGTTTAAAAATGAGAGATAAGCTTATGATCTGCGAATGGCTCCACAGGTTTTTTAAATCATAGCCAAAACATTCTCGATTAGAGTCACTTTTGTAACAAAAAGCTAATTCCAAACCTATGCTACTTCAGAAAGACAAGCTAGCGTTAAACTTATAATACCGAGTAATATTATAAATTTAATAAACTTTATAAACAAAAGAAACATACCTACTTATTACAATAAAAAAACGGTTAGATTCGGTCTTATACACGGTCATAAAATGGCGTCGTGGCTTTAATAAGTGTTATTAAAGCCACGACAAGAAAATATTATTATGTAAGAAGATATAATTATTTCAATGCAATTTCGACTAAGGTGTGTGGGCAAAGGTTCATATTATTGTAATAGCCTTTTTTTTTTACAAAGTACAATTTTACCCTATTTGAACATATTCCTAAATAGCCAGATTTTATTAATTTAATAGGAACATATTGATTTTTGAATACTATGTGTAGTTGTTTGATTTTTTAATTTGATATTTTCCAACCTTTAAAAATTACCAAAAGAGGGCAGTCTAATTATGTAAAAATCTCGTTCCATAATTTCATTAATATCGATAATACGGAAGCGCTCCACTTTCGCTGATTACGTATCAGTATTCTTTGTTATATAATGTGTAAATCTGTAATTTGCGCGCTTGGATTTCCGTTCGTGTTGTATGTTTTTTTTTATTAAATTAACTAGTAGTCTAGCCTCTCAACAACCTCGATAATCACTCATCGTTAGGTAACCTAGTCCTACAGCCATGGCTAATTTTGTTTATTAGTTTTTATTATAATCGAACTAAATACTTTTCATAAATAATGCTTAAAAATAAGTGATTCTTAAGCTCCATTTGAATGATCAAATTGTGTTAGGAATATATAAATGATATATCATCATTATTATCATTATCAACAGCCTTTAACAGTGCATTGCTGGATAAATGCTTCTTCTTAAAAATGAGGTTTTGGCCTACTATGCTATTACTATTATGCTAAGGGCATAGCTCAAATCTATAAGGAAGATCATTAAATTAATGTTAATTTGATTTGACTCAAATACTTCAATTCGAAGGGTTTCAGTCAATCTACATATTTTTTTCATTGTCAAATTTTGTTTTATTTTCGCTTCTTATCTTTTATTCGCGCTTCCATCAGGAAATTAAAGGCTTTATTCATTAAATATAAGCATTAGTGTAACATTAGTGTACACCAAAATGCTTATACCTATACTAATTTTACGAAAAATAAACTACACACTATTACAATTACAAAACTCAGACTAACAAACAAAAATAACATAAAATTTGTAAACAAAAACAAACAACCACAAAAAAAAGCTACCCTTTAACATTTAGATAGATATAAATAGGTTTTCAAATTTTACTTTGGGAGTCAAAAAATATGTCTGTGTCTAGACTATACTGAAGAAAGTCCTTGATAAGCCTAATTGCTAGCAGTGGGGGCTATTGTCAAACTGGGGAGAGCGCCACGTAGGCGAATAGCACAGGAGTCTATGTTGTCGTTTTCCAACGCCATGCATATATTGGACGGGAACACAAAAATGTATTGATTCCCGTACAACAGGGCTATCTACCTTATTCGCCAGTATCAGACAGTAATGTATTATATGTGTGGATTGGCGTCTAAGTTGAATTGTATCTAAACCCACCATTCCTGATATAAAAATATTATGTAGGTATCTAGAGAATTTACGTTGAATTTTTTCTATAATAATATATATCTCCTCACTCCTGTTCATCCCAAACTATTGCATTATATTCTAATTTACTATACACATAGGCATTGTATATTTGTATTATAACTTGAGAACTATAATTTAAGCATTATATGTAGTTTCTTCCTATAGTTTTGAAGGAAGTGAAAATATCAAAGTAAGTAGCAGTATTTTTCTGGCCATTGCTACTTGCTACTTGTAAGATGTTACACTCAATTGTAAAACAGCTCAGGTTTCAACTGTTTTGTGGTCAGAAATAGACCTAAATAAAAAAAAAGGAAATTACCATAACTATGGATTATATAATAAATATGGACCTTAGTCTGAATTAGAAGGTTAATATTATCATAACCCTAAGAAAAGACTTCATTTATAACTAGTTGCATTAAGATTTGTTGGTGCTCCTGCCTAACTAAATTTCAAACTTTAAATATTTCTTGTGGTGTAAGCCAAAAGATAATGTTTTTGAATTTCCTTGTAAATGCAAAGCAAAATTTATCGTTTAGCGTTGTCTTCTTACCTTTGATAAACGGCAACGGATAACAAAAACGAGAGCACAGCTACAATTACCTTGTGAAAGGCACCGCAATCAAACTTTGGAAAGTAGTTTACTTACTGTCCTTACAAATTCACGGGTAACACAACAAAGCGAATAAGTGAAAATAGAAGCGTTCAACCGAGACTGATGAATACGTTGACGAATTTTCTTCGTCTTCACTTTTTTTAGCCGATGATGTTTTTGTTAAACAAAAACATAGATTTTATTAAAGTTGTGCGTACTATAATCTATATAAACTTTCATCGTCTGGTGAAACATTTGCCGCAATTTTCCTTCTCGGTTTTGTTTAAATTTTGAAAACATCTTAGATACATATAGATAGGTATATGACAGTTTTGTTTATTCGGACTTCTGATCCCCTTCTGCGAATATAGTATGCGATTTTTAGCAAAGCAACTAATTACACGATGTTCGATAGACTACCAAGCACACCGTTGAACTTGCAAAAAATTTCAGCTAGTTATACTGGATAGAAGACAAGGCCTTCTGCAGTCAATGGTGCTGCCTATGGCAGCCGTGGTCTGCCGGGGTTCTCGGGGACTTCCTTCCTAGGGTATACATGAGTCAATTGCAATAGACTCACATGGGACGGAATGCCGTGTGGTATTAGTCACGTACGTACCGTGAGTCCCGGTGAGGTGCGGTGAGTTGAAAAAAGGCATATTCGTATACATAATGTGCGCTCTTGCTGGTTTTGCGATTCTAATTCCAAACTGCAAAACGTATTTCAACAATTCTTAATGGCATTAAGAATCTGCTTTAGAATATAAGGCTACTGTCTTACTTAAGTCCATTATCACATTCTTCCATAACTTCCATTGATCCATCTAGATTTGTACCTCAATCCTCAAGACCTTGAACTTCGGATCGGTAATCAAGAATTAGCATGTAATCGCTGTCATGGCCGCTTACGACATTCAAATCAATTCATTAACCAGGTCACGGTACTTTCAGGCTCGAATGTGTATTATTATTTCAAGATTTTGTTTTATTTCAATAGGAACCTTGGTCTAATTCGATTGACGATTGTAGGACAAATCGGTATATTTTATTTTTGGAGCTAAAGTTTTATTCTTCAAGTGAGTATAGTTTTAGTTTCTCTATCTCATTGAATCTGTATTTCATGAAACTATTCTGTACCCATGAAAAACCAAATTATGCATAAATTAATGATGATCGGTTGAGTGGGTGTAAGCGTAATAAATAAACAAAGAAACTGACATTAGCATTGGTTTAGATTACATAATTGAGAGTTGATGTTGATGTACGAGTACAGCCCGTACCCTTGGCCGACAAAAGAAAATATTACCTTTCTTACTGCCATGGGTTCTCCCTTATTCACCATATATTACCTATATAAGTTATCACTTTTATTCTGTGATCGAGAAATGGTTTTACCTGCTGCATAACACAATGCTTATGATGACATACTACACTTAGTATTAACTTCGATTCTTGGGACCGCCAAGTTGTCCTAAAGTTTGCTCTGAAGTTTTTGCTCATAAGTTAAGTTGCCCTCTAAAGGACGCTTCTCACAACATATAATCAATTATAAGTATGATCTTAATATTTATTTATTATTTACATCTCTGACGACCCGTTCCAGTATATAGAGTTGTGAAGGTGAATAGGAACATATGTAGAGAAAAAATATAGTTCAATCCCTACTCTCAAGTCACCATTTAAGCACATGTCCATATGTCAAATCGCCAACCTTAGCCTCGTAAGCAATTCTTAAATCGCTATTGTTACGTCACAATACCATATTGTTAGATAATAGTGTGGACATTGTTTCGTCACACTTACATGAGTGGGTCGCACGAGGGAAAGTACGTAATGAATGATAATTGAGTCTCGGAGACTGTCGAGTGACATTCGGCCCGGCTTCAGACTTCCCAGTTTGGTTGTGTTGACACACATTGGTTGTTTTCTTAATCTGGAATGTCTACTATTTTTCGTAACAGTATGCTTTTAGGGTAAGCAGCAAGGTTACAGCACTAGTTTTGGTAATATACCTACGAGTATATATTAACTTGTGAAATTACTGAGACTAACCTGTTCGATGACTTCAAAACTTTTGATACTCATTAGAAATCAATGACGAGTTGTGTGGCTAGGATTTCCTGACTAGTTATGTATAATGTGAACAGAAGGCTGTCCTCGTAATAAAATTTCGGTCTCAATTCAGTTCCGATCAACTTTCGATCTCACAACTGTCGTAAAAGGTATTTTCGTAGTAAATTATTGAACACCCAACGTTGACTGTAATGTGGTTATATCGTATTTTAACCGAAAATTGAATCGGTAATCTGCTAATCTTAGTAATACTTTAATATTTTACTACGAAAGTACCTTAAATGACAGTTGTGAGATCGAAAGTTGATCGGAACTGAATTGAGACCGAACTTTTATTACGAGAATTCTCCTTAAGGTAAATAGTTGTTATAAGTCTTAATGTACTTTAGTTTGAATTGAATCGCCAGTAGCTATATTCATAAAGACATCTCAACGCCAATGACAGGATGCAAGATTGGTGACAATCCGGTTTATATCCGTTAATAAAAAAATAATGTTTGATATTTTTATTCTCGTTATGGTATAGTTTGGTAAACTCAGTCGCACTCATTCGTGACTCACACTTAGGCAATTACATACATTTGGTATAGATATTTTTATTATTCATTGTAAAGGCTCTGTGCCATCTTTTTTCTGTATGACTAATCTGATTCACTATTTTAAAATAGGCAGAAGATCTAGCATTCGGAGAGTCCTAGGAAAATTCAATGTTGCACTTACTTAACTAATTTAATCAGAAGTAAATTAAAGGACAAAAAAAGCACACCATAATTGAAACTTTTCCACTTTCTTGCTTAAAAGATGAGAAAAAAGTAAATAGACGTCTTGTAGAAAAAAAGGGCAACTAGGGCTCCCTACACTTTTGGGGTCGGATTGGTCGGAAGCGGCTTAGCTTTAATTACAATAATAAGTGTCTTAGTTACTTCTAAATGAGCAGATTCGTCAAAAAATTATCAGTAAACACAAGGTCTGTATACAATCCACCCCCATCGTGTCGTTCTTATTAATGGCATAAAGTTCATAAAGAATATATAAACATCTAAATGTAGCAGTCTTATGTTAGTGAATGAATAAGTAGTTATGAACAGAAAAATCTCTGCAGTTATATAATAATCAGGGATGTAAAAATATGCTTGCAAAACAATGAGTAAGAGAGGAAGACATGACAAATTACACTAAATTATTCTAATTTACACATATATGCTCTTATATGTTATGCAATAAATAAAACATTATAAAACCTTTGCGCGCTCTAATGGGTTCTTAACGCACTAAAGATTACCCGTCTTGAGATGAGAAAGTGAAGTTAAGTCAAAATTTAAGTGGAATAAAAAAGGATAATAACATGCCGGAACAAGGCAGTTAAGATTGTGAAAGCAACATTGACATTAGTTGCCAATTAACAACGGGATTGTATAACCATGGAATAGCGTGCGTGGCCTGCGCCGCGAAAGTAAGCCGTGTTGCCAACGTCCAAATGGTAAACAAAACTTACATAAGTGCATTTCCTACGGTACCGTCATTTTTGTATGCTTATGATGTAATTAAACATAAAAGCTAAAATGCCGATTTGAATGCGGTGTTTAAGTAATTTAGCACGATTACCTACTTCCGACTCAGACATGTGAGCTGGTAGAAAAAGTGTTATGAAATACCAAGGAATCAAAAAGCAATACCTACCTTATATGCGTCATGTCGATTACTCTTTATAGAAAGAGATGTTCTGCTGTATGTGACGTAAACGGTTATATTATACAAGAATCAATCTAATAGTTGAATCTCACGATACATGTGTCGTGTAAAGGTATTTGATAATGTTTTTTTGGGAGCTACTTCCGTGGTATAGTTATTAATTTTTCATTTAAGTGTAGAATTGTTTAAATAACTAACTTTTTTTTTAATTGACTTAAATGCGCCTAAATCATTGTAATTGTAATAAATCGAGTACATCATTCCTTAATTTCAACTTAGGGGTGTTATTTTTTTCTTTAAATTTGAATTATAATAAAGGGGAAGTAAATCCTTTCAATGGACGGCGATAGACTGATGATGACTTTTAAATTAAAAAAAACAAATCTCACAAAAGAAGAAAAATAGAGCCGAATGAAGGACTTTTTCCTTTTTAAAGTCAGCTAACAGTAAGGCACGCTAATTGTGTTATTAACCTTGCATATAAAAGCCTTCAATAATTATACCTCTACTATATTTCAGGGGCTAATTTCTGTAAATACAAATACAGAGTAGTTAGTCATAGAAATTATTACTTTGAAATAAATTGTAAATAAGTCAATATATGTATGTGTATGTAAATAAAAAAAAAACACACCTTGTTGAGCGGTTTGATCTTTTGTTTGAACCGCTTATAACCTGATGCGGTTCAAACAAAGAGGACCATGAAACGTTTACTCGACAGATCATCAAATTTTTAACGAATTAAAAAATAAACACTACCATCCACTAATTTTTCAGGTTTCTTCAGGCAACAGAACTCAGAGATTCCTGTTCGATGCTATCTTCGGTTTAGAGGTGCCCATTCTCGAGGAACAGAGCGTCGAGGATGACGAAGATGATAATCAGGTGAAGCAGTGCTCATGTGGTAAGTTTGACATGATAGATTTTTATATTTAGAACTCCCTAACTACATTCATGAGGTCCGAAATAAAAGAGGTTAATTAAATCTATCCGTGTGGTGACGGATTAAGAATACGGAATGTCGCCACCCCTATTCATCCCGTGGGTGTCGTAAGAGGAGACTAAGGGAGTTAACTACGCAGGACAACAGCACTGCAAAGAGAAGGCAAACTTGAAACAAATTCTATACTAACCCGTTTGCCCAGCGTGGTATAGTAGGCCAAAACCTCCTTTTTAAGGAGAGGCCAATGTCGAGCAGTGGACTATTAAAGGCTGTTGATGATGATGATTGATGAATTAAATCTGCAATGCTAATGATAGTTATCCTAAGTCTCATTAGAGATTGATCAAGAGTGAGATTGGTCGATGAGTTCAGTTCATTATCGTTTTTATTTAAAACATTATTAAGTGAGGTCAGTGATAAACTTTCCGGAACTAAAAGGTTTATTTATATTTATAAATGCATAAAAATCAACTTCAAATAATATTAACCGTTATAGAATATTCTATCATATTTTGTTAAAAGTTTTCCTTAATATAGTGAACTACATTGAGTATTTGTATTTCTTATCAGCGAATTGGCTATAACGATTTCACATGATACAGTAAATCTAGCATTTTATAACAATAGGCATCCGAATAAAGCGCTGGTTTCTTTCATTGATATATTATATGTACTTCGCACTATGTAATTTAAGTCAAATATTTATCTTAATTATATTATGTATAAGTCTAATTAAGTAATACAGGTCGTTACTGAGACCACTAAAGACCAGTGTAGTTCGTTATCTTATTATATCTCCCATTAAATAGGAATTGTTCATAGATATGAGTAAAGTTCGGCATCGATTTTCGAATATTACCCATTAGTTCCAAGATATTCTAAATTCTTTAAATAAATTACAAAGCACTTAAAAGGTAGATACTGTGAAAAAAAGTCTATTTTGGAACAATTTAATACATATTTCATACTCGTGCAGTTAGTGTTGCACAATTCGTTAATTTAATGAACTGCACGCAAGATTGGATTAAGGCAAAGAGGACTGAATACGTGTTAGGTTTTTTTATATTTTATTTTTTCAGATCTTCTTTCAGATAATTTTAAGCATTTAAGAAAGACCTTTTTTAAGTACTTACTGATGAGAAAATGTTTCTCTTAAAAGTGAAACAGCAGATTCAGTGAAAATATTTAGAAAAGTCATTCCAGATATGAAGAGTTTAATATCCCTCTCCGTCGCAGTAGTCGCATGGTCTAATTTAATGTACTTAACTAATGCGAAAAACCAATTCCTTAAGCGTTAATATAGTCTCAAGCGTTCATATGAAAACAAAAGTGGACCTGGCGAGAGGAATTGTACACGTCATGCATTATACAGAATAAATAAAAAATTGACTGTAGTAAATATTTATTACGACAGTAGGATTTAGGATAATAAACATGATATTTTATCAATTACGTTAAACAGAGATATCTATAAACCAAGAGAGCTATGGAGTCTATATGTAAATTGCCTGGATTTTGTACTTTAAAGACCTTTTCACTGGACCTGTTATTGAAGAATATAAAGTCATAATAAAAATTATTTCACTGTGTATACATACTCGTACATTTTCCTACACCTTTTTATAAGCACAATTCTTCGCAAACCTAATGTTCCGTCACATTCACTTTTTAGAGTGCGGCAGGGCAAACCCACTCCCTAGAAAGATGGGTAAGTTATTAGTGTACATCAACCTGTATGTAGAACTCTGTATATCACTGCTATACTTAGTTAATTACTGTAAGGATTGTTACTAACAAACGTGTAAAAAATAGTTAGCGACGTAGAACCTCCATACTCGTGCTTAGTTGTGTTAATAAAATTGATATCTTAACATTGCTAACATTAAGTCAATTAAAAGCTAAATATAGAGTCGAAGCATTTGTGTAGGTACTCTGAGTTTTAGATATTTGATTGATTTCAAAAACTTAAAATAACCCCTAAACCCTGCAGAGTGCCTAATAACTTTAAGAACTCATCGTAAGTTGTGTTTGACTTTATTACTATTTCTGCTAACACCCCTCTTACTAAGTATAGGTATCAATTATAAACTTAGTTTATAAATAATAACTAGAAATAATTTTAAGTCGTGCGTTGGGTGGCATTAACAAACTGAATTTTTACATTCAGTTTATTCGAACTACATTCGAAAGCGCAGTATCACCTAGCTTACCATTATTAAACATCAAACAAAACTCGAATTTAATATGGTGATGCCACTACCCATACATTCTTTTTTAAGAGGTAATCGATTTCGCAACATCTTACTTCTAAATTTACAATCGTATTGATCTTACGTCTTAATATACCATCGTTTTGGGCTTTTAACGCCATTGTTTAAATTATTTATACAGAATGCTACTGCCAATACCACTAATATAACACAATCGATATTGCAAAATTTTGTTCCAAAATCATAGTCAAGCTGGGTTTTTGCCTATTCTAACGACCTCAAGTCGCCTTAACTGTAGTTCCATTCCGGAAAGGTAAGTATGTCGTTAGAAAAGATTAAAATAACAATAGAATTTTCTATGTATAAAAGTGCAATTATTGAATGTTTCGTTTATATCAATAGTTTATGTTAAATTCTTATACCTCTTTTTAATACCAGACGACCAAACACCAGTAAAACAGCAGTGTGCAGTATTTTGATTGATATCAAATATACTCAGTCTTTTATGTCCTTATTACACTACCTATTTCTTCTACCAATTTTTGGTACAATCGACATACAATTTATATATGTAGAATATTTTCTCCGATTATCATGTTCCTGCTTCTCAAAAGCATCAAGGCAAACAATTTACATAAACTGTTTTGAATGAAGTCCATTAATAATTCTAATTAATAATAATATTATAAAACTGCACCGTCATAAATAGTAAGTTAGTTTCAAATAATCATCTTTTTTTTTTTCTCCAATTAAACTTAGTTTACATTAAAGTACCTATGGACGGTTGCGGCATGTGCCAAGAAAGCTTGTTCGTAAGGAAATCCTTTCTAAACACTACCTAATTAGTAATACTCGTGCTCTTGTTACTGATAACGTTTACTATTCTAACTTTCCTATTTAGTCATCTTACCATAAAAGTAAATGGGACCAGGTTTATATTTGTTAAATAATCGGTAGCTTGTCTAATGCAAGAAAAACATTAGTAATTACTATCTGATATCGAGGATTTATTATTTTATACCAGGCGCCATTTTAGAGTTGCCAGATGCAACTACCCTACTACAATAAACGCAAGCGTTCAACGGCTCTGCTATCATGAAGGCAAAAGTAATAACAAAATTGTATATCTTACGTGAATAGAGAGAAGAGTGTACGTATATATAATATAAACGATATCGAGTGACGATTTGCTCAAGATGCGAGAAGCCCAAAATCGATCAATCGATGGCGTGCAATGGGAGGGCCTATGATCAGAAGTAGACTGCGGTAAGCTGATTATGATGATACATATATACATACATAGTCAGGATCTGGAACCTGCAACTCGAACTGGCTGTTGCCAAAAGCCTCAGGCTAAGAAAAAAGTATTATTGTTAATAAAATAAATAATCTGTTTCCTGCAGATATCTCTGCCATGAAAATTTTGTTTCCTAGCATTCTTATCAGCGAAAACACTCTTTAACTCAGTCACGATTAAAAGTGGCGAGTAGTCTTTACACAAACAGCTGTTCGTCAGTACAACATTCCTTTGTGCGTTGAACCTCGTATTACAGTGAAAGTGTGATGGACTCGACTCGATCTCGAACTGATCGGCAAGTGCCGTTTGCTGCTTCAACTTGTTCCATGCGCTTTACTATTATTTCCTGTTCCTGTCCAAGTACAGTCGAAGGCGTTATACTTTACGGTTTAAATGTAATGTCGTTTCCATTGAGGTTGAGAAAACTTGCATAAATCAATCAGTCACGATTGTTAAAAGTTCATTTGTTATCTCCTCGAATAAGTAATGAACTCCTACTACCTAAATCCTTTTCAATAGAAACGGTCAAAGAGCTGATGAGAAGAGTTGTATTAATTAACAACAACTATATACACACATGAATGCATTAAAGATTTGATTTGATTTAATTAATATGGCTTATTAGCGGAGCAGACTACCACACATCAAAAAGCCAACCAACCATGCATACGCGTTATGGTTTTGGTAGAGTTGCTACACAGGTACCTATACCTGTATTTTATGTTATTATATCTGTATTTATGCTCAGCTAGTCTCCAATATTCTGCTAAGTTGCCAGACTATAGAGATATAAACTAGAGAGAACAAGAGCCGCAATCTTGAAATATAGGACACGAGAGAGAGATGGGTAATACCTACTCGTAGATAGAAAGATTAAAATTTAAAAAGTTCATACAAATCACAGAAATGTAATATAATGCTTTATATTTGATTCAGTGATTCGTCCACTTGGTAAAAAATTTACCTACTAAATCTCCACAATATGATCATACGTATTTTTCTTAGCTAGTCTGAACAATATAAAGTAGATGTTTTACATTAAACAATGTGGTAGTTGTACCTAATATATTATTGTTAATAACTAAATTGTATTTAGGTACCTAGTAAATAACTATACCTTCACGCTTTTTGTTTTACTTTGCACGTAGCTCTTTGTAACCCTGTTGTATCTTAAACTAATAAAATAACCATTTTAGATCCGTAGATACGAGTAGATTTGTATGGAATAATTTTAAGTACGCTAGAGATATGATTAATTTGAATATCCTTTATCTTTATTTCTTACGTTAAAAATTTAATTCTTCGAGGGACATTTTATGAAGAAAAAAAACTCAAAGCTTAAATTAATAAACTTAAAATCTAAATTAATGCAGAAAAACATAAAGACTATCATTTTATCCAAAATCCTAATAGTTATGACTTTTTAATAAATAATGTTAATACATACATTTATAAAAAAAAGTAAAAGCACTTTCAAGTTCCTTTTAATTTTATAATACATTAAACCGCTCGTTAATACCAGTAGCACTAGATCGCGATAGTTCAGTTGAGTGCAACAGGAAATCTGCAAGTATGCCAATTACGGTTCAATAAACTGAGTTTACTTTCTAGAGTGCGGTGGGTCGAACCAGGAGAACCGCATTGTGGGTGGGATGCCCGCCGGCACCAACAGATACCCGTGGATGGCAAGGCTCGTGTACGACGGACAGTTCCATTGCGGTGCTTCCCTGCTTACCAAAGAGTATGTGCTTACAGCCGCACACTGTGTCAGGAAGTGAGTATTCTATTTCTTATTTTATTACTTTATAAAACAGATCTTTAACTTATGTTAAGGGTTAGTTTCATAAACGTGACGATGAAGAATCAATCACACAGACTGTCTTTGGTTAGAATAGGTAGGTACTACGTAACACTAGGGAAATGATTGGGCATTGTAACTATCTTTTATTTCCCATAGAACGCCATCAACTTCAATGCATTGATAGGAAGGAACCTGTTTTTGTCTTTTATTTTGTTGTTCCCCAGCAGGGTACTTTCAAATATGAAGCTTGTTAAGAACACTTTTACTCTTAACAAAATATTAATCATTACCATTATCTCCAAAAGTCTCTAAAGATTCAAACTATAAAATGACATTATACGCAGATGTTTGAAAAAAAAAAAATACATAAAATTATTTTATGGATATTAACACTAATATTTACAACCTGTGCGTGGCACATTACATTGTCAGACTACTATTACTTAAAATACTTCTCTGATATTTTCTAGACGTCACTGCAATCTCTATTCTGTATTTAGAGTACACAAATCAAAATCGTATTGTCATACATACATACGTGTGCAAGAAACACGTATTTTAAGTAATGCAGCACCCTCGTGACTACGTACTATTATGTTAAACCAATCGATTTTGTTCGCTCAATCGACAAGTTAATTTTTTTTAACTCTGGCAACACAATCAACTGATTTAGATTTCGTTTTTTTATTGTAAAATTGTTTGTGATTTGGAAAGCGATAAAGAAATTTGATGTCATTTACAAATTGTTAAGAAGCGTAACAATTAAAATAATGAACTATTATTAGTATCCGTGGGGTGACGGTCAGTAGGCCAAAACCTATGTCTATGGCCTATGTCCAGCAGTGGACTAGTAAAGACTGTCGTTGAGGAATGAATTATTGCAAATTTACACGGACAATAATTAACTACAAAAACACTGATTATTAAATATTAGTAGATTAGATCTAAGTTGCTCCATAACCCAAATGTTAATTATTTCATCTATTTCACCCGTGTGAAGGGTTTTATTATAGTATAGGGGGCAAAGGGTATAGTATAAGTGACTACCGCCGTCCCACCCAAAATCAGGGGGAGGGAGGTGGTTTGGGCTCCTTTAACCTCACTTACTCGATGAAAACATCGAAACAATTGCTCAAGACTGGTTTTCTGCGAAGCCTTGGTGTCAGTCCGGTCGAGTCGGCCCTTTTTTGCCGAAGCCTGGCACTCCTACAATTGCCGTTATATAACACATACCCTTATACATTTGTTTTAAGAGAGAAACGTGATACAAAAGACATCACCCCCTTTCATAGATTCTCATGTTAATCCAGACTCTCCTAATTTTTTAAGAGCTAGAAGTTGTTCTTTTCAAGTGCCCAACATATGTAGGGAAGGTGACTGCGTAAAAATGTTAAAACATGGTGAACTTTTGCTGCTTCATAGCTCAAAGTCTCCATGATCTATTTTTAATACTGAGCAAAAGTAGCTTCAGCCTTACATATTAAAGGACAGAGGTTTGGCGATCGTTGTTTGCTCTTTTATAAAACGATGTGTTTAACATTGTAGGTATGTAAGAGCATATTAATGGTAAACACGCAATCATGCATTGTGATAGATTACATTCAATTCGTTATTCTACTATTTAAACATTCTTTATTTTCCGGTCAGACCTTCGCACATTTATACCCTTCATATGTGCATATGAAAGGTTTAAGAATCAAATAAAATACTAATTAGCTAAATGAATATACATATACAGATATGGTCGTAAGTTAATTAGTATTCAATTCATTATCTTGTTTTTCGACAATGTTGTCAGTTATCATTCAAAACATGCACATAAGTCTTAAATGGCTATTTTATTTAGGAGTATTAGGCATATAAATATTAACTAGTGTTTAACCACTTCTATCATTTTAATTTATTTTTTATAGATTTAGATGACAAAACTAGTCACAAAGTCACAACACATAGTTCGCTACAAATATAAATACACTTGTAACACAAAATATTTAAATTAAATGCAGAAGTTTCATTATAAAACATTACAACTTTTAACCAGATGTTAACTAGCTATATGTCGCAGTTTAAGTGGAACCGTTTACGCAATACACAATTTATATAAACTATTTACACCTAAGTACTTCGACATATAGCTAAAAAATTAAGATTACTAATTGTTTTTTTAAATGCAATTTTAGGCTTAAGCGTTCAAAGATCCGTGTAATCCTGGGCGACCACGACCAAACCATTACCACCGAGAGTGCTGCAATTATGCGTGCTGTGACTTCCATCGTACGTCATCGTAGCTTCGATCCCGACTCTTACAATAACGATATAGCATTGCTCAAACTCCGTAAGCCGGTCAACTTTTCAAGAATCATTAAGCCTGTTTGTTTACCGGGCTCCAGTAAGTATTGTTCTAATATTATTTTAGATTACGGTTCTTATTTGTTTGAAACTTGATATCAGTAGAGTCTTTTAGGGTTCTGGAGTAGCACTAGGATTCCTAAATATTTTGAGCAAGAGACCCCTTTTCCAAAATGAATTGATACCTCAGAGAGAGCCCCATGGCCAAATCACTTCAAAAAATTTAAAGCTAGTTTTTTCCTATTTATACAAAATACTTACCAATTGAAATACTTTACGGTTGGTTTGGTGAGTAAACTTGACATCATTTTCTCATCAAAATTTAATAAATATCAAGTGGTACACGTAACACATGTATACATTGCTATAAGGGTAATACATGGTTCTCAAAAATGCATAAAAATTAAGTATATTACAAGGTCTACTTCTAAAGTACGTGTACTAACTGTAAACAATAAAGATATAAATAAATAAATAAATAAATAAAGTTGACTCCGAAGTAGTAAGTATATACTTCATTATAGGATTGAACTTATAAAATATAATTCTTAAGTTCATATTGTTTCCTAGGTATAGAACCAGCTGGTAAAGAAGGTATCGTGGTTGGCTGGGGACGCACGTCAGAGGGTGGACAACTGCCTGCCATTGTTCAGGAAGTGCGTGTGCCGATCCTGTCCCTCAATCAGTGTCGAGGATTGAAGTACAGAGCCTCACGTATTACTAATAATATGGTGAGTAAAAGTAATGTTATATGTGTTTGTATGTTATGTAAAACAATATTAAACAACTTTGTGTATAAAAAAAAATGCTTTAGAATATAATATAATCTACGAGTATACACCTTTTTACAAAATGTATTTTGTATATTGACTTGGAAAGTCGTATGGCGTATAAGGAAACAACGAATGTGACCCAAGAAAGTGGTGAGCCTTATGAGAAGAAAGAGTGCTTAGTGGAATAAATTCATATTGTGTTACCGAGTGGATGAAATGTTGATGAGTCTCGATATATAGAGGTATTGATATGTGATGGGTAAAGATAATTTTATGCTCAATAGTCGACGAGTTTGACAGCATAGGGCTAAAACGAAAACATGTAAAAATGAAAAAGGAAAGAAAGCTAGCGGTAATAGAAGTATTTTCTTCTAAATAAAATTGGAAAAAGGGAGGCAGATAATAAAAATGCTAAGAGTCATCGTGGATGATTTCATAGCCTTACATTATCTTCCTTTAAACAAATACATTACATATTTTTTTTGGTAAAGGCAATTTTTCGCAAGTGTAACGTGAACTGTCATTGTTCAAATGTTCCACACCATGACAGGTCAACATATATAATGGACGAAAGAGAAAAGAAAAGAAGAATATTGATAGAAACCTTAATTATTCCAAATTTCATGTTTCTCGTTTGCGCATTTCTCTTAAATCCTTACAAAATGTTTGTACGTTTATAAAAGATTCCTTGGTTGATTGTACAGTGATTTTTTTTTCTGCGCTCGCCCCATTTACTTAAATTCCTGGTTTGGTTTGTTTTGTTACAGATTTGTGCCGGCAGAGCTTCAACAGATTCTTGTCAGGGAGACAGCGGTGGTCCATTACTCTTACAACAGGGCGATAAATTTCAAATCGTTGGTAGGTCACAAAACTCTGAAATAAATCTTTCCTAGACAGTTTTTAATTTAAAAGAACTTCAACGGTTACCGAAGTTACACTGCTCCGCTTCTTATGACAGTGGCGCGATGTTACAAAGCCTAATCTTTCTCAATGAATAGTCTTTTTAATATGACGGGCCTGTTGGTCTAGTGGTTAGTTCAGGCTGAGCAGGAGTGGCAAACTAACCCACGACGGGTTAGATTCCCACCCAGGACAAATAGTGTGTGATGTTCTTATCATCATGTTCTGTTTCTGCGTGTAATTTATCTATGACATGTATGTATGTATGTATGTATGACATATATTATAAGTATGTTTATCAGTAGTCTGGTAGTACAGGCCCTGCCTAATTTAGGATCGGATTGCCGGGTATAACATGTATGAAGTTGTTAATATTATTAAAAAAAAACAATTTAAATGATCCGTACGGGAGCATAAATTTATAATATGAGGTATAAATGTAGTAATCTTCCTTTCTAGGAGAGGCCTATGTCCAGGAGTTGACTGTTAAAATAATTATAAATCTATTATTGTTGTAAGTTTCAAAAAGTAAAAGCTCATGACAGATTACATTTGACAATATTTTCATTGCTGCGAGTGTCATCTATTGAGAAGTATAGGCAACTTTTCAGTTATATTTTGTATCGACAGATGTCATTATATTAAAACGTATCTTATAGTTTAAACCTATCAAATTGAGCTTTTTAAATTTGGAAAGCATTTTTTTTGCAGGAATCGTGTCATGGGGTGTAGGTTGCGGTCGGCCTGGATATCCCGGTGTTTATACAAGGATTACGCGATACTTACCATGGCTTAGAGCTAATCTGAGGGACTCTTGTCTTTGTGGTAACTAATCAAAACCCTGAAGCATGAAGAGAATTTTATTAAAAATGGAAATTGTAATATTCAACGTCCCCGAATTATAAAATTACGTTAAAACCTTTTAGCATACTTTTGTATATAGTAATTATAAAATATCAAATAAGCTAATCAAATGTAGTTATTTATCGCTAAATAATGTCGGTCCTTTTTATGTAATTTTACTCCATAAGTAGTTGGCTGAACTTCAATAATAGAGGTTATATTAGTGCCAAGTGAAGTATGTTCAAATGTGGTACCTAAACCTTTCTCCTAACTTGACTCTGACCAAATCTGAAATAATACTCTTAGTTTTTTAGTTATATTATCCACACACGTATACGTTGTAGTAAATAATTATAAAACGTTTTGAACAGAACTGTTTAGATTGAGATAAAATAATTTAGTTGTAAGAATACATTTTAAAATGTATAGTTTTATATTAGTTACAAAACTAAATAATGATATGTTATCATCCTGTATTTCTAGAGACCAGCTTCATTATTCCAATTTCTAAGTAACCCCATGCGATTAATATAATCATTGGTTATAATTAAACTTTAACTAAAATTAAAAATCAAGATAATAGGGCCATTATCAATAGATGAAAGAAAACAATACCTACAATGCGAGGTCTTCTACGTTCATATGTCATCTGCAGGTCGATTTTATATCATCTTAGACCAGGTTTAATAGGCACTTTGTGTGGTCTAATTTCTTGTGTTCTTAACATTGTGATAAGCTTCTCATCTCATCTATTACTGAAAACCTCTTGAAATCTGACTAAGCGGGCAGTCAATTTATCAACTAATCAAATAGTTTTTTCCATTTACAGAAATAAACAGTAATTTTTAACTTTTAATCTTTATAATAAATATAACAGATTATTCATTGGAGGGTTTAGTAGAGATTACCTAGCAAGCCTGATTGTAGAGTTAGTACTTTGTGCTAGTAGGAGTAATTTAAAAAAAAATAGTGCGATATAGCACTATTTTTTTTTAATTCATAACAATATGTCGGTTGCAAATAAGACATGATTTATTTGTTTTTTATTCTGACAGTCATACAATACTCGTGCAATTACGTATGACAACTTATCTGTCACTGTATTGGCAGTCGTCATTATTAATATCTTAATTATTTATTATTTATACTAAGGTGTAAATAGAACGTAAGTAACAAGAGTTAATGTAGGTAAGATATATCGCTGTGTATCCTAAGTAACAAAAATTAACAAAGAAGATATACAAACGACCTTCCATCGGTCATTTGCTAATCTATTTTATATGTTTTCATTTACATATGGCGAGTAAAGTCTTCCAGTAACATGTTTAAAATAAATGAAACCGAACTGTCATCAACTTCTATCACAATTAGTATTGCCAACGATTAAATGAACTCTCCACCAGATTCCACATCTAAATCCACCAGAAAACCACTAACAAAAATCGACTCTACTCTAATAAGCATGAAATTTTACACTAAACATTTTTTTAGTAATTACAAAAGAAGCCATAAGTATATTAATAACGAGTTTCCTTTATTAAAATTTAATAATGATACTAATCGTTTTTGTCACCACCATCATCGTCGGTTCCAAATCTGGAATCGTATAAATCAATACGATTCTTTGGTACCGATTTGTTTTACAACATTTAGGTATTGGGCTTTCATATTCAGGGGACTCAGGAGCCGGAGTTCCCTTCGCAAGCATAACTTGATCTTAGAAGGCGACGGCGGATTTCCACGGACTCACACACGCTCCGTAACATGGCGGGAATCATGTTCCAATGCGGCAAGCATTTTTCCCTTGGCCTCTCGGGCATATTTAATTAGCAATACTTCTAGTATGTGGCGGTTCCTTAACAAATAGGAAATTGGTAGATAACAACGGACCGAGTTTCATTGGTTTAAATGATATCAATCTTCATTTCTCGTCTACTACTCAACTGGATCATTAAACATAGAGTCGGACCCTGAATTACATCGTTTGTCTGCCCAGACCCAATATTTTCAACTTTGAATTTTCTCCTGTGACTTCTGGGGACATCAGAAATATCATCCTGACTGTCTGTCGTAACGATTACGTCATCGAAGTTATATCCGATGTTATTGACTTCTTTCTCGACTTCGAAACCTTTTCTCTGACACAAAGCCTACATCACACCATTGCTTAAAATTAATAATCCTTCTCTTCCTAAGCATTTCCATCAAATCCCTTTCCTTCCTCTCCTATCAAACGTTCTTGAGGTATTCTAGGTTCTCACACTTCCGTCTTTCAACAGCATTTCCTAAGCCCTCTACAATCTGACTATTATTAATAAACCACTAAAAAATCCCCTAGCCACTAAAAGCAAATTTACTAACAGGGGGAGGAGGGTCAAAATCACCAGTTTTAGTGGCAAATCCACTAGGTTGGCAATACTGATCACAATTCCTAACAAGTGACAGTCACGGTAACAGCGAATGTCGTTTTTAAATTGCAAATATTTAAGAACAAATCTAGTTGTGTGCCAAACTATAAATAATGTTATTAATAATAATTAATATATTAATTTCGTTGTATTTACTATAAGTTAAAATACGCTATCTTCGGACAGGCCGGTGGTGCAGATTACCATTAGAAATAAGAAAGGGATTATTACTACTACCTAAGTGTTCATTGTATTTACTTGTACATAGGTTTTAATTTATTGATTTTATTATTATTTTTAATAAATTAATTACTACTCTCAAATTCCAAATTCACATTTCAGTGGCCGGGGTTATTAAGCTTGAAGTTTTGCGTGAAGCAAAATGCTAATGTATTTTCTTATTCAGGTAATATGATTCAACAATGGATAAGTAACGAGAGAAATTAAAGAAATAAATTCAATAGTATAATTTTTTGTAAGATTTTTTTTACACTTGACAGGTTATTTGTATATCTACACGTTGTATATGTACAAGTATATGTAAATGTATAAATAATTTATATGTTAAAGTTAATTAAATGAAAAAACCCATAAGCAAAAAAGTACTAAGTTTCCATAGTCTCGTTTTAAAGTATTTTTTAACTAAGTAGTTTAAAACTCCTCCAAATTTTTACTTATTGTTTCTAATAATGTAATAATGGTGTCTTTGTTGTCTCAACTTCATTTTTAATTAAAATAGATTATAACAAATGACGTCGACCTAAAATAAAAACACAAAATCCTGGTTTCTTAATCACAAGCGTTCAGTTATATCATCATGTACATAAATCGTCTAGTATTAATGTTATTGTAGTAGTGTAGTTTTAACTCTTAATTTTGTAATACATTCTTTTTTAGTTATTTCGTTTAATAAGATGTTTTATCGAGTTACGAGTTCTGTAGCTACTTTATTTTTTTTCATTATAATTACAAGACAGTCTAAACCATTTTTTTTTAATTTCTCCATTTCTTTTTATTACAGACCAATATGTATTTATGATAAAGGTTTCCCATCCACGAATTATGCCCGTCTTGTTGTTAGTTTTAATAAATACCTAAATCTTGTTTATTCTTTATATACAAAGTGTATATTTTGTCTGAAAAAAAAGTAACGCATAAAATAACATTAATCGTGTTAGCGGCTCTGTTACGAATAATGTCATTACTTACTTTATAATATAATGGACAGTGGGTAATATAATTATTATCCACTTTCCATTATATTCCAAAAGCATTCAAGTAATCTACCAGATACCCCAGATATTTCGTGACATTGAACCTGAGGGAGATACATCAACAAGACATGCAAAATTAAAAGAAAATCGTGAAGTTTTAGATACTAAACATAACCCAACTGTAAACATGACAATTATTGTGTTTAGTTTAACTTAGTTTTAGTAACGCTCTTTAGGCTACAACTGTGATCACTATCACGATGGTTCTGTAGTAAATTATTTCTATTTTGATGTAAGTGTTAATAACTTATCCACCTTATTCAAATTGTATTAAGTTATTTATTAAGTAATGACTCATGATGTTAAAGTTTTATTGTAATGTTATTTTTAATTTGTTATCGAGGTGCTCTTATACATTGAAATATATTTTTTTAAAGGTATATTTTCGTTTTATTTTTATCATCAACATGAGAAGTCGGGTCCGAGGTTTTATTGCTAAGTCGTGATATTTATGCGGTCGACATCCTAAAAAGTGATAAAAGCAAATTAAGGAAAACCGCATTCTGCTTTTTTAAGGTGATCTTAAACCTGTAATGCCTTCGAATAAATTTAGAAAATAAAAACAATAAGTTTCGGAGTGACGGTAACTTCAATACGGTTTATCAGAGTTATCTCTATAATAATTAATCCATATAAAACGATTATTACCATCATAATTATATCGGTATTAGACTAACATTTAAGAACTTCCTGAAGGAGAACCTACTGATAAGAACCAGAACTTCGGGCAAGTTCTGGTTCTTATCAGTAAGTTCGGTTTAAAAGTGACAAAGATATCTGTGGTTATTTAGGTGTGTAGGTAGATTTATAGATAGCTAGTTAAATCAGGAGGATACGTTCCGGTACTTGTAGAGGAAAACTGAAGTGAAAATTAGAAACACACCTGCATAGCGTTCGCCAGTTAGGTATCTTAGAGAATGCATGTATGTAGCTAAATAGCGGTCTGGGGAGGATGTTATAATTATTATCGTGGAGAAAGAAATTTTACATGACCTCCTTTATTTTTAAAATCGACTTAGTTCCGGTAATATGTGTGAACGCTCAGAGGTTTGGCTAATTGGGTTTTAAAGAAGTCTAACAATAAAATAAATATCTCTTCCTAAAGAATATCTTATTATGATTGCATTAGTTTGGCTCGTAGTGACCCATGTCAAACAACAGGATAACGAATTAACAGTACATATATTTGACAATGATTTTGACATCGAGCTATTTCGATAGGTATGGTATATTCAACCTGTAATAAGTCGAAGTAATCACACTCACTTTACACCAGTACTACTCGTATAACGGCGAAAGTTTGTCACTGTGTGTGTTTGTATGTTTACATACTCGGTAGGTACACATTGCACTTCTTCTTATATCTCGATTTGTTTTTGTGTTCCCTTGAGATGATAAAAAAATTGAAACATATTTAGCATAAACAGCGTGCAACTCTAATAGTTGAAATATGTTGTTTTACAGTTATGCATCCTAACATTCCTGAACGTAGCGAAATCACGTGACCGTTTTGTTACATCGCGTCTATTTGCATGTGCGAACATAATTAAACCTCTTTAGATGTGCACAGTGTAAGTGAATGTGCAAAAAGACAGCCGAGCATTGTGGCGCCGGTGAGTTGGAAAGTGACACTTTCGCCTTGCGACCGGTCGTCGTCAAAACCTTGTTACGGTCCATTTGCCTCCTATTGATCAAAGTCGATCGTTTACTAATATATTAATCGTAACTACCGTCATAATCAGAAAATTGTAGGTATAAACTCTTTAAGGTAGGATTTAAATATTAATTGAAACAACAATTTGGCTAAATTAAACAAATATTGTATTTCATTTTTACCCAATACTCGTGGCAGAAGAAGGTATAAGTACAAGAGGGATAGTTATGGTTTCCCTAACCCACAAACACAGCCTACTGTAAATTCCTACAATTGGTTTGTATTTCGAAAGCAAGGACGATATTTACGTATTTTATTGACTATTTTTTATTGCAGGTTCTTTTATTCTAAAGTAACAATTGCATATTCATTTATTTAGTTCTTCTTGTTTACATTATTAATATAAAAAGAAATTGAATGTAAAATTACATGTAATTTCCTTTTTCAAATACAGTAACTCGTGCTATGTATATACAACTAGCTAAGCAACTGATCGACTCTTCTCGTGATCAAAAGGCCGGCTTTTTTCTGGCACAGAGAATTAGCATTGCTATTCAACGTGATTCTTTGATGCTTGTAAATGTGTAAATGTTGTAACTATTTTAATTGCATTATAATGTATATATTTTTTTAGTTTATTTAAAATCCTGTTAATAGTTATGTAAACTATACCTAATAATGTTACGAAGAGTTTGTTTGTTTTGTTTTACGCGCTAATCTTAGGAACTGCTGGTTCTAATTGAAAAATTATTTTAGTGTTAGAGAGTCCATTACTGAGAAAAGCTATATATCATCACGCTACCACCAATGGGAGGCGAGCATCAATAAAATTGTTGCAAAAACAGGGAAAATTTATTCCTTTTAAAAGACTCCGACAAACTTGGGTATGTCAGCTGTTACAGTTATAAAAAAATCTTAGAGAGTTTACACATTAACAATTGACACTGATTTTAACAAGTATTTGTAAAGTAATCAAAATTACAAATGGATTTATCATCGACGAAGATACGTATAATTTTAATAACATTTTCTTTTGAACAACTTTAAGATTATTGCATTTTATTATTCGTAGAAAAATGCTTTATCTTTCAAGAAAACTAATTTTAATTTCGTTAACTTTTTGCATCGGTAAGGTATCCTATTTAACTGTTGGTCAGCCACATTCGCTCTCACAAAAAGTGGTTCTTATTACAGTGAATTAGTCCCGTTACAACTCTCAGATTGTCTGCTTAGCTATACAAGCCTTATGTATAGAATATTAATTTGCACATTAACCACTAATACGTTATTTATGTCCTAGTTTCAAGAGCTTGCAACTTTTATTACGACTATTAGGTTAGACTGCTCGCACTTTCTGACAAAAGCCAATAATAGATACTTTTCACATCACATTAACAGCCTTTAAAAGTTCTCTGCTGGACAAAGGCCTCTCCTTAGAAAGGAGGTTTTGGCCTAATATACCACGATGGCCAGACGGGTTGGTATCAAGTTTTACTTCTCCTTGTAGTGCTGTGATCCTGTGTAGTTTGCTCTCTTAGTCGATGAATGGAGGTGGTGACACTCCGTATGCTTAATCCGTCACCACACGGGTAGCTTAAGCGTAGATCCGTATAAGGTATACATTTTTCCATCCCATCGCCATCCCACCTAGAGAACTCTCAATTGATATGTTGGATAAAATACTCCTGATTATCTTCTCAAATTGCAACAGTGCCTGGTTGACGGTTATAGGTTTGCCCTTACTACGTAAGTAGAACTAATTATAGGTGGTGAAATGTAAGCATTTAATAGGCCTTGACCTATACCTTCAGGAATATAAGCTTGAGTGTATGTAGGTACATATATGTGTGTACCAAAATTTTCTAAAGTCGTAATAAAATAGTTCGATTAGTTTTGCGCAGCTTTCTTTTTATTAGTACTATTTATCTGTATTTGCTATTGTGTCACAACATACAGTTGCGTTTTCTAAATTAAGCGCAAAAAAAAGAGAATGTAATCCGTTACCTATAATTTGTATTAAGAAAACAACAATTTCCGCTTAAAAAAAAAGTACCGCTCTCTATTAATATACGCACATAATTTCATGACAGAAGATGTTACCACGTAATGATTTAACAGTATTTTTTTTCTCACACACGGCTTTTGTACGTAATTTTTTTCTAGAATCAAACGATCCTAGACTAGTTAAAGCCTTACTATGTTAATCAGATTTCTGGTGAACATATTTGTATATTTGTAAATAATCGTGGAAGGTTCATGGTTTACAAATCGGCGATACCACGGCATCACAGAAAACCTGTTTTAAGCAATTCTTTCTTTACTTTTCACCGCATAAGTGAGGTTATCGGAGCCCTAAAGCCCTTCCCTTAATCGTTTGGGCGGAAGACTCAAAAGTCTGCGATGGACTTGTGACCCTTCGGTTCTAGGTGCCATATTCATGAAGCACTGATGTAGATTTGAATTGTTAAGGTATTTGTTTCTTGAAAAAGTCATGTGGCAGTGCCGAAATATCTCTACACGTACTTAATTAACTGTATAGCACTTTGGATATAAGGCGTAGATTATACAACATGTGGTGACTCCCACATACAAAGAAACAGAAGCATACTACAGCGCCATCTAATGAAGACACATCGAACTACGGAGTAACTACTAAAATAAGAATTGCTAGTCCTGTATCGCGATATAAAGAATTCCCGCGCCGGTTAGCATATATACCACTTCCCAACATCTACCGTTGGGCCGCGGCCCGCCAGGCATGATCACCTCGCCTGGTCGGAGATCCTCCCTTTGTGTTGGAGGGACATGACACCCGTTCCTCCACAAACAATATTGTTACATTATGGTTACGTATAAAGATTCTTTGGTGATAATGATTTAAACCACTATCGGTTTTTAACTATCATTCAAAAATACACAAATACCTTTGCTTCCACGATACCTAGTCAAGATAAAAAGTAAGTTAAAATAAAAGTATTTTACATTAAAATATTTTCCAAACAAATAAAATAAGATGCATTTTTGAAGCTCATTATGTAGTATAAGACTTCAACTTTAAATGAAACGTGTCTTTTTCGCTTTTGCAATGGATATCCGATGATACTTCGTGCCCGAAGTTCTAACTTATTCAGTCTTATTTACGCAGACTCACATATTTTAAAACTGAAATTTCATTTGTAAATAGATTCGCATTCGAATGACATATGTATGGAAATGGAACATACTCGTAATTATGAGCAATAAACGTGTTTCCCGCTGTTAGAACTTAAGCGACAATTTATTGATCCATATGCCTACGTAAAAGCGAACATAGAACTTAATTGACTAACTAAAACAAAAAGAGAATGTTTGGGCAATACTGTTAAACAACAAAATTTTAACTAATTTATGTTCTTTATTAAACTACTTACCGTCTGCATTGGTTCTTGTTCAATATTCCCTGTTAAATAATAACATTTGTCAATTACGCCTAATTTGCTTTATATCATGCAAAGTAAGTTAAAGATGCTGTTGGACTAGTGGGGTATGGACTGACGTATCCAAAACACGTCCGTTGTTTGAACACAGTTGAGCGCATCTCAGTGTGTGTCCGTTTGTGAACGCGCGCGACAACTTCGCCACAGCAGACCATGTGCTAGCCGACCGCCAAAATCTGAGTTCGATATTCGAATTGTCACTTTTTTACACTTTTGTTTATTTTTTTAAACCAGATTCAAAATGTGGAAGTGTTTATTTATATTGGTGATCGTGACTTTGACTTTCACTTGCTCTGAGGTTGGTATCACAATTTCTTATCTTTTGAATAATTCAGTAATTTATTCTATATCCTTTAGTTTTATCAAGCTGTCTATTGAATTTCTTAGCAAAACAGATTAATTTAATATTTATAACAGATAATATACCGTTGTCATATCAGGGTTACTGGTTTTAGTGGACTTTATTATTCACTTTAGTCGAGATTTTGACTATAGATTATTAAGTATATTTAAAAGAAAAAGTTCATAAATATTTTTAAAAGCTTTCATTTCTAAGTCAACTAAATATTAAAGATGATCTTTGTTAAATGGTTGATAATGAAGTACTTTTAACACTGATTCTAATAGAAGGTTTTAACAAGGATAATAATTACCGCATCGTTAAAATCCTTATTTAAGGCAGGCTCTTCTGAGCCAATCATATGATAGCATAAGATATGACCATTTCGACAGCACTATTTTCCACCTTTAAAAAAAATAATAAAATAGAAAATAGTTAAAATTAGAGATAATCTTAAACTTAATTTTTGAAATTTACCTTAATTTTTTATTTATGTTCTTCTGTATAGGGTGATGTAGCACAGAAGTCACCTGGAGTGTCAACGAAGATTTTCTTCGGCAGTCTTTTTGGTAACCGACCGCCGTGGCTGGAGGCCCACCACCCGAAGACAACATGTAGCTGCAGTTAGTACTTTTCGTCTTTGTTACCATTTAATTATCAGTTTAGTTATTTAGTTTTTTTACATTTTAATTACGATGCTTCTTAGAATTTTATTACAAAAGGATTTATCGTTGGAGTGATTCTAAGCTAAGCAGGTGCTATAATAGAATCGTGAAAATAGCTTAGATGGTCCTGCTAATATTTAACTTTTTACATTATGTTATGTACTTTGCATTTGTATTTTTTAAAGTATTTTTTATTTAAAATAAACAATGACTATCGTTGTAGCGTGGCTCTACCGCCAGGTAGAACATTTGATTAAACGCCGGGGTCCTTGGTTCAGTTTCTCCTTAGTGTAAAAATATTGGTATACATATTATTATAATGGTGCGTGTTTCTGTATAGTTCTCTCTAGGTACTAGGTATAGTTATATTTGAAAATTTAACATAAGCTATAATAACTCTCACATCACACATCACATCACATTAAGGGCCCGATATTTTTAGGTTTAATTCGCCTTCGCAATTTGCATCAAATCGCTTGAAATTCTTTCCGCCAGTGCAGACAGCTTATTTAGTTCCCATGTGTCACAGAATTTTGCAATAAAATTTCGCTCTGCGGTGAAATTTCGCTGTGCGGACGGGTCCTAACAGCATTTAATAGTCCACTGCTAGACATAGGCCTGTCCCTAGAGAGGAGTTAGCATAGTGTTTGTTTCAAGTTTGCCTTCTCTTTGCAGTGCTGTTGTCCTGCGTAGTTCGCTTTCTTAGTCGGCTCTTACGACACCCACGGGATGAATAGGGGTGGTGACGCTCCGTATTCTTAAGTTCATGGCTCTTTAGAGCCACCCGACATTCGACCAGCACTGCCTCGCCTCGAGCGGTTAGTTTTCTTTGTATGGAGTATTATGGGTGATCGGTCACTACATCAACTCCGGAGCGCCTCGCCCGCAGGTTGCGCACACATGGACGGCGAGTGGTCCACTCGGTAATGATGGGGACGATGCATCGGCCGCACACCGCTCCCAATCGAACGTGTCTGTCGTATCGATTTCTGGTTAAAAACGCGGCGGACACCCGTCGACAACGAGTGGATGCTGTAATGAGCTATCTTAAATCCGTCACCGCATGGTTATCTAATCTCAGTTTAGAAAATACTAATCGATCGATGTACAAATGCTTAAGAATTTGTGATCATTCGGAGAGGACTCAAAGGGACTGCGATTTTCTGTTTGAATCTAAAAACTACGGTACGTTTTCGAATATATTTTTTACAAATTTAGCTGGAGACTAATCCAGAGTATTGGTAGTTTGAATTGGACTATTGGTACAGAAATCAACAAATTCCTAAGCCATTATACTGCCAAATAATTGAAGTTAATCTTAGTTTTTAATATTAAATTGGTAAATAGGCTCGCGGTTAATGACACTTGTGTAGATATAACAACATGTGTATGAACAAATCTTTAAAAAGAAATCACATGTGCCTATGAATGACAATTATATTTACTTACATACATACTAACCAATGCTCTATAAACTTAGATCTGTACTCTAATTAATTCTGACTTTCACATTGACATTATAATTAACCTAGGAAATTACTATATTTAACATACATTTACTTCATGAATAGTTAATTGCAAATAGTGATTGCAAGGATTGCTGATTATTAACTGTTTAACTCACTTTCATTAGTTGAGCTTTTGGTTCCGCAAAGCATCCTTTAATCATTGTTCACCAAAATTCTGATTATAGAATGTAATTAAACTTACTTCTGTTTAATAATTAGGGTTGAATAGATAAGAAAAATGAGAGACGTTACGTTAAACAAAACATTAGACTAAAATATCTCTATATATTTATAAAACAAAGTCGTGTCAGTTACACCATATATAACTCAAGAACGACTAGACCATCAACTGATAGCTCAAGTAATGTTGTCTATGGATTGTTTTGAAAATACCGCAAAACACTGAAATTGAGGTTGACTGGTCGATTTTTTTCTAAATCTGCTCTTTTATTGACTGTTAGGCGGAACAAAGTTCGCCGGGTCAGCTAGTTATACGATATAAATAATTTATTTTCGAGTTGACCCCAATTTAAAATAAGTAATGGATGGTAAAGTTAGTAAAAGTATTCTGTAAAGTATACCTTTTATTTATTTATTTTTTAACCGAGGAATACTTTTCGCACCATACCCTCCGTTGGGGAAACGCAGGGCGTGGGTGGGACACCCGGAGAACCGATCTACCCACTAAACCTTGCGGCGGCCTACCTCGGCAGTCGGGAGGAGCTCCAGGAACGCATCGGCGACTTCTGGAGTCCTTCCTGCCGTACCCCATGTCTGAGGCACATCCCGGAGTGAAAGTAATCACCCTGGGGCAGGATGCTACCGCGTCTCTCACGGCTCTACATAGTAAAAGGCTCAACACCGTCCCGCCTCAGACGATACCCCCCCGGCCGCACCGGAGTGTCATCTGTCTCGACTCGTTTACAGCGGTCACATTGGAGACTTAGCAACCCCTGCCGCGTCCCCTTTGCCGCCTACTTCGAGCGGGTCCGCCCCTTTCCCGATCCCGCTCTGCGGCCTCCTTTTGGAGCATAACGTCCTCACAGAAGGAGACCGCGGCTGCCCATCCCTCGCCACTCGCCCCCATTGAAGCAATTAATGGCGGTGACAGGTTTCGTCCGATCTGTCCGACCAAGACTCGACGTTCGGACTCCCATGCAAGGCAGTTCTCCAGCGTGTACTGGGCGGAGTCCCGGTCGGACCCGCAATGGTGGCATTGTGCCGCAACCTCCCGTCCAATTCGATTCAGATACTCACCGAAGCAACCGTGCTCGGTAAGCATCTGAGTCAATCGGTAGCTGTCACAGGTCCTCCCTACCCACGCTTCGAAGCTTGGCAGAACGGCACAGCCCTGGATTACAAGCCGTGCCTGCCACGCCCGCAGAGCCTGCGTATGCTCGTTCTGCCGTAGCATTCCGGGTTTATGATCCGGCGCGGCCTCCTCACCATTCCGACTGACAGAACAAACTTGGTCCTAGACCATCGCGTCCATGTCGGCTAGAATGTCAAAGGGTGGATATCGCGCCAGGACCGCCGCCGCCTCAAACTAGATTGAATCACAAGAAAATTTTACCTATTGATCTCTTGGTCATATTTGGATTGGTTCTAAGGATAAATATCACTTCAAAGGAATTCATTATAGTCACTACCAGTTACTTTACCTGTTTCGTCTTCGTAGACTTGCTAATAGTTTTTAGCATTGTGATAATACGGTTTAATGAAATTTGGAGTACACTCTCAGGGTACACATACAATACATCAATGAAACCGGATCTCACCAAGCATATTTAACTTCAGCCCATCTAAAAAGAAGGAATTTATTATTCTGTTAAACTAAGCGGTGACTCATGCCTATTTAATTAAATTGTTAATGGTTTATTGTAAAGGATCAATTAACGTGTTAATCAATTCTCAGTAAAGCAGTATCTTCTTATATTTTTCCATGTGTTTGTTTCCAGAATGTGGTGAACGTAATGAGGTGTCACGAATTGTGGGGGGTGTAGAGACCGGTATCAACGAGTTTCCGTGGATGGCTCGACTGTCGTATTTCAAGCGGTTCTATTGCGGAGGCATGCTTATTAACGACAGATATGTACTGACAGCTGCACATTGTGTTAAAGGGTGAGACAATTTTATGATCATATGCATTAAAAAGTTTCTAAATGAGAAAACAGATTTCAGATTTGTATCTTTGTAAATTTCGTGAAAACTTAAACAAGTTGATGTGAAATAAGCTCACACTAGGCCTTTCGATCGAAAAGTCGTATTTTCTTTAAGATCGAATAAAAATTGGTATAAGTAGTTTAAGTAAAACAGTTTACTAGTAAACTATTGCTATGGTTGTGCCTTTATTTGATCAATACTAAGTCACAATATAATCCTCAATTAATATAAATACGAGTACAAAGATGTACAGCCAACAGAGTCCGGCAATGGCAATGAATACAGATAAACCTCGAATCTTAAGAAATTGATGAGTTACGTTTAGATTACCAAAACTAAGGCCTGCCTGCCTAGGTTTAGCTCTTATAATCTTAGTTTTTGTTAGATTAGCAGTTGGTTTCCTACTCATAAAGTCGTGTCCAATTTTTATTCTTTATATTCTTTGTCACCGGAAGTAAAAAAACCTAAACCTTACACAGAAAGTTGTGAAAGCCACATAATTCGCTCCTGTAGCAAAATCCATTTTTACCTGATAATATATCAGTATATATATCAGTATCTACGTACAGCCGTTATACCTCCCTAATGTGGCAATGCCATAAAATCCTGCTAAATTTCTTCTATTTTCATAAGAATGTACATTACGTAAGTACGAAAGTAGACGTAAGTTACAGTAAGAGGCGTAAGTAAGGCATTGCGCTTGCGTATCAATGTCCCTCTTGATTGAAAAATGGAAAAGACATTAACTTGTCAGGTGGCGATCTATCCTGCTATCCTATGCAGATCTGCTCAACTGTATCTACTGCGTATTCAAGAAGTTTTTGATAAAAACGATCACGTGTTGGCTTTTCCTTCTTAGTTGAATTGGCTATTTATTGTATTTGCATACACAACATTACAATCTTTGAGATATCGTTGACTAAAATCTGTAACAAACCACTAGTTAATATTAAGTTAAATGGGAGATTTAAAAAGTTTCATAAATAAACATATGCTTGAACGGCTAATTTTTGATCGCTGATTAGAATATAAGATGAGAATTCAAATCAACGCATTTAAATGCTTTAGTCATGTAGTTGCACATTTGATGAACATCTAGAGTTTTAGTGGAAGTATAAATTATATAAGTACTTCAAAACAGGAGTTGTACTGGTAGCATTATTGATAGACTCGACCTTTCCTTTTAAAAATAACGTTAAATATGCTCTGTGGGCTTTTGAGTACACGAAAATTAGTAGTTTTCCGAAAGAAATTTAAATGCAGTTACGTTGCAGAAAGGGCAGTTTGCCATCGTGTTTAGATTAGCTTCTTTCCTCATAAACCTCATAAAGTTTTCTGCCGTCTTTAGGACTTTTAGGGTTATTCCTAATTTTTAAGATGGAATTTTACACACGACGGACATTTAGCTACACGATGCCAGTCTTTTCGAGCTGTTGCAGGGTCAGTTCTATTGCCCATTCGAAACTTGTTGTGTCATTTGATCTAGCTCTATCGACCTATCAGTTTTCTTTAACCCAATTGACTTTCTTTTCACCCTCTGAAAATTATCAAATTCCTGGAGTAATATACGGTCGGTTATGTAGCTGGCTATAAATTAAAGCAACCGAAAACCTTTGCAATGGAGAATTTAATACATTGGGCATTGGGCAGGAAGATAATGATGATGTCCGAAATAAATAAATATTAATATTACGGTTATAACCGTACTTGTTTGAAGAGTTTTTATTACCTTATATTTGATTTACACTTTGCAGGATGTTAACTTTCGAAACAGCTAAAGCATAAAAAAAACTAAAATCATTCGTATTATTTGTAAAATCGATCTAACAAGAAGTCACCTATAATTAAGGTTAACAGAAATGACATTATGACGTTAAAATTTTGTTTTACAATAGAATACAAAAGCTATTGACATATACAGAAGTAGGTTAATGATAAATTAATGTTGATGAAAAAGACCATTAATGCCGAATATTATACGGCGATATATTTTAGTGTGTCCCTTGGTTGCACGTGTAAACAAATAAAGGGAGTCTTTTGTGACTCGTATGTTTATTTGGTAGATATATAATGTTATTGGTCTTTAAACTTATTATCACTAAAAGTTATTGGTTTTATCATAATATGGATGACATCGTCAATTACTAAATACGGGTCCGATAATTTAAAAATTGCCAAACAAGTCCAAAATAAATTCATACCACTAAATTGTGAATTCCAATCAGTGTCGATAAGTACATTCACCTTCAAACCGGCCCAGGAGCAGGTCCCAAACTAGAGTTCATTATCCTCGATAAATGACCATTTTAGGCACTTAGGTTGAATGCAAATGTTGTACAGGTATGGAGCGAATTCTGCGACGTATGTAAATATGTATTATGGAGTCTAAAAGTCCACTTGCATGTCTTCTTATTGTTTTAACAGTACAGTTTGTACAATAGCATAGTGACAAATGTACTTGGGTGAAAGCGTAAATGAGGTACCAATAATAGTAGTCATGACCGTGGCCCACCAAAACATTGAGTGTCACTTTCGCTCAATGTCGACATAAACTTGACTTAATTAGTTATACAACAGAGCTGACATATTTAATACTTCACATAGACGATGTTTTAAGAGCTGGATATAATTTCTTTTGTCAAAGTTTGTGGAACAGTAGATAAAATTATTTCAAAAGTCCAGTTTTATGTCTAGTCTAGTGACCTGTCATGGAGTAGAACAGATACCTAAATTTAAATACTTTAAAAATACTGCGCAAAAGGCACTGGATTAACTTATTTTTCTGAGTTTCTTGTGATAATGTCATTTTGGAATTGGATGAATCATCCTATATCGATCTTTGTTATTATTAAGGAGATTTCGGATTAAATTTTAACTATAAAAGTTCATAACGAAATCTCAAATGGGTAATATTTTGATACAATAAGTTTAACTATTTATTTCTTTTAACAGTTTATATACAATTCGTTTAAGACGACACTTTCACTCTTAGTATTAATACTTCTTGAGTAGGTATTACATGTTTACTATCTGTGAAAAAAATGATAGTGCCATTGAGTCCTTTTTGGAGTGTAACGATACAAACGGTTAAACGTATGAAAGTAGGAAATTGTAAAAAATACCTTTTGATGTGATTGATGATTAAACTCATGGAGTTTCTTTAGGGTATCTGAAGCTATTTGAGTAACTTCTAAAATGAAAATATATTTTTAGATCAACGAGTACTGCGCTGTTCACTTTCGGTTGTGGTGATTAGCGGTATGGTAAAAAAGATTGCCATGCGTAGCTAGTCATTTAAAAACCCCAGGAAATATTTGTTGTTATTATTACTAGTAGTAGATGCAACAATTAATGTTCCATTCTGAATAAAAGTGAAAACGCTATCGCTTTTTATTGAAAAAGGAAAACTAAAAGGCTTTTTGTACAACACGCTGGAAGTTGCTGATTCGCCATTAACAGATGTTGTGATTGTCTCGGTAACGACGTTTGCTAATGGAAAATGATAGTACTTATATCACAGAATAAATAGTAGTACCGTTAGGTATATTTATATTAGATACCACTCAAAAATAGATGGCACATTTGGACACAGAAAACCTGTGCTAAGCAATTCTTTCGTTGCTTTTACCGAGTAGATGATGGAGCGCATACGCCCTTCTCTTTTCGACTTTTTTTTTTGGGGAAAGACTCAAAGGGCGCTACGCACTTATGACTTGACTGTTGAGTTGCAGATGCCCATTTGGTAGTCTTCAGGTGATCCATCGTCATCATCAACTACTTTTAATAGTCCACTGCTGGACATAGGTCTCTCCTTACAAAGGAGGTTTTGGCCTACCATACCACGCTGGCCAAACGGGTTGGTATAGGATTTGTGTCAAGTTTTCTTTCTGTTTGCAGTGCTGTTGTCCTGCGAAGTTTGCTCCCTTGAATCCGTCAGGTGGTGGTGATCCGTCTGCTCATGAATCCCTCTAAACCATACATTAGGACTATATTGGTGTATAAGTTACTTCTTTTTTATATTCTAGGTTTATATGGTTTGTGATAAAGGTAACCTTTGGTGAACACAATCGTTGCAACGCCACCACAAGGCCGGAGACTCGCTTCGTGCTTCGGGCCATCGCAAATAAGTTCACGCTCAGTAACTTTGACAATGATATAGCACTATTGCGCCTTAACGAGAGGGTGCCTATTTCTGAGACCATTAAGCCGATTTGCTTGCCTGATAACGATAGTAAGTATTCCTTCGGAATAACCATTCTTTTCGTTAAAAAATATATCATGTATTCCTGAAGATTATAGACTACGAAGAAAGTTAGATAACACTGTATTAAGAAGTAAAAAAGTCTGAATAACTTAACTGCACGAATGGCGCTTATTACGAATATATTCTGTGTCGCGGGGGACTGTAAAGTCCGTTTCATGTATGTTTGTAAAACATACATGAAACGGACACAAAGACCTCCTAACTCAGAATAACAATAAGAGGCCACGGAGCAAGACCGCTTAAGCCACTACGCCATCAGTGCAGTCTATGGGGATGATCGCCTTTACATGACTTTTGCTATAAATAAATAAGATGCTGTCTTAATAGAAAGACAAAACCACATTTGGCTTTCGAAATATATATAAATAATATTACAAAAAATATTTTAAAGAAAGAAAATTGACATAAACAAAATATAGGTATAGTTGGCTGTATTAAACCTTTATTAAATTTTCGTTTACAGAACACCTTTACGTGGATGTCAAAGCGGTAGCCGCAGGCTGGGGAACCCTGACAGAAGAGGGTAAAGTGTCCTGTACTCTACAAGAAGTCGAAGTGCCCGTCATCAGCAATCAAGAGTGTAGAAATACTAAATACACCCCTTCTATGATAACAGATAATATGATGTGTGCTGGATATCCCAAAACCGGAGGAAAGGATTCTTGTCAGGTACTAATACAATACTTAACGAACTTATATATTTCGAAATACATAAATATTATAGATAAAGTACACTTAGACACCGAACAAATGATCGTGCTCATCCTTCGATGAAATAAACTTGATCAAAGTGTTCAAAACAAAATAACAGTCCTGAGTGGTAATTGGACCCTAGACCTCTGGCTTATCAATTAGTATTATTAGACCATCGGACTTGTCAAATCTAACAAGATTCAGTAAAGCGTGGTAAATTTTCTTAATTTCTGATCTGAATAACATTGTGTTCCAGGGAGACAGTGGCGGTCCTCTCATTGCCGAGAGAAAGCACGACAAACGCTATGAGCTCATTGGTAATGTATACACATACATATTCCTAACACTATTCCACTGTGACACACGGTTTTGACGGTTTAAATTCATCATCACATCACACATCAACAGCCTTTAATAGATCACTGCTGGACATATAGGTTTTGGACCAGACGGGTGGGTACTTTTTGCAGTGCTAATGTCCTCCATAGTTTGCTCCCGTTAGTCGGCTCTTACGACATTCAAGGTAAGAATAGGGGTGGTGACACTCTGTATTCTTAATCCGTCACCACATGGATGGTTAAAAATTATTATTTCGTAATAGTTAGAAACGACCTTAGTACCTAAATCGGATTGGCTGAGAGAAGACAGCACCAGCTCTGCGCTTCTGGGTCTTCGCCTAGCACACGGTAGAAGACTGCCTCGCATGGGCACTGCATGCTTCAGTCTCAACGCGAAGTCCTGGTCGACCAAATCGGACTAGACCTGTTCCCGCCAGCAATCATTACTGCCATGCTGGCGAATGATCAGGGCTGTAATAGTTCAGAAAGAGAGCGTTGAACGGGATCGGGAGAGGGTCGATCCCGAGCGAAGAAGACCGCCGCCGCCGACGGGACCGCGGGCCGCCAGAGAGTGGGGTCCTCTGGTGGCATTAGAAATAAATCCTGTCTCGCGGGGGATCACACAAAGTGTTTTCCAATGTGAGGATCAAACCCACAACACCCAGCGCAGTAGAAAGCGGCGACGTGACCGCTTAAACCACTACGAGAACCGTGCAGTCAGTTGTTTGTTTTGCTGCGGTAGGGAATATGATGGCGGCCTGATCACACCAAAGAATGTGATCGGGCCGTAATGTTTAGAGATAGGCTGATAGGCAGGGGGAAGTATTGCCTTCCCCTGGGTTAGGGCCTAGTTTGGTGTGGTGTCGATCTGGGGGAGACCTGAAATCACATGGCCCGGGTCCTCCCTAGAGTAGGGTGCGTAAGACCCGTCGTCGGAGTGGTTTTTAGTGGAAACAACACATACTCCTGGCTCCTTCCTGTATCTGATTTTCCACCCGTCCCCCCAAAAAAGGTATTTATAAGATTGTTAGCAGGTTAGCAACAGATATAGTCCGTTCTAACACTTATTCGTCGAGAGCCTCAAAACAATGGCAACATCAAAGTTAAATTTCTTAAATACTTATGCAGAAGGAATCGGGGCTATGTGGAATTCTACTTTCATACCTGCTTTAAAAACCAAAGTTTTTTTTGGAACGTTCCTTATGGAACGATGTGGCGAGAGAGATTTCACGAGATAAAATGTATGTACATTACGAAAGAGCGTTAGTCCTATCTCTCTAAAGTAATCCGTCTACTTGCATTGCGCCTTTTTATTTAATATCTCGAGAACAACGCATCGGAGATCGAGACAGGATGCGTATGATTTTTAGAGAATTCGATGAGGAATAAAAGGAGACCAGGCTTGTTTCTCTGTAATCCACAGTATTAGAGTTATTAAATTTTTGTGGTTAAATAAAACTCTAAACGCTTCTAAATAAATATTCAATTTGCAGGTGTTGTGTCTTGGGGTAATGGTTGTGCAAGGGCCGGTTATCCAGGCGTATATACCAGAGTCAGCAAATATTTGGAGTGGATTCGTGAAAATACTCAAGACGGATGCTACTGTACTGATTAGTAGTTAGTATTCGTACTCTATTAACATTGCCTATTAGCATTTATTTCTCATTGTTTAATATTAATATACTTTTAACGCTACCTATGTAGCCTTAAACTAAGCTATGTGAAAATGTGTTTTAATATTAATGAAAGATGGCGTTGTAGTCCTGTTTATTTTAAGATACGTTAATTTTATTTTAAAATGGTGAAGATTTTTTATACTTAAGTTATTTATAACCAAATATTTGGATGAAATTATGACTTATGACTGTATTTATTAAAAAATATATTAAATTTTAAGAAGACTATTTATTGCAATTTATTTAATTCAGATTAAGAAAACATTAATTGTAACTAATTGTACTGTAAGCCTTTGGTTTATTTTATACAATACGTGTTTAATTTGCCATAAAATACAATACCCTTAGTATAATATTATTCTTAGAGTGTACGGTTAAAATTAAATAGTCAATTACTGTTTTCACTATGAACTCTGTTGAACTTGTTTGGAAAGTTGACGATAGTCATTTAGACGTGAACTATAAAAGTCATGCTAGGGGTATAGAGTTAGTAAGATAAGATAAGATGTAGTTTGTAAAATATTTTATAAGAATTTTAAACCAATAAAGTACCTCAAACACGATCAACTACATGTTTTATTGCATACCTACTGTATTGTAGTCTCAGCATTTTTTGTGCACAATTATTAAATAAAATTTAATTGTATGATGTTATTAAGAAATTCGACGACGTCCGGCACACGCGGATGCCGGCACACGCGGATGCCGTCCCCTCGCGGCTGGCCAAACTAATGCGGGTGGAGGGGAGAACCCATCCCGTCCACCCGCGGCCACACTCAAGGCGGCATGAGGCGCAGGTGAGCGTGCCTCCTCCGCCCGGTTCGCCGGCGGCGGATCGGGTCCGATTGGAGGTCGTCCTCCCGGGCCTTTTCCGCCGCCTCCTTCTGCGAGATTACCTCCTCGCAGAAGGTTGCGAAAGCGGTAAAAACACTGTCGCTACCGGCCATGGAGCGAATTACGACCGGTAGCGAGAAACACATTGAGACTCCTACCCCGACGCCGCGCCGTCCCAGTTGCCGTACGCACATCATTACGGGCAGTTGGAACCCTAAAAAGCCCGATAACAGTCTTTCTACACAACTTCGATATCGTTTAGTACTTGGGTTGTGAAGGTCTGATGGCAGTCGCTCCGCGTAAGCAATGGAAGTTTACCCGTATCGTATCGTAGTAGACTTAAAGCAGAACCAGACCAGAAAATTGCCCCCTGCAATATTCTAAACATTTACAGGTAGCTGTGAATATTGGTTTTACATTTGGTGTAAAAAAAAACATTTCTGCACAAAACTTAGCAGACCCGTCTTATCAACTATATGAACGGTATATGGTTAGAAAGAAAAGGCAACAGTTTAAACCCATACATCTAGTCATAAGAGCAGCAGGTACAGTGGATTAAAACTATGGGGTAATAACTTTATTAATTAAAAGGAAATCAGTGCTACGCCACTAATTTTAAACTGTTTAAGTAGGTATAAATATAAATAGGATAGTCGTAAGAGAAATTTCACTTAAATCCATTCTGTAATCCAGAAGTACCAACTATGCTGCTTTCAGGCTGCATAGATCCACAGGTTAGTAATTATAACCTAAAACTATGTTTTTAAAATAGGAATACATTACTAGTTTAACACTTAAATCGGCTCTGAACGTGCAAATACAAAGTTCTTTTATTAAATTCTTCTCATCTGTCGCATCCCGAACATGTTAAGTAAGAATTTTTCCTTCCACCCTTGATTTTTTGCTTGAGGTTTTAAAGTAACATGAAACCCAGTTTTGATAATATAATTAATGTACTTACTTATTCATCATCAATTGAAAAAAAACACCATTTGTTATAAATCATCGAAATTAAATGTAAATTACGCTCATCATCATCATCCCGTGGGTGTTGTAAGAACCGACTAAGGGAGCAAACTACGCAGGATATTAGCACTACAAAGAGAAGGAAAACTTGAAACAAACCCTATACCGACCCATCTGGCCAGCGTGGTATAGTAGGCCAAAACCTCCTTTCTAAGGAGAGGCCTATGTCCAGCAGTGGACTAGTAAGGGCTGTGGATGGATGACGCTCTGAGTTTGTTTGTTTGTCAGTTTGTTATGCTTTCACGCCTAAACCATTAAACCAAATTTAAAAATTCTTTCACGAGTGGATAGTTACATTATCAGCAAGTAACATAGGCTACATTTTACCGCGATAACCGACATATACGTGGGCGGAGGTGTATTTATTAATTTAATTCACTAACAGTTATATACAATAGTTCATTACAAGAGACACACAAATTATTCGCTTAAAACTAATTGCATAATTAATAACAGGTGAATACAACATAACGGGGGGGGGGGGGGGGGTCGTCTACCTGTTGTTGTAGATGGCCCGAAGTATGTCGGGGCACCAGGGACTTCCTTTCTAGGGTATACCTGGTTCCCCGGCTATTAGTACCCGAGACGGCGTGCGGTTTTAGTCGGTTCGAGTCCGACATGCCACCGGTGGTATCCGAGGGGATTTCCGCACAAAAAAAAAAAAAAAAGGTGAATACAACATGCACAACAACATCGTCTCTAAAATTACATAATATTAAGTAATTAAATAGTTCAGTTACAATGATAATAATTATTATATTCACAATTATGTTGTTTGTTTATAAGTTCAGTATAATTTTTTCGTATCGGAAGACGCTTGGGAGCGTTAAACTTCACCCTTTCGAGCAGCACTGAGCAGTCCAAATGGCTGTGCAATAACTTGTAAAAGAAATTCTGATCTAAAAGTGTTCTTCTCTTTTCAAGCGTCGGTACCTTGAAGAATGACAGTTTTTCTTCTTACTTTTTAGTGAGTGCCAAATGCTACATGAAAAACTTCTGAATTCTTTCTAATCTCAAAATATGAGTAGAATAATGGGGTCTCCAAACGGTGGGGCAGTATTCGCAGTGTAGGCAAAAGCTAGTAAGAAATAACTGTCAGTAATTAGTTTTTTTTTATTGAATTTTAAGCTTCTCTATTTAAAAAGGTTAATTTAACTTAAGTCTTCTTTAATAACGCATAATAAACATAAACAAAGCTTTTTTGGTAATCTAACAAAAAAAATGCGTTCCTCTAAATATGTCCATATGTACATGTATATATTATTAATGGGTTATCGCGATAAAAGGTAGCCTTTGTTACTCTATTATAATGCAGCTTTCCATTGGTAAAAGAAGTTTTAAAATAGGTTTAGGCGTGAAAGGACACAGGTCAAGCAAATAAACTCACTTTTACATTTATAATATAAGTATGGATTAGATTTTACCAACGTTCAGTAGCTTCTACGTCTCATATGTAAAAGTCGTAGTTGGTTTAGAGAGAGCTACTAAATCTGAATGACATTAACAAAATACCGTCATCATTGTGAGAGAGCGTATGGCTCTTGGAACAAATGCGCCAGCTCGACATGAGTGATAATGGGACTAATGTCTCCCACACGCCCAGCACTGTAACCTGTAACCAGGATCCAGTGGCTCACGAACACACTGAATGAAACACAGGAAAAAAATATACTGTTTTGGAACCCCCCCCCTCCTAAATTAATCAATTTCGTTGCGGGGAGAAGAATATTGGAGGAGCAGGAAATACAAGAGTGATATTGATACCACTTCCTCACAGAAAACCGGTGTTAAGCAGTTCCTTGTCATTGAGTGAGTGAGGTTAAAAGAGCCCAAACTCACCTCCCCATTCTTCGGAGGGTATGCGTCAATGAAATTGAGGTGGAGGTGTCTATGGGGGCGGCAGTCACTTAACATCAGGAGACCCATCTACGGGTTAGAACTTGACGATGATATCCCAGAGAAATTAACGGAATTCTTAAATAAGAATATACACATCTATATTGGTTATTCTTTTTAAAGTAACTTATGTATTTGCTGTCGAAAAGCACTATTTTTTTAAATATGAGTGATGATGAAGACCACAGCTGGCAAACGAAATTTTTCAACAAAAAGTATAGTACTTATATCCTTTGTCCACTATATTGATGACACTTTTTACCCAATGGTAATCCGGTAATCTGGTCTGCCTTGCCCACTTTATTACATTAATTATGAACTAATTACTAGATTTTTACTAGGTAAGTCATATGTTTGTTGTTGATGTGTAATGTACGGGGGAAGCACTTTTAAAAAGACAGTTCGTAGACCTCACAACTTTGTAACATATTGCAAAACCAACCTATCAGGTATTATAATTTATTTAAAGAACACGTTTCATTTCAACGCTATCATTAAAGGTTCGGCACTCTTTTAAAATCGCGTCTAATCGGACGCAATCATACGATACGATACGAATACGAAGGGAGCGCAACAACATATTTATTAGTCTGTATTACATCTCATCGTCTCATAAAATGCAGGCAACCATGCATTTACTTACATCTTCATAAGGTTCAAAATTATCGCGTTCATAGCGGGAGAAGTAAGAAGGTGTCAATGACCGCGGAGGTCATTGCCAAATAAAACGCTCATTCGCGAAGCCCTCGAAACGCTAAAATGCCGCACCTTCTAATTAAAAATTAAGAAATCAACATAATCTAGCATACCATTTCTATAGAAAAGTGGCTACTTCGATATTGATTGTTGAATATAACGGACAACACCAAACAACATTAGAAATACTTCTTCAGTGAACATTATTTTTAAAATAGTGGCTCTGTCCGGGGTGCAACATTTTAAAGTCTCTGTACCCATAAAGTGCGTTGAGATCGAAGACATGACTTAGTGTATCAAAAACATTGAACCTTAAACACATGCAACTTTCTAGAGAGTGTTTTAAATAAACCTTCAAATTTTAATAAAAGAGCGTTGTGTTGTGTTTGAAAAAAAAATAGTTTGAATATGTTGTGGCTTGTGTTATTTTGTTTTCAATGTGCGTTAGTCAGCAGCACACCGCAGGCTCTAAGCAAGGTAGGTGGTCTAACAGTACTTAATGGACGACATTTTTTTACTCCAAAATTTAAACGGTAGTAGGTACCTCCCACGCACATGTACGGTAACGGACTTTCATAACTTGATGGTAAGTTGTTAGACTTTCATAACTTTCATCTGTTTTGTGTGAACACATAATTTATTTATTATCCGTGTATCTATTTTATAAGTGTTTTTACGGACACTAGACATAGCGATTAATGATAAAGAAAACATACAGAAGGATACTTTTCTTCGCATATTACTTTAAACGTCTTTTTCAAATAAATAAATTTTTTATTACTTATGAGTTCACTGGTAATACAAAACAATTATTTAGTTACCATGAGTTGTTGTAAAAGTACAGGCCGTTTCAGCCAGGGATTTTATTGAGAGATCATCTCATGTTTCTTATTGCATTACAGTATTTCCATCTTTACCGATTGTTCAAGCTTTCTGTAATATGTAAATAATTCTTTTCTATTTTAGTCTCAGTAGTTTCAAAGATTTTTATCATTAACTATAGACTACGAATCTTTGAATATTCATGTTATTCATTAATTATTCATACATTTGAAATCCTCACAACAAGCTTTTCTTTTGAAAAGTTTATTTATTTACATTGGTCATCTATGGACAGATGAACAATAATCGTATAATAAACAAATTTTGAACTTTATTGGTCACAAGATTACACTTTAGGTTATAATTTAACGTGGAACTTATGGGAATTAGTTGCCTGTGTTTTTTATTCGGATTTACGGAATCCTAAAAAGAAAGAAAGCTTGATCTTTTTTTGTTATCATATAATAATTCAACGGACATGAATGGTCAAAATATTTTTTTATTGAGATACAGATACCATATAGATCAAGATCTAGATCTAGAAGATATAGATCAAGATCTATATGGTATCTGTATAGAGCTAAAGGGTTATTTTATTTACTTTTAGGACATATAAACTGTATCTAATATTATAACATTAAATCCGAATGACTCATCTCAGTATTTCGCCAGAAAATAACAGTCCAGACTACGTATTTTAAGGTAGATACGATCTCTAAGCCTCCAAGAAACTGCATCAAGGCTTAAACGCACTTTTGACTTCAGTTGCAGATTATAAATGGCTATGGCGATACTATTTATATTATGAACAACAAAAAGTCACACATAACTTTTTGCAAGTAAAATAAAAAGATAACCGAGCTTCTTCCGTAACTGTAAGAATTTTTCTTCTTTAAAAGTCTTTGAAGAAAGGAAGCCTTTTAAACCATGAGAAAATTGAATTGTGCTTCTTCATCATCATCATCATCATCAACAGCCTTTAATAGTCCACTGCTGGACATAGGCCTCCCCTTAGAAAGGAGGTTTTGACCTACTATACCACGCTGGCCAGACGGGTTGGTATAGGGTTTGTTTCAAGTTTTACTTCTCTCTGCAGTGTTGTTGTCCTGCGTAGTTTTCTTCCTTAGTCGCCTCTTACGACACCCACGGGATGAATAGGGGTGGTGACACTCTGTATTCTTAATCTTAATCGTACATTAATGAACACAAAACTGGGCAATATAGATTTGATCGATTGTGCTCTGCTAAATAAATTTATTTTCCTATTTATCGTAAAATCGCGTTTATTATTACATGCCAAATCTGTCCATAACCTTAATTTGAATAACCCAATTAACCTAACTACTAACTTACTGACACGACTCTTGTAAACAGTCTTGTGGATAGTAACCTCATGTAATTAAAGATCCACTACATAATGGTAATCTGGTTAAGACTTAAAAACAAATAAAATGTTTAGATTAACTAGCCCCAATAACTAGCTGACTGAACGGATGGCGTAGTGGTTTGAGCGGTCACCCTGCCGCTTTTTACTGTGCTGAGTGTTGTGGGTTCAATCGTCATATAGGAATACACTTTGTATAATACACAAATTGTTGTTCTGAGTCTGGGTTTTGTTTATGTCCGTTTCATTATTGTTTGTAAACTCCCCCACGACACAGAAAATGTTTGTAGTGCGGGGGTTTAATTTAAAAAAAAAGAGAACTAGACACATTATTATATATATTAGGATATATCTCCATTTCTTTTTTTTTTCTTTTTTAAAGACAACGCCCGGCTGGTAGATCGAACCGGATATCTGGATATCCAGCTATAATAGTTATAGTCTGAACTGTTTTTATTTTGTACTGAATAAGAACCTACTTTTTATTTCACCATTCGTAAGCATAATATGTAAGTTGGTAGACTTACATATTATGCTTACGAAGTAAATCTGTACACCTCTCTTGCAAGGTTTGCTTCGTTTTTTTTTGCCTATTGAACCTACCATTCAATAATGACACTCGCCGATTTATCCAAGTAGATGTGCAACCTCTTTGCTTCAAAATTGAATTTCTTAGTACACTGAACAGCTATCATTCTTAATCAGCATTCTATTTTTCAATGTGAACAGGAACAAATAGTATTATCCCAAGATCCATTCCCACTGCCTTCAAAAAGAGAGTTGCGGCCATGTCAGGATTGCGGTAAGCACATTTTGAAGTTTTGTTTGCAAGTTTAATTGATCACAATGTCATAATACCTAAGAGAAAACCATCATCTTAAAAAAAATAAGAGATAGGAAAAACCAACTTTCTAGGAAAGTTGATGGCCAGTTCATGACCGTTGCAAAGTGGATTTATAACTTGACCAAGCGCAGGTACTCCTGGCCTATCTTATTGTGTTTCCAGCTTCCACACTATTAGACTTTTTAATTTATGTACGAATTCTAAAAATTAGTACTAATGTCAGGTCTTGATCAATAAGCATCAAATATATAGAGTCTTTTCCAAAACCTCCTTTCTAAGGCCTATATCCAGCAGTGGACTATTATAGCCTAACAGGCTATAATAGTCCACTGCTGGATGATTGATGATATTGAGTTTTAACTTTTTTAATAGCGTGTGGGGAACGCAACGAAGAAGGCCGAGTGGTTGGAGGCACAGATACCAGCGTCAACGCTTTTCCGTGGCTCGCGAGAGTTATCTTGCAAAAGTCATTTGGTTGTGCCGGCTCTCTTATCAATGATAGATACGTTGTTACTGCAGCTCATTGTATGAAAGGGTGAGTAATTGATACCTGTTCCCTTTCGTATCAGGAAAACAAACCTTTATTCTTAGATTATAAAGCATTTCTTTTGAGACCCAGTAACACCGTCATGGTCTTGAAACGTTCGCATTCCGTACGAGTATACGTGCGATAGGTGCATTCACATATCAAGTTTCATCGGAGGGCTGAGTTCAAGTTTATTTCACATCGACGAGCTCTCGACGGCGAGCGCGTTTAGCGTTGCGATTGGTGGAGATTTCAGTGCGGGCCAATCGTGGCGCCAAACGCGGTCACCGTGAAGATCGAGTTGATGTGATATAAACTCGCACTTGGTCCTCTGGTCCTATAGAAACTAAATGAAAGTAGAGGTATTCGAGTTTGCTACCTTCCGAAATATTGAAAATTGATATCGTGACGAAATTTATTTATTATACTGCCAGTACTTATCTGAAATACATGTAAATAATCATTGTAAAAAATCTTGGATTTTATACAGTGGGGTTCAGTTTTCTATAGAATATTAATCAATAGAAACTATAGTAGTTTATCATCTTGTAAAAATGACTATGCTGTATAAAGTCGGATTGATTTTATTCTAGATTCATGTGGTTTTTATTCCGTGTGACGTTTGGGGAGCACAACCGCTGCGATCAGTCTCAAAGGGCTATGTCTCGCGCTGTTGTGAAGGTGATAGCACACAACTTCACACTGACTGACCTGAGCAACGATATAGCATTGTTGAAGCTTAGCAGTCCCGTTGAGTACTCATATACGGTACGCCCTGTGTGTCTGCCTACCAACAAAGGTTAGTATAATTGTACATCAAGTCATGAAGGGAAGGCAAACGGGTCACTTTATGGTAAGCTACTACCGCCGCCCATGGACACCTGCAACTCAAAAATCACAATGCGTTGCTGCCCTTGGAGTCCCTCCCGCTCGAGTCAGCGGGAGGATCGGTCTAACCTAACCTAACTCACTCAGTGAAAGGCAACGAAAGAATTGCTTAACACCGGTTTTCTGCGAGGCCGTGGTATCACTCCAGTCGCGCCGGCCCATTCGTGCCGAAGCATGGCTCTCCCACGGGTGAAAATATATTCGAATATTATATATATTGTTATATTTGAATATGAGCCGCCGGTTTCTTAAAGCACTTTGAAACTACATAATGCACTACAGGTGTAGTGTTCTCTTGCTCTAGGAGTCTTTAAAGCTTCATGAGAGTTGAAAGAAGGGAAAGGGCTGCAATAGAAACTACCTATATACCCATATCTATATAATTAATACCGGATAAGTGCGGGTCTGATTCGTGCACCATTCAAGTAGTAAGTAGATGGTTAGTCTATATCGAGAAGGATTCTCGAAGAATTTAAGATTTTTATGTACGCCTGTGAATTTCTTCATTTAACCCATTTCGGATGGGAATTAGGGGTTATGGGGTATGGATAACTACATAAAAAAACTTGGCGTGGCATGGTGTACGATCAGTCTGGGTAGTGATTTTTGGAACGAAGTTTGAAGCAGATGGGAGCAAGACCGAAAACTGCGTAACAAGACTTTTTGCACACTTCTTGCTGGGATTTTTATTCCGTTTTCACTAATAGAGAGAGTGATCCAAGAGGAAGGTTTATATGTATATTATAATACATGCATATTATAGTGGAGAAAATTGAAGAATTTATAAGATTTGTCGTAAAAACATGCGCGCTTAAATTGCAAACGCTGGCTAAACCTCACGAAATAGACTTAAAATAATGTACAGTATTGCATATCTTAAAAGATCTACAGAAAAGTCTACCAAAAATCGAAAGAAACTTCATTCCGGCCAGGAGTCCATAGACCCCTTACGCCGTTTTATTTCTTGTTTGATTAGTAACTTGTTTCTCATATTTTAAATTTAATTTATAGTTCTAATAATATACACATATACATCGTTTTATGTTAACATTGTTAACGCGAAATAAAAGTTTGTAAACTCACATAACATAAACATTTTTTTATGAGATAAAACAAAATAGTTTTTAATTTGGTTTTCTACACATAGCGTGTTTTTTAGTTTTTTAAAACTATATATTTTTTTATAGATTTCACTGACCGCAGTCACAAGAATTTGATGTTTATTTTAATTAACAGTAGATAACATGTTGCTTAAAGAAAGATAAACTTAGCAGGAAAATGAGTAAAATTGCTGAAACGTGAGCTTGTGCAGCTAGTTTTATGTATTACTAACTTTTGCCCGCGACTCAGCTCAACTTTTACCGTGTGATACCACGGCCTCACAGAAGTGTTAAGCAATTCTTTCGTTGCCTCTCACTGAGTGACTGAGATTACCGGAGCCCAAATCCCCCTCCCGCTGACTCGAGCGGGAGGGACTCGAAGGGCAGCAACGCACTTGTAACTTATGAGTTGCAGGTGTCCATGGGCGGCGGAAGTTGCTTACCATCAGGTGACCCGTCTGCTCGTTTGCCCCCTTATACCATAAAAAATAAAGCGTGTAAAAAGGTCGCAATATGTGGCTTATCGTGGTAAAAGTAGTCCATGTTACTCGCTGATAATGTTTTAAAAATCAGCGCGAAAGCGTAACAAACAAAGAAACAAACTAACTTTTACATTTATAATATAAGCATAGAAGTATGGAATAAACTAATGGAACTGTTTATTCTTCGATATGAAAAAGAATTCACAATTTATGTTCAAATACAGAAAAGAATATATTTTGTACCAATCAACAAATTCATGCGTCGGTTTCGTCGGAGCAACGTTGATAAAACCTGCAGTAATCGAGTAACACTTTAAGGTATGCTTTAATAAATCTCCGAAGGCCGTCTTTATTTCTTGAACAATGTTGTATTGCATATAATTTAGGATCCTTTGGTCGTTAATGGCACGTTTATGGCTTAATACTGAATCGTTAAATATCAAGTTTTCATTTATTTTTATTAAAGATTTTAATCTTTTTATACCTTCTTTTCCAAATGACCTTTATACCTGTATCGCACCTTTTATATTTTTATCTCGGCTCTAGTACAATTTAATAGTTAATAGCGCGTCTCCGTTCCGCTCAGCCCGATGTCTGCCCTTTTTTTTTCCGTGCGGAAATCCCCTCGGATACCACCTGTCGGTGGCATGTCGGCCCGATGTCTGCCCTAACTTTTAAGTTTAGCAGTTGTGTCATTTACCCGGGAATAGCTATTAGCTCGTAGTTCAAATGATAATATTTTTTTATGGATTAAACTGGTAGTAGCCCCTAATACTGTGAAATATGGAATACTTTTAAGTTACCACTTTTCAAAATAAAAGTTGTCATTCTTTTTTTCAACTCAGTGAAAAACAGGCTTAAGGCTCACCTGGCCTGCTTGCAATTGGCCAGAAGTCTTGAAAGCGCATCTTTAAAACATATTTTTTAAGACCAATACCCTCTTGAAAAATCCCATACCGTTTTCTTTCGGGAAGACTTGAAAAATATAATAATATTCTTAACGCTATTTCAGATAATCTTTATAAGGGTACAACGGCATTGGTGGCAGGTTGGGGTGCTACAAACGAGACCGGTAAGTGGTCATGCACAGTCTTAGAAGCAGAGTTACCTGTTTTGAGCAACGAAGCATGCCGTAACACGAAGTACAACGCATCAAAAATCACGGAAGTCATGATGTGCGCTGGGTTTCCAGAAACGGCGCACAAGGATGCTTGCACAGTTAGTATTGTTATAATTTATTAATTTATTATAAATAATAATGATCTTCATTAGTAGATCTAAATTTTTATAAGTTAATACATCAAATGAATAAACATATTACGGCAAAGACTGTACCCTGTCACGCTTTCTGTGGCACATTGTGGTTGAAAATAGTAGAGAAAGAGCAACCTTGAAGCGTGTTGTCTATGGTGTCAAAATTTAAGCTGAGCTGAGTTTCTGAAGCGTACACAAACCAACATCACATTTATATATATATATTGACTGACTTTTTCAAAGTAAGAACTGATTTAACTTTTGCAAAGCTTGTCGTGACACCCATGCCATTGCACTTTATTGTACCACGACGTACGCTGCAATACATATCATGTTTGTATACATTTTGCCTGGGATACATAAAAGAATAGATAAGGATAGAGAAGGATAGAATAGGGGAAAAGTTCGAGCGAAAAAGTTAGAAGTTGTGTGTCAATAACAAAAAATGTGACTTGTATACGGTCACTGTGCATGTGTAGAGTCCAAGTTGGGTAAAGAACCCTTTTTTAGTGTCGCCATACTCATACAAAACAAAAATAACATAAGGCTCTAAAGTATATTTTAGATGATGTATATAAATCCACTCATGATTGTAATTCGCTAGAGATCTTTATCGAACGAAAGCTTTAAAGTGTTTCAGCTAGATTCTGAGATAGCACTCGATACAGTATATAGAAGACGTCAATATCTCGATAAAATCTGATGAGAATTTGACATAAAAATGAGATTTTAATGCAGTTTGTTTTACATTTCAGGGAGACAGTGGAGGCCCGCTGATTGCCGAGAATGATGAGCACATGTTTGATTTAATAGGTACAGACATATCTACATAAATATGTTTGCCAATATTGGTGCTAAAAGTTGGTTTGTTTCTGAGCGATTTAGTTTTGGACCGCTTTTTTTCAGGTGTAGTCTCTTGGGGGTACGGATGTGCTAGAAAAGGGTATCCTGGAGTGTTCACCAGAGTTACGAAATATTTGGACTGGATTAAAGATAATACAGAAGAAGGGTGCTACTGCCAATATTGATTTAATAAATTTCTTTAGATTAAAGCAAATAATATGTATTTATATTTACAATGTATTGAGGCAGATTATTTACATAAGCTTAACAAAGTGTGATAGTATTCAATAATAATAATCGTAAGCATAAAATAATATAACCTATGAGATAGTTGCTCATAATTTTGCATTTATTTTGTTAAGAATTTAAGGGCTTAAGATTTTTTATGGTACTTCGTAAATACTTCTCTAATAAACCTATCTTTATAAATGTCTTAAACGAAACCGAGAAGGAACGGAGCGCCTTTAGGATTGGTATTTTCATCCTGCCCAGGCTTTTATTTTCATAGGTGGATTCGTCCTGTTACAATATTTATGTACAGTTGGGTACAAATACTAGAGAAATTAAATTGCATTACATTTTAATCAAAGTAAATTTTATTTAATAATGATGTCTACATCAACTCATCATCCAATATCTACAGTTTTCAAGCAAAGTTAAAAATAAAAAAAAAACACGCAGCAATAAAATAATAATCACTAGTTGGTATTTTAATTAAGTTTTTCTACAACGATAAAAGACATATTCAATAATTAAAAATAACCCAGTCAGAGATTCGACTGTACTTCACGTAATGAAAAATATATTTTAATTTAAAATCGCCACATTAAAAATAATTAAGTGGCGATTCGGTCTACTATCAATAATGGGTCGAATAGACCAAAAAGAAAGATACCTTTAGGCGTTTCGGTAAGCTTGCCGAAACACGAGCGGAAGTCCGCTGGTTATAATGAATAATAGCGTAGATATAATATTCGATGGTGGCGAAGTATAAATAAGTATCGGAGTCTTAAAGATTCTGAAACATAATTTTAAAACTTACTGCAAGTATTGTGTGAGACAAATACGAGTAACTTGTCTATGGATATTGTACTCTTTCTTAGGAAATAAAATTAAGAAAGTTTAAAACTTACAAATACTTTTTAATTTAATACGTGGTTTTTATGAAATTTAGAGCATAGCCGTTGTCGTATCCCACATTGAAGAATAATCATGCTTATAATATAATTTTTAGCACAAACCACTCTGTGACAGAAATATATTGTATGTATTGAAAGCGTGGACATAACATAATCATGTTTTCTTTTAAACGTTCTCCTAAACAAATTGACCACAAAAATAGTTTTCTTTATACTTAAATTTACAATAAATAATATTAATAGCAAAGCCTACACCTTTTAAATAAGTGTAAGGAAATATTATTACTCACGCTTATTGAATTGAACAGCGTTTTTCACTTATTGTTATTTTAGTTGTGAAGCAGATGTGACTAATATGTATTTTTTAGTTATACCATTATTGTAGTTAAAACAAACTGGCAAAATAATGAATGTCACTTTCGTTTATGAAACATTGTCATGCTGACTTTTATTTTATGAAAACTAATTTAATCTTTTCCTAAAATTATTAATTTAGTTTAGTGTAAGCTAAAAATTCTTTATTCTGATATTTTTGTTTTAACCTTAAGGAAGATTGACGATTGAGAGTGGTTTGTGTAACGGACTGCTATTCCAAAGGTCGCGGGTTCGATTCCCGCTCAAGTCAAACGTTTGTGTGCATGAACTTTTAATGTTTGATTTGGTCTGGGCGTTTCTATGTATAATATTATTATGTATGTATTTACAAAAAAAAGTATATATGTATTTATATCAGTTGTCTAGTACCCATAGTACTAGCTCTGCTTAGTTTGGGACTAGATGGCGTTGTGTCAATGTGGTAGAAGATTATTATTGAATGACTATATTTGGAATGATTAATTATATTAGACCATTTCAAATTATTTTATTACTTTACTACACAAACATATTTAGATGTACCTATGCATTATAGGGATAGAGAAACGATATCATTTGAATCTGAAATGAATGATTCCAAATGCAAATATTACATTCAAACCTGTCCATTACTCCTTTCTAACATCCATATCGTTATTGAACTCTCAGTCTTACAGCAATGTACGATTAACATATTAAGATCTAGGGTTTAACTTTGTATCTAAAAGATGTATGTTTATATATGCACAATATAATAGTACTGGTTCAAGTTTGTGATGCCTGTTCGTTGAGTGCAACGTCCCCATTCAATCCCCAGTGTCCGGCTGTAGGCTCACGTTCAACCTGGTTTGGTACATCTATGTGAATTTTACCAACAAATAATTTTCAAATTTAATTATGTGGAAGATTGTGACAGTGGTTGTATTATGTTTGTGCACTTTAAAATGCGGGGTAAGATATATTAGTACTTTTAGATTTTATTTTATGAAATTTTAATAAAGTTTTTAAACATAATTTAAAAATAATAATAATAATAATGTAATAATTAGATAAAATAATCATCAATCAATTTGTCGTGGAGTTAGCTCCATGTAGAAGATAAATATATAACATATAAGAAATGTTACAAACAATTTCTTACCATATTCGAGTCCGACTTTAAATATAGAGAAACAAGCTAAAACACGTTGATGGGGCTGTAAAATTTGAGGGTTGCCCTCGATTTCTCTAGGATCCCATCATCAGATCCTGATTTGGTGGTAATGGGACTACCTCAGGAGTATAACCATTCGGTTACAAAAATAATAAGTCCACCATTGACGGAGATATCGCATAACAAATATGCAAAAAAAAAATAGCCGAATTGAAAACCTCCTCTTTTGTATTTTTAAGTCGGTTAAAAATTGATCTTATTAGAATATTATCAGTCAACATCGCAAGTAAAACGTGCTCTGACGAAATGTTACCTACATTTTTCATATAAATTCTGGCCAAATAAATTTTTGTACTAGTAATATACTCATTTATTTTTTTTATTTTTTGGTGGTTTAAGCAATATTTGTGTAAAAAGTTCTTTAAGTATACGAGTATATCTAACATGATTTAAAACGTAGTATTTTGATATCGTTAGTTTATGATAGATGGTTAGTAAAAATATATTTGAACTCAGGTAAATGCGGAAAACGATACAAAAACTACCACGGTGTCGAATACGGAATTTGAACCAGAAACAATTGCTAATGATGGCGAACATAGACGCACATGCCACTGTCGTAAGTAATAATCTTTAACAAGAAGGTAATACTTACTTTTCTTTGTCTAGACCACGGTCTAGATCTTAATAAATGGTACTGTACTGTAAAAAATACAGCTTTATTTTTTATTTCTTGGTTTTCCAACAATAGAGGTGTAATTTTTCTTCAAATTGAAGTTAGAGCAACTTCAGCTGTTTACAAATTTATTAAAAAGATAATTATTTAAAACGGTTCACGATAAACATAAGCTATCTCCTTTTTCGAAGTAGATTTTTTAGTATTAACAAATTCTATCAAATTCTTTTATTTTTGTTTCTCGTTTGAGTGGGGCTGGCTTGTATTTTTTTATCTAAGTTGCAATGATGTAAAGTGAACTGCTGAATACGCTTTTCCCGATGTCGAGGCGTTAATTATTCAGAAGTTGTCCGGGTACATCATCATTAGTAATGCATGCAGTTGGATGAACATAAATTGCTTAAAAACCATTATAAAGTAATCGAATCGATATGAGTGAAATGCCTATTATAGTGTACTTCAAGTGACTACATCAGTTTCACAACAATTAAAATGGTAATTTCCAAGAATACACGCACAAGTTACTATAAAAATATACATATCGCTATTAAAATTTATCATGAACACATTGAATTATATACATACATCAGATAATAATGTTAACTATAAAAGCACATTTTTATTCGCCTGGATTTCTCTAGTATTAATTATCAGTTCCTTACATGATGAGAATGGGAAGAACTGACATGAATATTTAAATGAAAACATAATTCCAACTTTGGCCAGCCATCTTTGAGGAACAGGATAACATACTTAGATAAAATAAAAACTAAACACCTCAATGTTAAAAAAAACTGATTATAAAGTACACTCAACAAGAGTGACTTCGCAGCTTAAGGCTCGACTTGTTTTCCAGTATTTCACTCTTAAGACTCAAAATCTAATATTTTAAATGAATCGTTTTATACACAATACGTGAATTACAAAAAAATAAGGCTTATTCTTAAAGGTTGTGGAGAGCGCAACGAGGCTTCTCGTATAGTTGGTGGTGTTGAGACAACGGTGAATGAGTTCCCTTGGGTTGCACGGCTGTCTTACCACAACAAGTTTTACTGCGGCAGTTCCCTCATCAACGATAGATTTGTTCTGACTGCAGCGCATTGTGTAAAAATGTAAGTTTATAATATAAACGACTTATAAGGGCTCACCTCAAGCGGCTGCAAATGCATCTTTTTATTTTAAATGTTATTAAGCTCTGATCGCGTCTTCGATGTTAACAAGTACTTACATCTGTCGAGGGGCACTCAAGTTTTACAATACAAAATAAATTTATATAAATCTAGATAAATGTAAGTCACTTTCTGTTTACGTCTTTGTTCTCAGAATTTCAACAAAAAAATCTATGCCCACTGTCACAAAACCAAGTTTTAAATGATATTTTCAAAGATCAGATCCCTAGAATATTTAAAAAGTATAAAACTTTAAAGTACAATTTAAAGATGTTTGTTTATTATAAAGTTTTGTGTATCTCCCCAACATGACTACATCTTTTTTTAAAGTGTACCTACGTGACAATGAACATAGCTTTAAGAGTTGTTTCTCTCATCAATCAGTCAGTTCTCATTCGATAATGCACTAGACTAGTGACTGTTATAGACTGGTTACTGTAGACATGTGCTGAAACGTTCAAGGCAAAATCTGTTGTCTGTATTGCGGCTATAAAAATAATCAGTAACTTTGATGCCTCTGTTGCTGTTTAAAACTAAAAACCGATTTACTTTCAGGTTCATGTGGTTCATGATAAAAGTCACCTTAGGTGAGCATGACCGGTGCAATAACACACACCGGCCCGTCACACGCTTCGTGACGAATGTGATCTCTCAGAACTTCAGCTACAGTAACTTCAATGACGACATAGCATTACTAAGACTGAATAACGTTGTACAAATTACAAACACTGTAAAGCCCGTGTGTCTCCCAATTGATGTTGGTAAGAAATTTCAAGCTAAAATGATTTAATCTTCTATTATCTCTGCACGTAAAAAAGGAAACTTTTCCTTTTAGTTATTATAAGGTAATTTTTATAAAAAAAATATAAGATGACATCTATGTCCTTCTCCTGGTATCAGACTACTTATTTGCCAACCAAGGACAACCAGGTTTGAGACAACCCAACAAGAATAACTAAGAAAAGTTCTCCAATCTAAAGTAACTAAAGGTCTAAACTAATGTCTCTAAAATTATAATTATAATGAAACAAACTAGTTTAAGTCCGCAATAACTAAATAAAATAGTGATCATAAGCATTCTTTAGTCTGTCTTTCATCAGTTTATCACAACAAAAACCTGTGATTTGATATATTGTAAATTGGCATATAAGGAGTGTGATACCAGGAGAAGTACATTGATGTCATTTTATAATCTTTGTTGTCTTAGTTTTTAAGTGATGTATTTTGATTGCAAATCCCAATTGCATAGAGAAGTTAATCTAAAGATTATTTTTTTCTATCCCCGAACATCACTTTTAAAAGCGTAGGTAGCTTAGTAATTTATATTATACAGAATTATATAGTGTTATGTAAATTAATTTGTAGTATGTACATATTTGGTTACGATTATTTAGCAACCATCATTCAAGTTTTATTTTGTTTTCGTCAATATTGATTTCCCGCATACATTTGTGAACTGCTAATTGCTAACTTAAAATTAGATAGCTTATGGTAATTATTTTAGAAAATACCAAGTGAAAACTCAAAATAAATATTTTTTTGCGTAATTATAAAATCATGCCTTACACGCAAAAAAGATACGATCGTTTTTTTAACAAATATCACGTAATAACTGCCTACGTAGTATAAATACTGGTATATATCAACTATACACATTCAACATACATCCCTGAAACTACAGTGACTTTCTTTGTGGGTTTGGATTCATTAAAAAAGGACTCCAAATATATATAACTTTGCTTTGGGTTGTTTACGTAATAGAAATTCTCTTCTCCTTATGTAATTATAAAGTTTTTAAAACTGATTTAAATTTTATCTCAAACCTTTCTTTAAGATAAAACTTATGTGGGAGTCAATGCAATAGCAGCGGGGTGGGGTACCGTAGGAGAAAAGAAGAACCATTCTTGTTACCTTCAGGAAGTTGAAGTGCCGGTTCTAAGCAACGAGGAATGTAAGGAAGGAAAATATTCAGCAAAAATGATTAGCGATACGATGATGTGCGCTGGTTATCTTAGAGAGGGGGGGAAGGATACGTGTCAGGTAACAAAATATCTTCTTCTTTCTTCTTTAAAAAAAAACACATACTTAATACCTCAGTACAGTGTTTCACAGGGGTTAATCTTCTATCTGGGGCAGAAATTGCTTAGCACACACAGTGGACAGTAGCACAGTGGACAGACACTGACGTTATTGACGCAGTCTTTATTTTCTTTACCAGGTGACGTATCTTTACTAAACAGTAACTAAAAAATGCACATAAAAACACATACAAACAAACATTCATACTGCATTGTATTCTCAAGGAGATAGACAGAAGTCATAAAACATTCACATTTTGCGAACTATAATGTGGACTAACTCACATAATAGGAGCCAATAGCCAGTAAGGAACTACTACAAATAAGTCAGCACAAAGATTTTCAAGTAATATGTGAATAAAATAATTAATATCGGTGCTTGCAACAATTGATCATCATCATCATTAACAGCTATTTCTAGTCCACTGCTGGACATAGGACTATCCTTAGAAAGGAGGTTTGTGCCTACTATTGATCAACAACAAGTAACAACAATTGATTGAGGCAATACTTGATCATAACGACTTTTAATTAACCCTCTTTTCTGTTAAATATTTAATGATAGTTCTCAGGTACATTGTATGTTATATGGTTATTGCATATTACAGGGTGACAGCGGAGGTCCACTGTCAGCTGAGAGAAGTGACAAGCGGCACGAACAGTTAGGTTAGTTTATAATTTCTGTTTGATTGTGATGATTTGATAAAAGACATAAAATTCTAGTTAAAAGTTTTATAAAAAAAAGCAGTAAAATCAGGAACGGTCAAAAGTTTATAATTTCAAACATTTCATGAATTTACTCTTGAGTCTGATCGATCGAAGCACATGGCTTTCCTGGTGACCATTGTTTATTGGCAGCTCTGATACTTGAAACAACTTAAAACTAAACTAAAAACTTTGATAAATGTACTCACCAGTAAGAACATACTAGTACTGTAATATAAATGTTGTTTAATCACTTCTGTCCTTGTGAATATTCTTAAATATTAATTAAATTATCTTATATCATTAGGTGCTATTGATAAATCCAAACATTATGTAATTTTAAGACTCAATAAATGACTGCAGGTGTGGTTTCTTGGGGCATCGGCTGCGGTCGAGTTGGCTATCCGGGAGTCTACACTAGAGTGACGAAGTACCTGAATTGGATCAAAAATGGAGCAAAATCTGGATGTTTTTGTACAGCTTAAATACATATATCGTTTATTCGTGATGTATTATAGTCGCATATTAGTCACGTAACAGTTTCATGTAATTTTTATTATATTATACATTATTCATTAAATTTATGGTTTACATATAAACTGTTGTTTTTTAAGGCAAATGGATGGGGGAGGGCAAGGTATTAATCCAAGACTCCAATTGAAGCACACATCTTTCTCTCTAATCTCTGTGCAATAACGTCCATCATCATCCTATTATCATTTTGAATCATGAATGATTTTTACGCAATACTGTAATTAATTGCTGAACCTGAATTAAGTACTATATTATCAATATAGTACTTTCAAATTGTAATCGATGTCGCAACTCTCATTATAGCCCGCATTTCTATTTAAAGGACTAGGATTGTTAGCTGTACGTTTTCCAATTAGTATTTACTCATCAGCGTTACGGACAACACAATAATGATTATTAGTACTTTGATGTGTATCTACCTACAATTTGTGGTAAGTGTAAATCATTTGCAATTAATAGAAGCTTACGATGAAGAGATAGAAGTTGTACAGAGCACTAAGTACGGTTCTTATGTATGGGAATTAACGTCATAGATGATATATAAGGTGACAGGCGTGTTGATCTATTGGTTAGTGACCCTAACTGCTAAGCCAGAGGTCATGGGTTCAATTTCAACGCAAGACAGATATTGTGTGATGAACACGATCATTAAATCTGTGTCTGGGTGTAATTTATCTGTAATATGTATGAATTTAAAAATATTTAAGTACGTTTATCAGCAGTCTTATTAGATACCTAAGCACAGGCTCTGCCTGCTTTGGGATCAGATGGCCGTGTTTAAGAAGTGTGGTGTTTAAGAAGTGAGGTGAGGTTATTATTTTTATTGACTTATGCATGAATATGAATATGTCGATGAGCGTTGGGTTTTTGAATTTGATTTGTCGTTTTATTAAGTACGAGTATTCAAAGATGATCTTAAATGTAGAACCAAACTGTTTTGCAGAAGCTAAGATAAGCATCATTATATTTTTGTTGGGTTTTAAATAATTTAATTGTAAAGATACGAAAACAAACTGGTCTTTTTATGGTCTTTACTTGTAATTGCTAAAGGACATATTAAATTTCAAATGAAATGTACTCCGGAAAACTGTAGGGAGTGTTTCTTTAGTGTAAAATCTTTTCTAACATTACCGTTTCGTTTCGTCCAACCTGCAACATATTTTATAACTGAAATTATTCAAATAAACAGTTATATATAGTTACAACGTATGTATTGCTAACTGAATTGCAATTATGTATAAACGCAAGCGTGTTCTGATATGCTTGATTTGAAGTTACTCAAGGCTCTACTAATTGTTACTTTTTGTGCTATTTACAAACTGTATGAGATATACATACTGTAAAAAAATTATTTAGAAATTCCTTATTATAACCTTGTATTTTTTTATTTTATGACACATCTCACACCCGGCCGTCTGATTCCAAACTAGATTCTGTGTTATGGTAACCAGACTGCTGATAAACAAACTTATATATTTCTATATTTATACATATGTATTATAGATAAATTACTCTAAGACACAAAACAAATTGAACGGAATCGGGAAATTGCCGATCTCGAGCGTAGAGGACGTCGGCGGCGATACGAGCTGTCGACGACGCCGCAGGCTGTCAGAGAGTGAGATCCTCTGGTGGCAGATTAACTGCTGCGGTAGGCGATAAGATGGTCGCAAAAATGAGATCGGTCTACAACATATTATAAGGATTGGGCCGATAGGCGGGGGAAGCCCGCGGCTTTCGATCCGGGGGGGACCTGAAATAACATGGTCCGGGTCCTCCTCGGAATAAGGTGCCTGAGTCCGTCCGTCGGGGTGGTTTTTACTAGAAAAACCACATTCTCCTGGGTCCTACATCCCAAAGCAGCCGAAGATCCAAAGAGATTTTAAGCCCCGTCTACTAAAAAAAAGACACAGAACAAATGATCAAGCTCATCACACAATTATTTGTAATGGATGGGAATCGAACCCACGACCTTAGCAGTCAGGATCACTAACCACTACGCTAACAGGCCTATAATATTATCATAATGTATAAACATTAAAGACAATTATTTTCTTTACATAATTTTGATGTTAACTTTACTTTAGTATGTAACATCACACATGAATATCTGCTGAGTGTAGCGTAGGAGTTCCAACTGGCCTCCTTGAAAGTCATTCGAAGGTCCATGTCCAGCAGTGGACGTTCTGTGACTGACATGATGATAATGATGCAACACCATCTGGTCTCAACATTTTGAAAATAATTCTAACATTACAGTTTGGCGTTCAAAGTACTAGAGGAATATTTGGGTTGGGGTATGGATTTCAACGAGTCTGTTTTTGCCGTAAGTATATCAGTCTTTCAATCAGAAAGTATTTACGTCTATAACAGCATCCTAGTGATTCGGCTAACTAATAGTGCCTTTCTTATCATTTCAAAGTCGAAATTCACAAGAAAAAGTACATCTATTTCGTTTACGTGTTCGTCCTATTTCAAACGTTTGGGATTTCAAATTTACATATCTTTTAAACCAATATCTAAAATTCTAGATACTGATACGTAGATCTTTAGGAAAATTAAGACTGACTTTATAGACTGTACTTGTAATTTTGTATTCTTTGCAACCAACAAATATATCAAATAACATTTCTCATAAATGTTAAAGGATGTGGAGTAACTAATGGGAATTCTGGGAATACGAGGACAGGCCGGGTATCAGGGGAATGGTATATAAGTCCCCATGAGTATCCCTGGCTGGTAGCCATCAACATTGGACCACAAGTCATAGCAGGCTCATTGATTTCCGACAGCCATATTCTTACAGCTGCATCTCCCTTGTACGGGTAAGACACTTCAGTCCCAAAAATTTATTATTATATTGTATATCTTATACTAACTATGCCAGGATTTAACTAACTTTAATACATTAACTAATTTATTATTTGGTTTTGCTTTTTTCTTCCCAAAGGAGATACATTTTAAGCTGGATATAGAAGTTTCTAAAAATCAAAAGTTAAAGATTTATATTAAAATTGGAATGCCAGAACACTGCAATAGTCCATTTCTTTGTCAAAACAGAAGAATTATTTTATTGTCAGAAAAAGTATGAGTAACTTTCTTAGAGCAATAAACTGACCAGTCTACTTATTATGTAACACGATTTCTGACATAAGTTACAGATTTACATCATTACCTGTATCAATATCATTACATTTATATGTTTTAGTAACAGAAGCATTAAACTATCGGAAATTTTATTAACGCTTATGTTACTAAAACACGCTCACGTGACGAAATAATCTGCTATACACTTACATTATGCAGATCGTAAGTGGTCGATAACGTGAGAAGTTGAACTAAAATGGTACTTTATAGTACTACACACGGGCCCTTAGTGAGGCTTAGTGGCACTACTATGAGCCCAATCAAGTTGTAGTGAGCACTCGAGTCACAATGCAGCAGTGGCATACCGAGTCGAGGAGATAAATTAAACTAATCGACAAAAATAAAATAATCATAATATATTGCTTGGTCAGATTATCTGAGGTCGGTTTCGCGTGATGACGCTGAATTCCTTGCAAATGCATCTATTTCCTTTTTCATATATTACATACTGTTACGATCGGGGTATACAATGAAAAAAAGTAGTCGGTTAATTACTTTTATTGCACTGTATTTACAAACACTCACTATTACAAACAAGAAATCACTATTTAACTCGTAGTTATAGGGCTATCCAAATTACTAGACTAATCCCGAGGATCCAATAGAATGTTCCAATCAGAACCACGTACAATAAGGAATCTACCAATTTTTATAATCTTTTGATATTCGACACTAGATGGCACTGCAAGTATTTTAATTAAAAACCATAATCTCAATCTTAAAGCGTAGCGTTCGTTGTACCCCACTTGATACTAGATAGCGCTGTCCTCTAGACACAACACGAGAACCACTCAATCCGATGGCGCAACAATACTAAATTTTCTGAAATTTTCTGAAAATGTCAGGGCGATATTCTTAAATATTTTATTTAGTTCTGAAACCCGAGCAATAGATGATTATTACTTTAATTTAACAACATCACATTTCCTCCAATAAAAGCGTTCTAAGCTAAGCCTAATTAATCAAATCGATTAAAATCGATAATTATCCTTTCAGTTTGACACCTGATCGCCTTACTGTAACCCTTGGAGCACACGACCGATGCGCAGTCGGTGGTTCTGCATTGAATGTGAGCGTAGAATCTATAATCCTAAGATCAGGATATTCCCCAAAGAGTTTGGAAAATAATTTGGCTCTAGTAAAGTTACAACATGCTGTCGTTTTCAGCCAGTACATATCGCCAATTTGTTTACCCTTTTTAGGTTAGTATCGATAAAAATTACTTACTATTCCAATCCACTCTACTGACTATAATATATACAAGTTTTAAAATAATAAATGATCGTATCAACATGGATTGTAATTTGTAATGCCTTAGGTCTTATTTTACATATAATTTATGATCTTAAATAATAAAATTATGGGCTGTATCAAATACTTCCATTTATGTTATGTTGCCAACTTGGAATAAGGGCCTTTTGTTATAGAAATAAATCTCATCCTGAGATCGCTGCCATAGTTTGGATTCGGTACGCTGGTACCAAATAAGGTTTGCTGTAAGTTACGAGTACCGATTAGCTATTAAGAGTGTAACAAACCAACTACATTTAGAAAATTAACATATTACTCTGCGTTTAAGTATAGGTAATTTACATAGTAATAAATTTTATACGTTGGGTGTATACCGTTGGCTGTGGGTTCAGTGGCACACTGACAGTTATGTTCTATGTGTTATTCTTATTTTTGCGTCTTATTTAAATATTAAACAAACTTTGCTGAGACATTTAAATAAGCTTAAACAATAGATCGAAAAATTTAAAACTAGAACGTTATGAAAATGACGGGCCTGTTGATCTAATCGTTAGTGATTCTGACTGCTGAACCACTGTTCGATTCCCACCCAGGATGAATAATTGTGTGATGAGCACGATTATTTGTTCTGCGTCTGGGTGTAATTTATCTATAATATTTATAGCATTTAGAATAGTATTTAGAAATACGTAAGTGTGTTTACCAGTAGTCTGGTTACCATAGTACAGACTGCCTAGTTTGGGATCAGACGGCCGTGTGTCAGATGTGTGAGGTTGTACTTATAATTATATATTTTTTTAGGCACTAGATATAGTGAACAATTGACTTGGATAGCTGGATGGTCACCAATTAACTTAAGCTGTACTCCACACGTTGCCATATTACCCACTCTTCCGACAGCAGCCTGTCTCCAGGAAGCTGGAAATAACCTATCAAGAAATGATAAAGGATGTCTTGGGCCGTTAAGTTTTCAAAATGGAACCTGTAAGGTAACGTTTTTATGATTATTAACATGATAGTGCAAAAGATGAATCCCTATGGTATACAATTAAAGTACATAAACTGACTAGTTACAAATACACAAAAAATAACGGTAAAACCTGTTGCTTATGGCGAAAGTTCGCACATCTTTTTCCTTTACATTAAACTGCTGGACATAGACCTCTCTTTACAAAGACCCACTATACCACGATGACCAGACGAGTTGGTATAGACATCTTCGGATTATTTGAATGATAAGGTCAAACCTCATAAATAACAGTGTAATATAATATTACTTTTTTTTGGCAGAATGACGTAGGTTCTCCTGTAATGGTCCGCTGGTCATCCAACGCATCACTTCGTTTGGCAGGTGTTCTAACTAAATCGTCGTGTGACATCACTACATCATCCTTGTACACCAGAGTCGTCGACTATATTGGATGGATACACGAACATATACGACGCGATTGCCAGTGTATATAATATAAAAATACATACAATTTATTTTATTACAAAATTAAATTAAATGCAAAATATTTTCCTGAATTTTTTTTAAAGAAATAAGTATACAACAGTGAGAATCATGCTTATTTTTAAAACATGCACATTCTTAAAAAAACACATTCTATCATGTAATCGGAGGCAGTCCGACAGCAGAGGCAGACAGTCTACTTAGCAGAAGGTCCTTGACCAAAATGGCTAGCTGTTAAAGAAAAACGCATTCGGATCTTCCGATAGCGTATTTAAGTTTTTGGGTAAGGGGTACCTATATTTAAAAGTTGGTGTGCTAATTTCTTAAAAGTATAGCCAGTTTCTTACTACTGTAAGTCGAGATAGGCAAATAGTTATTAAATTTTATCAAACCAGGTGTCGAGTAACTCGTAGAGTGGATCAACGTGAATTACGTGTGTTAGTATCCCATTCCTAGAGTTCACCTTATGTCTTGTATTATAATTTTTATTACAACAAGACGCACTCAATTAGGTTCTATGTAACAATATTTTCAGGTCTTAATATTTGTCAAGGTTACATCTGAACTCAAAACGAATACATTTAACATTTTACAAATTACAAACATTTTGAAACAAATGAGCTAAGTTTTAAAAGAAAATATGGAACGTGCTTCTCATACTGGACAGATTCCTAGATCATATGTATAAGCAATATTCATTCGATTTTTCTCATTAAAGTAGAAAATGAGGTAAACAAATAATCAACCTTAATATAAATTATTAATATCAATACGCCTGCATCGTGAAGAATTGTAATAAACTGTATTTTTCATTCTTTAAATTTCCACTCTAAGGGTGATATTTGTTCTTCAAATTGGAATGGGACCATACGTAAAGCATGAAATAACCTCTCAAATAAATAAAAAATGAAATCATTTTAATATTATTTTTAATTATTATTTGATTTTTAAATCACTTACGGTAAAAATCCTATCTAAGGACAGGTGTGTGCCCAGCAGTGGACTGCTATAGGCTGTTGATGATGATGACGGTAAATTTACAAAACCTCTCAGGGTTCATAAACTATATAATTATGAAGTAACAGATATTAATAAAATACAACCGAATTGAGAACTCCTCTTTTTTTTTAATTAAGACAAATTCACAATGTGACCTACCAGCTGCACTACATACCGTCTAGTTGTTTCTCCAAAAGTAGTCCAATCTATACATATCAATATAGTAGTTCAGATTTTATCATTCGTAATGCATTTCGCTCGATTTCACATGATCACCGGAAAGAATATTAATTTTAACCACCAGGGTTGTCACGTATCGGTTTACTAAATAGAGTCATGTTGGACTCTGTTATCAGTTCCTAAATATTGTATATTCGTTAGGATTACTTTTTTAAGTTTACATTACCCTTAAACACGCAAAATAACCATGTCATGTTTTTATCTTTAGGTATCTTATTAGAAAATTCAAACTGTAGGTTAAAATTGCCTGTTCTTTGTTGTAAATAAAAAGCTTAGAAATAAAATCAGGATCTTTCATCAGAAATTTTCGAACCCTATTTTGCACCCTTAGGGGTGGATTTATTAAATCCTTTCTTATTGCACACCTACGTTACCTAAGGTACATTTGTGCAAAATTTTATGCTTCTAGACCCAGCGGTTTCAGCTGTCTGTTGCTCGATCAGTCAGTGAATCAGACCGTCCGTTTCTTCTAGATTTTATAGATATGGAATATTACATTCCATTATTTTGTAAGATTTGAAGACACAGAAACATATTTGGTCTTCAAATTTTATTTCTGTTAACTGAGGGCTAAGGCAGCTGCCTATATTCAGCAGTGGACTGCAATATCTTGATTGATTGATTCATTGAAGCAGTATTTTCACCAGGTATCTAAACGTGACGGACGTACGTACGTACGTACGTGGGTGTCATTATGTATGCACATGGACTTCCTTTACTTCTTCCTTAATTTTACATTAATGAATTTATTCTAAAACTGATTTTAATTGTATTGACTAGTCTTGTGTGCTGTCGCTGAACTTCAACTCATGAAACTGACCTATTAACCAATAATCAAGACATTGTCCCCTATAAATTCATTCAATGTCCGTGAATCTGAGAGTACTTGAACTTTGTATGTTAATTAATTTGTTCATAGACTCGATTGCATTGTTTTCTTCAAGGTTTGTCGAATGAACAATGGCAGAAACATATTTACTTAAAACTTAAGCATTTAAATAATTGATTAACAGTAACTTAATTACTATTTTTTTCTGTGATTTATCATTACACCACCATGTGTTGTATAAGTCTTATAAAAGATAGGATATTTTTGAAGAACTTATTTGACTTAAGTTCCTAATGTCTGATGTAAATTTGACGTAATATTATTATTAAATATAGAGGTAATAACTTTGATGTTGTTTTTGTTTTGATGAAATTGTTGTTTCAAGACTAATAATAAATATTAAGAAATTATTATTAACTATTGTGATTCTACAGAAGAGAAAATGGGATTAGTTTGAGTTTTGATAGTGTGTTTCTTTGCTATTTTATTCTGTTAGAGGTAGATAAGAAAAAACAAATGTGACTTATACTGTATATTATACTGTGAGATTTTCTTTAGTGCACTGAAAGTCTCCTTAAGATTTTTCTTTCTTATACCATTTAAATTACAGTAAAAACTTAATATTATTTATATTTAAAATATGGTAGTGCCGTTCATGAAAAAACTTTGGTAATATTTTAGACCACATTCTTGCTTTAGAAAATTAAAAAGAATACAAAACACGTTTGTTTTGTGTCACGTGAAGCTGATAAACACCGCTGGCTTGCACCCTTGCCGTTATCAAAAAGTCCAAGACTCACAAGAAACAGACGCCTTGCCTCGTCGACAATTCTGCGAGTGGTTTATCGCATACCCTGGTGCCAATATTTTGTGGACAGACGAGGCCTTGTTTATTCGTGTGGTTTTGTACAACCAAGATCTAGACTACATTTTGAATCCAGATATCTAGAAGAGTACTCGTACATTTTGAACATTTGTACCTCTTATTGCTTTTTTTATAAATAATGGTTCATATCACTAAAGATTTATGTATTTTTTACTTATTTCAAACGTGCCCTTTAATTAAGTAAAGTTCGATACCGATGGAGAGGTCATTGACACTTGCGCGCCTACCGGTTGCAGTGTGTCTACAAATTGCGAGTTCTTGAGACAACTTTGTGATGCTAATTACTCAATATTTTTGTACCATGTGAAGTACTACTAAAGATATCTTCTGTGTTAATTTGGACGGAAAGATCAAGGTCAAGAGTGATATATATATACACGAGTATATGGTTTTATTTTTAGAAAATTTACCAAAAAGAAACCTCGGTCATTCAGGTACTTTGTATTAACATGTCAAACAAATGTCATTGACAATATGCTAGTACCACCTTAACCTCGAAATATTCAAAAATCAATATCTTTTTTATGACTTCTTTCGCTAGTAATTGTTATGATAATGGTCAAGAATAAATTCTCAAGTGTTTAAGGTATTTTTGATATTTCAACGCTACCATTTCACTCCAAATAAAATTATGTATGGGGACTTGCCATTGTCCTTTGGGATTTGGTGCGAGAAAGGGAAAATTGGTTACAGATACATTTTTCATTGATATACGAATAATTCTATTATATGGCTTTTGTATCATACGTGCATGCATAATACGAGTACATATCTGACTGACTGACTAATTGAAGAGCCTGCTGGTGTAGTGGTTAGCGATCCTAACTGGTAGGTCAGAAGTCGTGGGTGCGATTTCCACCCACGATAAATATTGTGTAAGACATAGAACGAATGATCATGCTAAATGATCATTCGTTCTATGTCTGGGTGCAATAGATTTAAAAAAATATATTCAGAAGTCTATATCTATAAAATAAGAAACTGACAGATTGATTTATTGACTGATCGATCAACGAACAGCTGAAATCACTGGGTATAGAAGCATAAAATTTTGAACAAATGTTCCTTAGGTGACGTAGGTGTGCACTAAAAAGGATTTAAAAAAAAATTACCTCTAAGGGGTTAAATGGGGGTTGGAAATTTATATGAAACTTCGTCATTTTTGGTAGTAGCGTTTTCTAACTCACGGTTAACACTCTTTATTAAAGGATTAAACAACGTTGTATCTTATTTTTCAAAACTACCCTTAAAAAGGGGTGCAAGTTTGTATGGAGAATATACCTACAATCTTTATGCATTGTATCCCCTACGATTCGTATTTAAATATATATGTGGTCAGGTGACGGCAATGGGTTGGCCCTTTAGTATGTAAGTGGTACTAAATTATAGTCGGCAAGATGTGGGCGGGCTAAAGACATGAGTGCATGTTTTGTGGAAAGAAAACAGTTTTTTTTCTTCTAATAACATAATTGGTTTTCGCCAATCAATAAAACCAATGCATACAAAAGTAAAAGTAATAAATATTCAGTTACCCAACTCTACAAGAGTAAGTGAATTGTTTATTTGCAAACAAGCGGACTGTATAATATACTAATCTACTATATCCATATTAAATTTCATCTAAATCGGATCAGCAGTTGTTGATTGCGCACACAAATTTCCACCCCCCTTTTCACCTTGAAGGACGATTTCTGGTTTAAAAATTATCCAATGTCCTTTTCCAGGACTCGAACTATCTCTATACCAAATTTAATCTACATCGGTTCAGCGGTTTAAGCGTGAAGAGGTAACAGACAGATAGACAGACACACTTTCGAATTTATAATATTGGTATGATTAATCAAAATTCTCTGTTTTTGTGACCCTTAATATAGTAGCTTTGAGTTTTATTTTTTGAATTGAAAAGCTAAGCTAAAATGTAATTTTGTTATTTATCACACTTTAGTTTAGCTTTTCATTGATTTATTTTTTTAATGTTTTATTATTCACCGGCATGGACCGAAAATGGATACATTTTCGATACATACATTATGCAAGTAACAATAAGATTAAGATTACAGGGTCAGGGTAGTTGAAATCATAAGTTTATTATTCACAATTGTATTTTATTAAATATAAAAATAAATCACATTTTTATAACATATTGTTAACTATAAAATGAGGTAAATTTGTCAATAACGAAACTCTTAGATCAAAAAAATTATTAAAAGGACACAAAACTTCTTCTTGTAATAATTATTTGAACAGCGTAGGGCTTCAAACTAAAAGAATTACGCGAATGCAATCAGTACTAAGTACGCATTCTAAAGGTTTCACAATTGTCGGTGATTTCGTGCTTTGAGTCACGAAGGCCAAGCCCTGTAGTATTCTCAGGACTTATACTAATTTATTTATTAACGGTTAGTTACAGCTACTAGATACAAACTATTGTTTATATGTAATTAAATTAAAAACAATAACTGCTGCATTTGCCATCTGTGTTCTCATAACATTATCTTAGTAATCCTAGTATAAAGATTAGAGATTGACTTGACTGATAAAACTGTCATTGTATTTAAAAAAAATAATCTTAAAATGATTAAAATTATGATTTGTCTTACTAGTAAATTTAAGCTTGACTAGTTTTTCTTTTCATTACATCCGCATCAAGGATATCCTTTTCGTGGTAGAGGGGGAGCCCACCTGGCTTCAAAATGGCATCTGGTGCTTTAAGTGTAGAATTGTATGAAGGGTTTAGCGGATGTAGAGGTCCCCACGAGATCTTTACGGCTTCTCGAGCTTCTTCTGTACCAAGTTCGTAGTGGCTACCATCACCAGTACGTATAATACGATTTTTCACCTTGAGAAAATATAATTTTAATTTAACAAAGATGTTTATCATCATCAACAGCCTTTAATAGTAGACTGCTGGAAATAGGCCTTAGAAAGGAGTGCCTTAGAAAAGAGGTTTTGGCCTACTTTTCTACGCTGGCCAAACGGATTGGTATAGGGTGTGTTTCAAGTTTTAGTTCTCTCTCCTCCTTGCACTGCTGTTGTCTTGCAGAGTTTGCTCACTTAGTCAGCTCTTACGACACCCACGGGATGAATAGGAGTGGTGACACTCCATATTCATGTATCGACATAAGACCGTTAAAATAATTAAAAGTTTCTCTTTCATCGGCTTCAGTGTTTTAATGAAACTCAAGTGCAATTTAATATCAATTAAGCCTTATCCTCAGCCTTAATGTCAGGCATTTTATTTTATAATATGGATGGAAAAGAGCATTCGGCTGCCCTGATGATAAATGACTACCGCTGTCCATGGACACCTGTAACTCTTCTTTCTGCTTTAACCTCACTCAATCGGTGAAATAAAACGAATGAATTGCTTAATACTGATGTTCTATGAGGCCGTGGTATAACATCGCTTGAGCCTACTTATATATACCGAAGCATGGCTATCCCACGGTCCCACAAGGAGAAAAAACTATCACTTACTAATTCCGGTGAAGCAGTCTTCAAATCGTATGCAAGTCCAATCCTCTCCAAGAACCTAATGATACTTGCTGACTGATTGAAGTGCATAGACAGTTCAGCAGCTTTGTAGTCCCAGGGGAATGCGTGGTGGTAGTTGTGCCAACCTTCACCTAGGCTTATCAGAGATACGAACCAAGATTCCACAGGCTGTAAATTTCTATGGAAAGAAAGAAATCATATATTCAATAAATTACAGATAACTTATGTTTTAACTTTTAAACATAGACATGTGTTTCTACATCACTATGTAGGTGCCTATATTATTTGATGTACTACTTTATAAAATTAATGTCTTTAAATAGGTAGTTTGTCATTTAAAAAATAATTGACGGTTCTCCTTGCAATAGGTAGGTACATTATATTGACAGAAAGTGATGGGAGTTTAAGTAATGAATAATTTATTTTCTGCTATTGTTAGAGTTAACTGTTTTTAATCCATAGATTATTTCAATCCATAGACATTAGATTATTCATCCCGTGGGTGTCGTAAGAGCCGAGTAAGGGATCAAACTGCACAGGACAACAGCACTGCCAAAAGAAGGAAAACTGAAACAAACCCTACACCAACCCGTCTGGCCAGCGTGGTATAGTAGGCCAAAACTCCCTTCTAAGGAGAGGCCCATGTCCAGCAGTGGACTATTATAGGCTATTGATGATGATGGATGATGAATCCATAGATCAAGAATCAATAATGTAAATTGAAGATACCAATTCTAATTTTAAGTTATGTCTTTGTATGTATAGTTTTGCACACATGTCTGTTTAACTACCTGTGTCAATTCAAAAATTTATCACTCTGTTAGAAACACAAGTCTGAAATGAATACCTAATCAATTAAATAAATGATACACACTGATCATAAGGTCTTGTTCCATATAGATGCGCCGCGCTGTTGACGAGCCAAGTGCCGTTTAATGACAGGACGTAACGGCCGAAGTAGCAAACCAACAGGGAGGTCCATAGGTTTTCTCCAAAGAAATAAACTGGCACCGACGTAGGAATAAATATAGCTAGTAAAAAGTATAAATAGTAATAATACCTGAAACAATATAAAGTGTAGTGAAAATATTTTCTTTTGAAGATCTCACCAAACGGAAACTCCAAATCGAATATTTTATTCTAAGCCTGAGTAAAAGTGTAATAATTATTATTGTGATCCTTGAAGGAGTCCAAAGATTAATCAGTAGTTTGAAACGGAAGAATATTTATTTTCTAATTTTTGATTTTATGCGTTATTTGTCTGTAAAAATATTTATAATTCATGGTGGGTCCTAAAATATAATTATTTGCGCTTAACACTTTTTCATAAATATTTTACTTGCAGTTAAGAATTATTTTATTTTCTTCATTTTGTTATAATCCACGGGTGTAATTAATTTAATCCAAAGGTAACTCTATACCATCAAATCCATCTTAATACGAGTCCATAAAATACTTTAATAAATCTATTAAAGTATTTGATATAATAAAGCGACGACATAGATAACATAACCATGTTATTTATATCTTTACATAGTACAAAATAAAGTCGCTTTTTTGTGTTGTACGCTTAGATCCTATTATAGATATTTATTATATAATTTTATAGATATTTAACCTAAGCAACGGATTATAATGCAGTTTTCACCAATAGAGAGCGCGATTCAAGAGCAAGGTGTATATGTATAATACATGCATATTATAGCCGATTAAATCCGAGAATTTCAAAGATTTGTTTTAAAAACATTTTTTTGTGCGTACATTTTTTGTGCGTGTGCGTTACATTGTAAACGCTGGGTAAACCTTATGAGATAGACCAAAATAATGTACTACGGAATTGTATATCTCAAAAAGATCTACTTTATTCCTCAATAGTATATGTCTATCTTCTAAGGATAACCCACAGTAAACATTTTTGTCTTTTAAATATTACAAAAAAATAATGGGTTATTTACGAAGCTATTTTAAACAATACATTATTAATCGATACGTTGTGCATTTAATGTAGATTGAAATTACTCTTTACAGCACATCATTAAAATGAATATTTTCAGAAAATGAAAATATGAAGATATTAGAGGTTTAAAATGCCAACGACAGTCGAGCCGTACTTCCGTATCGGGTGGCAGCGGCCGGCAGGATCGGTGAGGGCCTATAAATATTGCATTCAACGATGTCCTGTAGTATAGTCCTATCATAGTAATAGTATAATTAATTACTCCACGCATTATTATACACTAACATTGTATATTAATATTGTATTAGTAGTATCAACATTGCACCCGTGCGAAGCCGGGGCGGATCGCTGGTATATTATATGAAAATACTTGACCTGACTGACTGATTCATCAATACAGAGCCTAACCCGCCGGGACTATAAACATGATTTTTTTGCAGCTGATGGCTTTTGTGTTGTAAGCACCTACTTAGAAAGGATTTTTTGGATATTTTACTTATAAGGGGGTGAAATACGGAATTAATGGTTGTATGGAAGTTCATCATTTTCAAAGTTTGACACACGAAATAAGAAATCATCACGCGAGCAAAGCCTATAGCAATAGATAGTCTGTTATAACACTCGGGCTTTCCGGCAACAGTTAATTAACAGAATAACCTATACTTAAGTATTCCTTTCCTGCCGTTATCTTCGTTCTTATCTATATTACTTCCCACATTCCTCCAATTTTTCTCACATGATCCCCAGAGTGATCTAAATTGTAGTTGGCAAGTATAGTCAACAATTTGTTTTATCTTTTACTTGCGACCCGCCTCGGCTTCGCACAGGTGAAATTTCTACGATATCACGCTCCAAATCTTAGAAATTCTCTGATTTTTCCTCTATAATATGCATGTATTATACATATAAACCTTCCTCTTGAATCACTCTCTATGTATGTGAAAACCACATTAAAATACATCGCGTAGTTTGAAAGATCTAAGCGTGCAGGAACGGTAAGCGACACTTACTTTTTCTGAAACATAACCATCCAATCAGCCTGCAAATCACTCATATCAATTCTTCGGCCAAGTTCGATGACGTAAGGGTGTTTTTTAGTCATAAGCCATCCCATATGGCAAAAGAAGAACCCACGTTTTGAGTTGTGTGGATCGCCATCTGTATCGGAATATCGATGGTGCAAGCGGTGATCACGACACCATATAAAAACAGAATTCTGAAAGAAAATTGTAAACGAAGTTAACCAAGATTTAAAAAAAAGTTCATAATTTTCAGCAACTTTCTGTTATTATAGTTAATATAAATAAAAACCATAAATCAGATCTTCTTGGAGAGGCAGTTAACTTGACATACCGATCGATTAACTCGAGCCTATTGGCTCACTTGATTAAACTTCAGGGAGAGGGATAATGCGATGACACGTTCTAAAATCGACTAATGCATAAATTTGGCAATTCATTCATTTAATCACAAAATAATTTATTCTAGAGCTGCCAAGACAAGCATTATTTAATTTGACTGCAAGTGACATTCAAATACTTTTAGTTATCTTTTACTGTCTTTTAAAGATCGGAATAGAATAATTATAAGGGTTACGCTGTACATCATCATTGACCAATTATTAAAGTTTTTACAACTCACAAAGGTAAATATTGCCTTACTAGGGATAGTAGAAAATGTTTTAAATTGAAGTTTGTATTAAATACGTTTCTACATACACACACATACACTCACATACACACACACACACACACAAACACACACACAAACGCACAGACACACAGGATGTAGGAACGGAATAAAAAGATTAAGTTACCTGACCAGCTATTGTCTGCAAGGCGATGAGTATAGCCTTGAGAACCGGAGTAGCTTTAAATGATTTGTGCGTAAAACATCTATGAGCTCCAATTGTCACGCCTTCGGAACCAGCATACGTAATACAAACAGCTGAAATTATCAGATAATAACAAATGATAATAGTCAGATAACTTATTAATTAAATATTTTATACAATGTACTTACTCCATATGAAGGTGCTCAAATAAATTTTTCCCGAAAACAAAAGAACTGTACCCCATATACCTAGTAAATGCAGAATTAAAAACCCAATAGCATTTTGCCAAACTATCTCATGTGTATATGAATAATCGGTTCCAATGTATTTAGTGATCGGAGATTTTTCTTTTTCCATTTTATTTAAATCACTTTTTTCACAAGCACCAGGTTCATTATGGCAATGAATGTTACTTGCAGTCATTGTTTTTTTTATATGTGGTTACCATAGACCTTCCTGCCTCTGCGCCCGCGCTTTCTGTAATGAATGTTTCGTTGTTGCTCCATTATTTTATAAGCGGTTTGTTCAAGGTGTCGTCTGCATTTAAGTAATTTGAACTATGCCTGAACTCATTGTTTTGTAATATTATAACATTGTTGACGAATCCTACCTTTAAATTTTTTAATATTCTTTTTTGTTATTTTAATTTGTTTTTGAAGTAATATTTGTTTGGTAGGCCTTTGTTCCTTATTGTTCTTTACAACTTAACTTGTAACTTAATTTATGTTCAAGTGAATTATATTCTATTTAATTAAGAATACAGGTTTAATGTAAGATTATTATTTTTTATGTTAGAGGGGGCAGACGAGCAGACGGGTCACCTGATGGGAAGTGACTATCTCCGCCCATGAACGTCTGCAACTTAGGAGTCACAAACGCGTTGCCGGCCTTTTAAGAAGGAGTACGCTCTTTTCTTGAAGGTTGTATCGGTCCGGAAATACCACAGACGATAACTCGTTCCACAGATTGGTTGTGCTAGCCAAAAAGAGTCTCGAAAAGCGCACAGTAGTGGAGCGCCAACTATCCAGGTGATGGGGATGAAAATTTTGCCGTGTTTTTGGAACGATGGCGGAAAGTGGCGGAAAGATTTTTTGGTGTATGTTATCATACATATCGTCATGACAGAAACTATAGTTCTAAACATTATAAAACTATTTTAAACTATCGAGTTAGTTATTAGAATAATAATGTGCTTTGTATATTTTACATGAAATGCCCTCAGATATTTATATAACTATATGCTCGTGTATATAGCTGAAAGATGTTAATTTAATTAAGTCCTGAATATAATTCACGCACCATCGAGCTTCGATATACACACAGAAATTTAATTAATTTCTTATGTGTTCGTATTACAATTTATTGGCAAAGAAATCATTCCGATGTTGATGATGATGGAATTTTCGAAATCTCTTTACCTACAAAGTACGCCAATAAAATGATACAAATATGGTCTGTATGTATGTGTCTTTGCATCGGAATCAGCTTGGTGAGTAACAACTGTAATAAATTTATGTTCATTTATTGAATTTTCCTTGATTGAAATATTAATAAAATTAGTAAATAGTAAGTTTTACGCGATTTACACTATATTTTATTTCAGGCATATGGAGAACAAATCAAACAAAAAGTCAACACTTCCTGCGGCAAGTATTACGCAAGTTGCATAATTTATATAGACTAAAGTCTATGGTCTACAATTTCTATTGGTCTTTCATAGATCTTCATAGCACAGGAAAGTAACGTCTGTTGAAAAGAAAAATAGTATACCTTCCATTTTACTCGTAGTGCAGTCCTTCGACAATATATAAATGAACATTGTTTATACAGCTGTAATTAAAATAAAACATATCAGATTTAGACCTAAATTATTTAGGTTACATTAATAGTCTAATTTAGGTTTTATAAACGCATATTTATTACATTTATTATAAACGTATCCAATACGAAAGTTTTGCCAGTTGTAATTTGGTTCCTCTCATGCAGGCTTTACGCCACTTTCACTATAGGTAAGTCGTGCGACTATATTGAAAGGGAAATATAGGCAAAAAGGGAAGGCAATGGAATGAAAATAATATAGCGTATACGAATTAATTGGAGAATTTGAGCGACAGCTCTGAAAGTCTTAAGCCGAGCCCTGGGAAGTCTTAAGCCGAGCACTTGCTGCTTGTGTAGACTTGTGTATCTGATAAAGCGCGGGTAGCGCTATATACGGTCAAATAACTTTATTATACTCTACTAGCGGCGCCCCGTATTGTTTTATCAGAAACACTAATACATGTTATACCTTTGAATTTCTTGCTCATTCAACGGAAACATTACATTTTTTCGGGATAAAAAGTAGCCCATGTGTGAATCGAGGGTGTCAGCTAATTACCTCCATATCAAATTATATCAAAGTCACGAACACACACAAACTTTCGTCTTTACAATATTAGTGTGATAGATTCAGTACAATCTTATATTAAATGTTTTCTTAGAATGTGGCATTGCTGGGAACAACCGTCGTATAGTGGGTGGCACAACTGTCCAGCCACATGAATATCCTTGGCTCGTATCCCTCATGCTTGGTCCCAAGCTGCATTGTGGTGGAGCCATCATCACGGATATACACATTCTCACTGCTGGTCATTGCATTACATTTGGGTTTGTATTTAATCATTTTGTTGACTTTATTAATTATTTTATATAATGTTCTTTAATGAATATGGCTTATAAAATTATTAAACGTGATAATGATGATATTTAAGTCTAATTTCAGACACTATATTCTTATCATAATCATCAACTTTAAAATTTTTGTACGAAACTCAGATAGAGAGACTGATAATATTTATGTTTTGTATCTACTTTTACAGCGTCCACTATCGTGACTTAACTGTGTACGTGGGCATGCACGACCGCTTGGACACATCATACACAACCATGCATGTGGCAAATGGAATAAAACATCCCCAATTTACCTCCAACGCCGTTAGGGACATCAATGATATAGCAGTTCTTACTCTCGATAAGAAACTTCGGTTTTCAGATAATGTTAGACCTATATGCCTGCCGGATGAAAGTAAGTTATATTTAAATTTCATTTTGTAATATTTATATTAAATACACAGTGGGTTTAAGTTTATTTATTTTTTTGTTATTTTTAACGCATTTATTAACTTAATAGTTTGTAACCTCTTTGTTTTTCGTCTTTTTTAAGCCTCATTAGTTTATTTTTTTTAATATAAAAACAATTCGATGTTCCTTCCAAAAAGAAACATATTAAGACGTTCAAATTACTTTGGTTTCTTTAATGAATTTACTTACTTTAAGTGCTCGTAAACTCTTTGATATTTATCTTTTTTAGCCTTATTTAGAATTTCAAATGTTAATACAAATTGATTTTGCCTATCTACGCTCCAGTAATTCATGGGTATTTACTTGCTTTACAGCCATGGACTTTAAAAATTTACCCCTGACCGTGGCAGGGTGGGGTAAGACCAGACAAGGTGCGTTAACATCATCGAGATACTTACTGGAGACAAAAGTACAAATTGTAAACTCTGAAAAGTGCAGAAAATCTGCCATATACAAAGACAATCTGGTCCCTGATACTATGATGTGTGCATACAGCCTCGGCAAAGATGCATGTCAGGTAATTTTAGTCAATTGGTCACTGTAGAATTTAAATATTTGAAACATTTAAAACAGTCATCTTCAAACTTTTCCCTGTGACAAATGTTACAAAAATATATATTACGGAACCAAATGTTTACATTTTTGCTAGTTTTTGTAACAAAACTAAATTTTGTGGTACTTTACAGGGCGATAGCGGCGGACCATTATTTTCTACACACCGAAGAACACATAATAAGAGATGGTATCAAGTTGGTACGTTTTTATTTCTTGTTTTTAAGCATTTTATTACTGTATGAATTAAGTTGTTTGATATGAACATGTGATGACGATATTCACGTTTCTTTTTTAATTGTTTAGGTATAGTTTCATGGGGCATAGACTGTGCAATGCCAGACTATCCAGGTAACTTTCTCATTTATATAATGATATTATGTACCGAGTATGATCTTCAAATGTTTTTGTAATATTTTCAGGTGTCTACACAATAGTCTCAAAATATGTAAACTGGATTAAGCAACAAACACAACAAGGGACCTTCTGTTCAGAAACGAACGTTTCTTAGGCACACTGTTTAATAATTATGAAAGAATTAGTAATATTAAAACGAGATAAATATTTGTTTAATTTATTTACGAACCGTACTTACACTTGTTTTATTTTATAAAGAAGTATTAGGAAAGCGTTATTGTGCAAGGGAAAAGATTTTTTATATTACCTGTTCGAGCAGAACGCTGATTTAGCGATAAGAAAATAAGTAAATTGGTATCGGAAACAAATTGAAACGAATATGACGTGACATTATTTACGACGCATGATAACATATTTCTGTGATATAAGTAGAAATATCAACGTTTCTTAACCTCAAAACCAATGAGTCCTATGGTTAACATAAGGACTTAATTAATGTAGAGTTACGAGAAATTGGAGCTCTAATGTTCAAGATAAATGCTATACCTTCATTGTGTTTAATTTACAAGGATATTATAGCGTGGATAATTTCTGCGTTTTAAATCCGTGTAGAGCGTAAATAAGCAAACATCAGTTGTAGAAAACAGTGCTGTAGCAGTGGCTATGAGTGAGTGAAGTGTCAACATAGATACTGACATGTTCACTGTATTAAGTACTGTTTATTTCTTAATTGGAATCGGTCAGGTCTGTATAATCAAACAAAATTAATCAATTCATTTACTGTTCACTTCACACGCGTTATCACAAAGTGATCATGTTTTAGGTGGTGCTGGTGCAGGCCTTTGACTGTCGTAAGTGAATTATAGAATTATTAACTACACTAAAATATTTATGACTATTTTAAAACTAAGGGACAGAAATATGTTAATGTCTTGGTTGAACTAATACCAGGAATTAATTCTAAAAATATACATGGTTACTGGGTAAGTCGACCTAAATACTTTAAGGGGTTGTAGTTGCCATCATTTCTGATAGATTCCACTATGAAATACCATATCCCAAAAATAACAATTTTCAAAAATCTTAAAGATTTTTTGTAAAAATTGCCGAAATTTTGTCTAATAATTTTTTTGTAGAACGTATATCCTTTATTTAATGCTTTTTTACTGTTTTAATGTAGTTGATAAATTGTTTTATAATTTTAATTACTTAAATTGTAGTTAACAAACTGGGCCGAAGTAGATGGTTAATAATAGAAAAGAATATAAAAATTGTTTTTTTTATTTCTATGACAAATATTAAAAAAAAATATGACAGTTTAACTGCAGATTCATTTTAGTGCCATTTGCGGATCACATCACATAACATCAACAGCCTATAATAGTCCACTGCTGGACATAGGCCTCTCCTTAGAAAGGAGGTTTTGGCCTACTATACTACGCTGGCCAGACGGGTTCGTATAGGGTTTGTTTCAAGTTTTCCTTCTCTTTGCGGATGACGCCTCACTTTTATTTAAACTTAAACGACAGTAATCAGTTACTGATGACGTAAATAGCACTCTCTGTAAGGTCGTGAACTGATTCAATGTTAATAATTTACTTTTAAACGAGAAAAAAACTAAATGTATTAGATTTTTGACACCTTATGTTAAGCAGGTAAAAACCAATGTTCTGATAAATGGAAAGGAATTCGATCTTGTGGACACCACCAAGTTTTTGGGTATAACTCTAGATTCTAAATTGCAGTGGGGCTTACACATTGATGGATTGTCGAATAGACTCAGCTCTACAGCATACGCGGTTTATAAAATTCGTCAATTAACGGATGTAGAAACAGCTAGACTAGTGTATTTTAGCTATTTTCATAAAGTAATGTCATATGGTATATTGTTGTGGGGAAATGCTGCTGAGATTCAAAAGTATCTTTGTGTTGCAAAAGGCAGCTATTCGCGCAATCTATAATTTGAGTTAAAGGCTGTCACTGAGGTATTACTTTAAAGAAATTGGTATCATACCAGTCGCATCTCAGTACATATATGAACATTTTGTGTATGTAAAGAAAAATATTCATTTATTCACAAAGTTTAGCGACATTCACCACATAAACACTAGAAATAAAGATAAACTCGTGTTACCAACGACCAGACTACAAAAAGTAAACAAATCTTTTCGATATCAGGGTGTGCGATTCTACAATAAAATTCCAAGCAAATTTCATGAACTAAATATTAACAAATTTAAGTATTTAGTAAAACAAAAACTATGTGTTAAGGCTTAATACACAGTTGGAGATTATTTAGATGACAACTTTGATTGGGATTGATGCTGCTCACTCCCGCTTTTACTATCATTTCCTATCATTGTTGTCATGCTTGAAAGTGATGGACATTTATTGCATTCATGTATTTCGTTTCTTTTCAATTCGTTTATTTTTGCATTGAACTTGAATTGTATAGTATTTTTTTTAATTATTTTGAAGTATGTAAATCTGAGTATTGTGTAGGCTTATAATATGAATTATTATTTAGAAACTTTCTGGTGGTTTTGAGTGTTTCCTCGGATTAGTCAAATGTCCTGCTGGCGGTAGTGTCACGGTTTAGGTGTCGTTGATCTTGACTAATATCGGTTAGGCTACACGATGGCTGCGGCTCGTATTCCGTCTGTATGGACAGGCCGACTCAAACTATGGCCCTTTCTTCGAAAGGCCTACCCAGACGCTATACTGTCCTGGCACAGTTTTCTTTAACTTTGTTTACGGACTAAAAAAAAGACACCTCTGTGGTTTTTTTCGGCGTTTCTTCCCAGGGTGAGTCTTAGGAAATACCGGCTACATCTAGCTGTAAAGTCCGACTTGTGAAAATATCTGAAAATAAATTATCTGAATTTACTTACAGAAATAAATATCATTTCAATTCATTTCATGTATTGTTCATGTACGTGTTCTCAGCTATCTAATAAGGTATAATAGTCTAGGATAGTATCAGAATTGTTAAAAAAAAACTTAGATGAAAGTCCAAAAAATATGTCAAAAAATACAAGTCAAGTTTTCAACTAGATACTACCGTACGCCAATTCTTAACACCCCTGTCTTTCATTTTTTTTTAATGTTAGACGGGGCAGACGAGAAGACGGGTCACCTGATGGAAAGTGACTATCGCCGGCCATGAACGTCTGTAACTTAGGAGTCACAAACGCGTTGCCGGCCTTTTAGGAAGGAGTACGCTCTTTTCTTTCATCTAAGTTTTTTTTTATTAATTCTGATACTATCCTAGACTTTTATACCTTGTTAGATAGCTGAAAATACGTACATGTTTTAAAAAAATGTGCAGTTTAACTGTCATATATATTTTATCTAATATTAAGCAAAGAAATTTTTTTTTTACATTTTTTTATTTATCCCATTATTAACCATCTACTTAGGCCCAGTTTGTTAAGTTAAGGTAACAAAAGCTCCTTAAACTATTTAGGTCGACTTACCCAGTAACCCTGTATATCAATGACAGGAATAAAATTAGTATCTAGTAGTAGGTAAGGAAGTAAGTAGGTATCAGTCAAATCTAGGCTCCCATGTAATTTTTTAAGGTAAGGTTTTTATATGATTAGAATGATACAATAGTCTAGGCTTCAACTTAGATATATGACATATTTAGACTTGTTGATAGCGTTTAACTTCGTCTTGTATGTGCAGCACGCATTGTTGCACTGTTGCTATTCTCAGGACATCGACAAACGTGTTAGTGGAACCTGTTCCCGTTGTTTCAACACAGTTAACTGACTTAGTGATCTGGCTAACACATATTAGTAATTGGCTATCATCTGTTTTGCTTGCTTTCAAAATTTATTCCACTACTCAGTTCAATTTCATACATACTGACTTCAATATGCAGATGGTGTTTAAAATTAAATTAAATATTTTCGGCTGCCAATGTTATGCATATAACTATAAAATTTCAAACATGTATTTTCAACAAGTCAATAATGCAAGTATAAACCTTCAAGAAAACAGCGTATTTCTACTTGTGACGTCGACAAACAGGCGTTCATGGGCGGCGGTAGCCACTTATCTTTACGCTGTTGCTCGTTTGCCCCCGATATAATAAAAAATATGTTTTGTAGATACGACTTGCTCTCTATTAACGAAAAGAAAATCTTAAACAGAAAGTTTACATTCTTCTAGTGACTGTAATATTCACGATTTTAGCATTCGTAGTCATTTCGGACATTTTTTTCGAAAACATATGTTCCAAAATTACACACGATATAAGCATGGTCCAGATAGGTATAACGTGTAACACCACATGTAATGTATAACATTACACGTTTTAACATTACATTACATGTAACGTTACGCTACACTCATACATATATACATATAATGGGAATACTGTTTGTAGAAGGCACTACGAGCATTGAATGTAAAGCTTGCGCTCGCGCATGTTCGTGGTAACTAAGTGGCACAGCTTTAGAGAAACAACATTTGTGTAACATGATTCATGTCGGTTTTGCGTGCGTTCCCGACACTATGATCAAGAAATGCAAGCCAAAGTTAGTCATTGTTGTTAACCTTTGCGTGTCAAATATAGTCATCATAGAAGTCACAGTAGCAGTAGGTATATTAAGTGCGTATATTATATAGGAAAATCATATTACTAATGTGGTATGGTTGCAAATGTAATTTAAAATGTTTCGTAATGTCTTGTTCACAGTTGATTGGTCAGGTTATTTAATTCTATGATTTCATAATTTCATTATAGTTTATTAAAGTTCATTTTAACCACTTAATCAGTTGTTAATTATAATAATAAAAATATCTGACTAGCTACATAATATCATCAAAAAAATATAACAAAGAAATAAAATAAAAAAATATAATGAAAACAACATAAATTATTATTTTATTTATATTTCTGTTTAGTGTTTTCTTCTTAAGAGACTACAGTCTCTGTTATCTCAGAACGATACATTGTTCTGTGCTTAAGAGACTTGTTTGTTCAATTTAAAAAGTCGCTCCGCGCTAAGTATATTTGCATCCACAGACAAACGTTATAAGTAAGATTTCGGCATTTGTTCTTTATTTGCCAGGAGTTTGCCACTTTCAAGGCAATAAAGAATTACTAGAGAGTAGCGATGTGGTATGTTGGTATCCAACCGGCTAAAACCACTCGATGTTCGGACAAAAATACGTTCAATACGAGCGATTGCCTTACTCTACTTCCAGGAGAAGTGTCATCTATCCTCCAACCAACCAACCTACTATCGAAACCATCTCAGGCCTGCTCATACAGCATTTGTAACCTCCCTCGTTAACACAGGTATTCTATGATTCCGCAGTGCCACTCGGGTCGAGCCTGATATATTCCGAAGCTGCTGTGTGCAAATTGCTGTGAATTAGGTTATTATTTAACTCATTATACCTTGTGAGTTCCTTTACATTGCAACTAATTCCTGTTGCTTGGTGGCTTTCATCAAATAGTTAGAATACGAGTATAAAGGAAAACGGTCCCTCTCCTAAATGTTATTTATAGAATCAGTATTTAATTATTGTTTTAATTTTTACATGATTTGAGCAGATTGTGGTAAGCCGTCGGACAACATAGTAGCCATGAGGATCGTAGGTGGACGACGAGCAGCACCTCACTCCTTCCCATGGACCGTGGCGATCTTAAAAAAAGATCGCATGCATTGTGGCGGAGCGATAATAACAAACAAACACGTCCTCAGTGCTGGACATTGTTTTCAATGGTAAATATCACAAAAGTGTTCATTTTTTTGTATAGTTTGATACTTCAGAAGGCTTTTGTGGCCTCGCATTATTCATGGTCTCAATGAAGGAAACGGAGGTATTCAATAGTGGTGAAAACTAATCAAATGTGACGATTTTTGTTTTTAATGGTGTGAAAAACTAAGTGATCAAAAAATCATTCGTATACAGGATCTCTAAGCTGCAATCTCTTTTGTATGTATGAATCTATGTATGAACTAGAGCCAGGTGTTGAGCATTGACACAGTGGTGACTCAACTAGTTTAATTAAATGGATTCAGTTTATGAAAATTTATTGAAAAACGTCAACACAGTGTACGTAACCATCGACGTCCACGAGTGTTAAAATCCCAAATGAATAAAGAAAATATTTGCATACATGATATATGCATATATGCATTTTTTTGTAATTAGTTTTAATAAAGTTTTTTTAAAGGTAATACTTACAGAAAACTTTAAATGGAAAGAAATAAATCAGGCCAATGACGATAAATATGAAGTATAACCGATGCCAAAAACATTGTTTCATACCCACAACGTCTCAATCAGAATTTGAATCATGTAATAATTAGTTTAAAACACATTTTGTTTCACCTACTTCCATTTGTTTTCAATTGAAAAATATCAAAAAAAAATATCTCTAAATGTTAATTAATCGTTAACAACTTAATAATACGTACGTATATACAATAGTTATTGAGTTTATGACGCGTCAGCAGCAGAACTAGCTTATGCCCGTGGCTCCGACCGCATGTATGTTGGTAATCGCGGTAAAAAGTAGCCTATGACCAAGCGTAACATACAGACAAACAGACTGACTTTCGCATTTATAATATAACTTAGTATTGATTTTTTGAGTTATGGCTCGATCACACTGAAGTAGTGAAGTAGAATAGGTACTGGTAATAAGCAACTACGCTCAGTCTGGCTAGGAAAATAATAATAATACTGTATTTCTCCTCACAATGATATACTTATGGCTAGTCATTCATTCACACAGTCTAGTCTACTTTCATTCCCGTACAGGTATATGTTAGATCAACTACAAATTTAAAAGGACCAGTCAGCGTCAACAGCAAAAGAAGTACGTTTTCATGATTGACTGTACAAAACATTTTACTTGTAGGAAGTGATTTCGTTTAAAATCACGTTTGTGGCACTTTCTCACGTGCAAGGTTTAAGTGGCATCCCGCAGGATTGTGACTTAGTTTTTTTTCACTCTATGGCTAATAAATTTAATTTAATCAGTTATAGTACATAAATTCATTATTTTGTAAACGGTGTCTCGGTGAGTGCACTTTTTTCATTTTAAAATAAAAACACGTAAAATTGTAAAGCAGACATGTCCCGATTAAGTATGGAATAAAATATCCGGCAAATGGCCCCCACGGCTCTGATGACGACTGGATGGCGTAGTGGTTTGTGTAACGGACTACTATTCCAAAGGTCGCGGGTTCGATTCCCGCTCAAGTCAAACATTTGTGTGCATGAACATTTGATGTTTGATTTGGTCTGGGTGTTTCTATGTATAATATGTATGTATAATATGTATTTATATCAGTTGTCTAGTACCCATAGTACAAGCTCTGCTTAGTTTGGGACTAGATGACGTTGTGTGTATGTGGTAGAATATATTATATTATTATTATATTACTCTTTTCATGAAATTTTTCCATGACTTTTACACAGAGATGTGGCTGTATCACACCGATGACGCGGTGGAACTCTGATTTGAGATTTTACAAAATCCAAAAAAAATCGCACGATAGGCCACGATAATGGCCAGTTGACATCAGAATTTCGTGACATAATGTGTTCTGGAAATCGTTGCTGCAATAAGTCGATTGTTTCATGCGCGGTATATCAGGATGTGCCATACTGCTGAAACCACATGTTGTCCAGATCCATGTCGTCCAATTGAGGCCACAAGAACTCCGTTATCACATTCCTGTAACGAATGCCGTTCACAGTCACTGCAATTTCGGCCTCATTTTCAAAAAAGTAGAAAGGAAAGTTGTGGGTGTATTTGTTTCTCGCTCTCCATGGTCTATTGGTTTGGTCGCATGAAAGTGGAGGTCTTTTGTCAAAATTCGCTACGTAGTGCTTCGTGAAATTTGAAGTTGTTGAGAACGATGCCGAATTGATGTTTTCGAGTTTTCGGCGACACTCTCGTTTACAGCAGCAGTGTTTTCAAGAGACCGACCTGCACGTTGACGCAAAGGATTCTTAATATACATAATCGACCCAGTTAATTCAAATTTTTTTACTACTTTCGAATGGTTGACACATTACGCATTTTCTAGACTGAAAATTTGCGAGGTTTCAGCGTAACTTTCCCCATTTTTGTAATGAGTTTTCACAATTATAACGATTTGTTCTTTCGAAAAGCGCTCCATTTTTAATAATCGGAATAAACATAGGTGACATCTGTCCAATTTCAGAGTTGCCACTTGTACGAAAAAAATAATTCTAAATTTAAAAAGTGCACTCTTACTGAGACACCCTTTAATATATTATTAAGTTATCTTAAGTTATATAAAATAATCTTGATTAAAAATCGGATTAGTAATGCCACATTAGTAATGCCACAGCACATATATCATGATTTATGAGTTTAAAAGTTAAATATAAAAAGTTAATTACATTGAAAACACTTGACACTTTTCTGTTTTTTTTACGTGGGTAAATGTTACTACATATTTCGATGTGGAGCTAGATTAAATAAATTTAAATTAGCCCATGTGGTATGTCAGCTCTTCTTTCCCATTAAAAGTGTATACATATTGTAGAATTGAATGTTTATTTATATATATGTCAAGCGGCTTAAATTTTTGCAGTAATCTTTTGCGACTTCCTGAAAAGCAAGTAATACGTTTAATTTAACTATTAAAACTGTAAAAAAATCAACTACAATAAAAAAAATCGGAGAAACCCAGTAACACTTTTATCGGAATCGGAATCGAACCCGGGACCTCCCAGTCAGCAGTAGCATTCGCCAACTACCAGACCACAGAAGCAGTCACTTATATGTATTCAATACAAAATATTTTGCCATATATACATATATATATATATATATATATATATATATATATATATATATTACACTATATGTTTCAATATAAAAGGGTTATAACTAGCATATAAATACGACAAGGGCGTTTTGTTATTTCATATTATAAACATTTCACATTAACGGTTTCGGCGGACCATTACGTCGAATTAGTTGGTCGATTATCACCCGTAAAGTACAAATCTACGATCTACAAATTTATATGCGGAAACCGGAGCCCACAACCAATACTAATACACGTAAAGTAAGAAAGCCTACTTGGATGTGATAGATAGTTTCCCTTTTAAATTCGTTATACTTGCTACTACCGTGCATTTTTTCAGATCTCCAAATACTGCCGTTTGGGTAGGTGGAGGGCGGGTTTGACTGTAAAAAAATTAGCGTTTTAAGGCGTAATATCTTACAAACCTTAATCATAAACCCTTTTTATTTTAAAAAGACCTATCCAATGACATTCCACATCATGGGATGGATGAATTAATAAAATAACATACCCACTTTAAAGATACCAGGGATACCCTAAAAATATTTATCAACATTTTATTTTGCTACTTTATCGGCGTGAGTGACTAGTAGTCTGTGAGACAGTGTGAACAGAAGGACGGACAGAAGGTTTTTACAATTTTGGCTATGGAACCCTAGAAATGGTTTCCATTAAAATTAAATTAAATTATGTTTTATTTCAGGGACAATTTTAAACTGATGGAGGTATTAATAGGATTAGACAATATGGAAGACTTGAAGAATGTAGAAAAACGTAACATTTCAAGTGTTGTTATACATGAGGCGTTTACGTCAACTGCGGTTAGAGATGAAAACGATATTGCGATAGCTACACTAAAAACCCCGGTTCGCTTTAATGAAAATATTATTCCTATATGTTTACCCGAAGTAGGTATGTACTTCCTTTTTATATCCTGACTTTTTAAGCCTCCTTTCTAAGGATAGGCCTATATCCAGCAGTGGCTGTTGTGATGATGATGAAGATGATGAATACTACTATGTTATAGACATACAAGCATTCGTCAGAGCTGATGATGCAGCGTTTACCTCCAGCAGAATAAAATAAGAGATATATGAGCGTAAATTCGTTGTGCTTAACCACTTTATTTGCTGTAAATAATTTTTCTTTCAATGTTTTGAATGTTTCAGGAGAAACCTTCGCAGGTAGGGTTGGAACAATAGTTGGGTGGGGCCGTGTCGCTGTAGAAAAGTCATCATCAAAGGTTCTTCTAAAAGCAAGCCTGCGAATTCTTTCTGATGAAGACTGTTCAAAGTCACAATTAGCACAGCATTTGAAACCGACTATGATGTGTGCTTTCTCTAAAGGGAAAGACGGTTGCCAGGTGATTGGAAATTTAATTGAATGTACTCAGACATTCTTAAAAATAATAATATGGGTACATACTTTTACAACGTTTTCCATTGCTGTATAATCTTTTATGGTCGGAAACTGGCGTTTGTAATAATAACATTTTATTTAAAACTATAATGATAACTTATTTGAGAGATAAAATATACATTATTTCCTTTAAATGAGTTATAGTAATGTTTTTTAAAAAACATACATTAAACAAATTATAAGTATAAACCCGAATCCTGTAAATTTGTAATCAGAAATTTTAAAAATTCCACTGGAAAATGAATAGTACTTAAAGGTACGAGGGCAATTTTATTGGAAGGAAAAAAGCGCTTTTCAAATAAAATATGTAAAAATTGAAAATCCACCTATCCAGTTTAGACAAATTGGCGAAAATTAATCCATTTGCTGCCATGAAACCAACAGTTGAAACGTTAAATTACGAGATAGACAAGAAAAATGGATGACAGAACAGCCAAGTCTAATCAGACATCTCGGCTTAGTACTTACAGAATAGGTGTTTTAAATATTCATTTTTAATGTGACATAAGCTCTGAGTTCAATAGAGGCAGAAAAGAATAAAAAAACAGAAATTAAAAGTTCTAGAAACAACAACAACAGTAATACTGTAGTAATTACATACCAAATAAACAGTAATATTGTAATAATTTCAGCCTGTAGTTACATAGCTTTTTATGTTATAATTAAAGTATAATTAAAAACATAAAATGTCAAGTATTAGTTATTCTAATTAATTTATATATGATACTTATTTTGTAGCCTAAGAGCCTAGCCTAAGAGCCTAAGCATTTCTAATAAATAAAAGACTAATTAATGTGATTTTACTTTTTCAACAGGGTGACAGTGGAGGGCCTTTATTAGTTTTTGAAACTGATGAAAAGTATGTTCAAGCAGGTAAGTTTGAACCATTATTATAAATGTACACAATAAGTTCAGATTAGATGATAAATATCTGTCCTATTTTTATGTAAGAGTCTTTTAAAACGCCCACACCTTGCGGGACAGGGCGTGATGCCGTAAGTGTTTGAAATGTAGAAGGGCCACGGCATTGTGTGACATCTTCTGTAATACTCGTAGAAAGAAAGAAGGAAGCATTTGTTTGCACAGAATAGAAGTGGTTCCAGATTTAACAGAGGTGTACGAGTATTATTCAAGCTTTATCCTGTCATTATTAGGCATGTAAATATTTACATTAAAACACAAACATTAACCATTAATAACAACACGTCAAGATATTTTCTAAATATATATTTTCTAATAAAATTAACAAAATATCAAGAAATGTTATTACATATTTAGCATATTAATTATTATTATATCACATAATATTAAATTTTACAAATAATCAGATACATTATAGGTTTATACAGCATGTACTCTTTCATTCTATAAAAGCACTTATCAACTAGCCATTTTCTCAACTAAATTTTAAAATATTTAAATGGAAGTTCTCTTAGGCTCTTAGGAAGTTGATTGAAGACTATGCACATGTGATACACATTCTTTTTCATTAAAGTTGTTCTACAAAATGGAATAATTATTTTAGTAGGCTCTCTTGGTCTGTATTTAGTAACATATCCCCCTTTAATTTAAAGAAATTATTATGTTTCCTAACAAAGATTGATACTTCAAGAACATACTTACATGCAAGTCAATGTTAGCAAATTATGTTTTTTAAATAATGGTTTACAAGAGTCAATTGGACTCACTCCATAAACAGCTCTTAAACATTTATTTTGCGCAATGAAGGCTTGATCAACATCAGTCAAATTCCCCCATATTTTTAACTAATATCTAAGGATTTAATCTACGTAACCTTTACATGCTATAGGTACCTGCAGTCTTTTGTACGGACACGGTTATGTGTTGTTTCCAGTTACAAAATCTATCGAGAGTTATACCTAAATTTTTTATGCTGTCAGCTTCTTCTATAGTATAATTTTCTCTCTTTATGTTTATGTTATTTTCTGTGTGTTTACTTTTATTCGTACCAAATTTTATAAGTTTTGTTTTTTTAATTTGTTTGCTTTTAACCATTCTAATACCAATTGTACTTCTTTACTTATTTTAGTTTCATGAGATGTATCTTTTTTTAATAAATGACACTATTATAGATATATCATCTGCGAATAGAACACTTTTACAATTAATTGAATCTGGTAGGTCGTTGATGTATAATAAGAATAGCAAGGGGCCCAAAACGCTACCTTCTGGAACGCCATATCTATTGACCTTATATGGGGATCTGTGTACACTGCATTCGTTACTATCTTTATAACTGGTGATTTCAACACATTGCTCCCGATTGGTCAGAAAACTTTTAGCTACACCTATATCTACCTATATCAAATTTTTCGCATTTGTTGAACAAGATTTCATGATCTACAAATTCAAAAGCCTTACTGATATCAAAGAATATGGCTACCACTGGATTTTTCTCATCAATGTATTCAGTTATATTTTTAATAAGAGAGAATGCTGCCAAAGAGATTGATTTTTTGTGTTGAAAACCATTCCGTTCATTTTTTATAATAGTATGTTTATTTAAGAATTCAATAAAACTGTTGTAAAAAATCCAATCAATTTATTTTTGGAATTATTGATACTAGAGTAATAGGACGATAATTATAAGGTTCCTTCCAATCATCTTTATTTTACAATGGCTTAACAATAGAATACTTTAATTTATCTGGCAATATTCCATGAACCAAGGAATTTGTGATTAGATTTAAAGAATTGGGGCAGTGACACTAGCACTTTCTTTAATTATTTCTTAAATAATAATTAGAATATTAAAACTACTGCACAAGCGTTTTCAACGTCCCACTCCGCCCGCTGTCTGACCCTGTTCCTTGAATTTCCTAATAAACTAATTTGACCTATAAGGGTTTGACTGCACGGATGGCGTAGTGGTTTAAGCGGTCACCTCGCCGCTTCCTGCTGCGCTGAGTGTTGTGGGTCCGATCCCCACATCTGACAACACTTCTGAGTCTGGGTGTTCTTTGTGTTTAAATTTTTAGTGCGGGAGTTGTCTTTAAAAAAAAAAAGAAAAATCAAATAAAAATTGCACCTTTTTTCATATTTAATAAAAAATAAAAAGGTATATGGCGATATAGTCAATTTTATGCTTTCTTTTAGGTATCGTGTCTTGGGGCATTGGATGTGCTGATCCCAGGTATCCTGGTGAGTATTTATGTTCACTTTGTTTCATTTGGATTCATTTGGACTCTATATTATTTTAATCGTGCACAACTAGATAATTAAAATGCTCATCGATCCAATACCAAGTGGCGTAGTGATTTAAGCAGTCACCTCGCCGCTTCCTACAGCTCTGAGTATATTGTGCGTGGGTCCCCACATGGGATAACACTTTGTGTGATCCACAAATTGTTGTTCTTTTGTGTTTTCGTACCCGATTCATAAATGTTTGTAAAGTCCCCCGCTACACAGGATACATTTCAAAAAATGAAAATGGGGACAACTGTATTGTATGTAGATTTATTATTGTTCAAATTAATAACCAGGAAGTCCAATATCAAGTTTAGTTAAAAAAAAAAACAATCAGATGTTGTTAAACTTATCTGTTCCCATTATTGCCATTAATATTAATTAGGTACCTATGTAGTGATGAGTTTAAAGTAATTTTGGGTTAAGTGCGACAATGAGCATAATTTTAATTACACACACAACTAGTTTAGTTAACTTTTTTCGTATACCTACTTCGTTTAAAGTTTCGCATAATTACATTATACTGTTAAAGTGGAATGTTTAGTCATTGAACATTCTTGTGTTATATTGTGGGCAATGAACGAATTAAATTTAAGTTATTTAGATGATGTGATCGGGGTAGTTATTAATGTTAATATACGAGTACATACCTGATCACGGTGTGGTGACCGAGTGTCTATGATCTTCTTAGTTGTGCATTGTTTTGACCTTGGGAGCCCCATGTTTCAGCACACATGAGCCGGTTCGACCGAAGTCATACTACCGTCCAAATTTTTTGATCAAAAGACAGATCAACGCATAACAATAACGATCGGAAAGATAATGATCGGAACGCGGACTCTTAGGATCTCATAAGATCAAAAGGAAAATGTTGTGTACGTTATGAGCTTTGAATGATCGCTAGAAATAAATTAATTAATACTAAGATATAATAATAATAACAAACCTACTTGGAATTTAACTCCGGAGACGCACTGAATAAGATGGAATGTGGATCTGGTTGCAAAGCTATTTCTTGACCAACTCCCATACATTTACATGCTAACCGTAGTGGTTATCATGTAAATGTATCGAAATTGATTAGTCCCCGTACATTGTATATTATTATGTATAGTATTTAGCACTTACTAAGTAATACATGATATTTAGAAAAAACATTTTCTGGCTCATCATGATCACAACATTTTGAAAACCGATCTTTTTTTCGTGTATCAGTAGGGTGGATGGTAAAAACTGTATTAACCCCACGAGGTCAACCTTGTGAGCAAACGCAATCCATTGTGCATTGTGTAAACTTGAGTTTTACATTCAATAAATCATTGCGTACATTACCAAATAACTGCTATTGTCCAAATTAATGGACTCAAGATCAAACTTTGAATTGTAACTAAAATTATTTTGTCACGGTTAACTTCTAGACCTCATTTTACGTAGGGTTAACTTATTCAACAGCCAGTCGTTGTTTATGCGGCTCATTTACAAATTAATTTACAGTTACAATTACTAAAACGGGTAATTACTAAGCGTACTCCTTCCTTTTTTTTTTTTTTTCCGTGCGGAAATCCCCACGGATACCACCTGTCGGTGGCATGTCGGACTCGAACCGACTAAAACCGCACGCCGTCTCGGGAACCAGGTATACCCTAGAAAGGAAGTCCCTGGTACCCCGACATACCTCGGGTCATCTACAGACGAGTAGACGACCCCCCCCCCCCCCCCCGTGTGGGAACCCCATGTTCCCTGTGCTCCCTGGAAGCGAGCGCGCTTAGCACCGCGCTCGCCGCCACCCCGGCCTGCTTCTGCTAGGGTGACAGATGGCCTCACCTGTCACCCCCAGGCCTGCGCTTATGGAGGACGGAAGTCGTTCTGCGACCTCCGGCGCCTGAGTCGCCTGCGGTACCTGGCCCGTTCCCGGGCCTGGCGGGCCGGGAGAGTTCTAAACCTCTCCCGGTCCCGCTCCGCCGTCTCCTTCGCGAGCATAACTTGCAGAGCCGTGTCTACGGTCTGGCCATCGCAGTGGTGGCACTCAGGCGTTGGCTCCTTGCGGATCAGACACAGGTGATCCCCGAAACATCCTTTCCCAGTGATCACCTGCGTCAGTCGGTATGAGAGGGTCCCGTGACGCCTCTCGAGCCAATCCTCCATAACGGGTCTTACCGCCGCGATGACGGCGTGCCCGGCACTCGGTTGCCCGAGTCGTTCCTTCCACTCCCCTATGATGACCTGAGTTGGGTTTTTGGTCATCGATTTCTCGAGTCTCGGTACACCGACCCAACTCCCGCGCCTCCTTGCGCCACTTACATAGAGCCGCAAGGGCTCTCGCCTCCAGGTCCCACGGTGGAGTTCCGGCCAGGAGACTCGCCGCCTCAAAGGAGATCGTGCGGTACCCCCTTATGATCCTGATGGCCAGCACTCGCTGCGGTCGTCGCAGTATCGCGACGTTGCTGGCCTTCAGGACCCCCGCCCATACTGGGTACCCGTAAAGGGCCATGGACCGCACAACCCCCGAGTAGAGTCTCCTGCAGGAGTCATCGGGTCCCTTCATGTTGGGCAGCAGCCGCGCCAACGCACGCGCTGCCCCAACCAACTTGGGGACCAGACCTCGGAAATGATATCCGAAGTCCCATCGGCCATCGAGTACGAGCCCCAGATACCTGATCGAGGGCTCGATGCCGATGCGAGTGCCTCCTACCGTGAGGCTAGATCCCTCAGTCGGCTTCCTCTGAAGCCCGTGGAAGAACAGGGCCTCGGACTTGTGCAAAGCCACCTCGAGACCCAGCCGCCGGATACGCTCAACGGGCGTACTCCTTCCTAAAAGGCCGGCAACGTGTTTGTGACTCCTGAGTTGCAGACGTTCATAGGTGGCGATGGTCACCTTCCATCAGGTGACCCGTCTGCTCGTCTATCCCCTCTAACATAAAAATAAAAATAAATAAATAATAATTATATTACTAATAATTATTTTACTTTACCATGTACAATGTCGTTAAAACTCGACTAATTACCTTAACTGCACATACTATAGAAGAACAGGGTTAAGAGTTCAAAGCAACAAAAATTGATATTGTAAAAGATTTATATGGCTAGACTTAACCGATTTTTTGGTCGTTAAGAAAAAAGAAAAATATAAAAACAATTTTCCTCTTGTGAAACTTACCATATCTTTTTTACATTTAATTTACCTATGTCTTTTTCAGGGATTTACACAAAAGTTAGCAACTACATCGATTGGATCTTGGGACATACTAAAGACGGAACTAGATGCAAAAGTTGATCAGTGACGAAAATAGGAAATACCTACACATTTATTATGTAAATAAATTAGTGTACCTAATCATCGTTTTGTGAAGTTTTTTATTTGATAATAAATTTTTTTGTTATATGAACATTCAAGTTATGTACATAATGGAGACAATGAAGGAGGAAATTAAAATTCTTCATTAATCAAGGCAGAATAATTTACCTTCTTAATATTAGTCTTGCTTGATTTATGTTTAATTTCTATAAGTGATGAGTTCCAAAATAACTAACGTTATTGTTTAATTAGTGATAATAAGCCAATGTTTAATACTTCTTACAACCTAGTCACTAGTCACCAGTTTTTATTACCTTCCTTCAGGAATAAAGCCCAGACCAGACGCCTAAGTAATCCTATAAGGGTTCCGTATTGCTGTTCGGACTACGGAACCACTAAATCGATCAACCTTGTACCTAACCTTCCATAGGCCTGAGGGCCAATTCTCATAATAAAAGTTCGGTATCAATTCGGTTCTGATCAACTTTCGATCTCACAACTGTCATAAAAGGTATTTTGGTAGTAAAATAGTAAAGTATTAAGTACGAACACTAGCAGTTTACAGATTCAATTTTCACACAGTAATAAAAGTTCAGGCTCAATTCAGTTTCGATCAACTTTCGATCTCATAGCTACAAGGTATTTTTGTAGTAAAGTATTAAACATCCGACGTTGACTGTAATGTGATTATTTATTATTATATAATTTAAATTAAATCTATAATCTGCTAGTCTTAGTAATACTTTACTATTTTACTACGAAAATACCTTTTGTGACCGTTGTGAGATCGGAACTGTTATTACGAGAATTAGCCTTCTGCTTTATTTGTAACACTATAGGTGCCTACCTTTGTAAAACGTTTTAATATACAATTACAAAATTTAAATGGTACCTATTTTTTTAATGTTAGAGTGGGCAGACGAACAGACGGGTCACCTGATGGAAAGTGACTATCGCCGCCCATAAACGTCTGCAACTCAGTAGCCACAAACGCGTTGCCAACCTTTTAGGAAGGAGTACGCTCTTTTCTTGAAGGTCGTATCGGTACCGAATCGGTATCGAAATACCGCAGATGATAACCCGTTCCACAGATTGGTAGTGTGGGGCAAAAAGTGTCTCGAAAAGCACACAGTAGTGGAGCGCCAACTGTCCAGATAATGAGGTTGAAAATTTTGCCTTGTGGAACGATGGCGGAAATTTGCGGCTAGTTAGTCCGAACAATTCCTCGGAGCACTCTCCATGATATATGCGATAGAGAATGCAGAACGCCAAGGGATCGAGCCGATCGGAGATGTTTGGTCTATCGACGATTCGAGTCGCTCTTCTTCTTCTTCTCTATTTTGGTCAGTTTATAAAACCCAATTGAACTTTTAGGTTGGTTAGAAGAAGGATGAACCAAGTAGCGATAAACGGTTCCAAAAAAAAATGCGACACACAAAATCATTATGTTCCGAGACTGGAAATAATGGATATAGGTACTCTGAATTTCAAGTAAAGCCTGAGATTTTATTAAAGTACTAAAATTGATTAGTATTGTATAGGTATTAAACTAATCAATTTTATCTTAGAAGGTAATAAAATAAGTTATGGACACATTTGGTGGTTGTATTTTTATTTTAAAAAGGGAAGCGCGAATAATTCAAGGATATTTAAAATAGAGATTTTGTTGTTTTAATTAGGAAAGGGGAATGCCCATTTTCGGCCATGAAATGCTCAACAATTTGCTTTTTTTAGAAAAAAACGTCTTATTTTCTGTTTATTAATTGGGGTATTCATTTATCCTGACAGGTCTGCAACATTTAAACAGAAAATAAAAGTACCGAAAAGATAAAAGTGAAATTACGTTAATCCGTATTTCATTAGTTTCTGGCAAAATATTAAGTGTTCCCAATTACTAATTTCGTTCAAAAAATCGATTATTTATGAAGCGATTATTATTATTTATGATGTCGGCTGTGTTTGGCAGAAAATAGCGCTAGGAAGCGCTTGTAAGCAAAATGGCGATCGCTAAGCGGAAAGCGCTGTCAAATGACACATATATTTTACTATTTTTTGGACTGACATTATTATTTATTTTAATATTTCTGCACAAAACATCTTATAAATTCTACTTTTAAAACAAACAAAATAAATAAGCAAAATGGCCTATTGTGTCAGCGCTACTGAAGTTAGAAAACGTGTCCTGGCCGAAAACTGTGTCAGCGCTAGTAAGCGCTTCCTAGCGCTATTTTCTGCCAAACACAGCCATTATTTTATAGCTATATTATTCGATTTTCGGTAATTATTATGATTTCATTGTGTTAATGCTAATATTATTTATTTATTTATTGTTTATTTTAGGCATAATCGCCCATAAGGATGTAACAAAAGTTAAATTAATTTAAACTAATACACAAAAACTTCATACGCAAAACCCTTAAATTAATTTTTCAGCAGATAAACACGGCGGAATACAACAGACACTAACTGATTACCATAATCAAGTCAGGAAAGATGCCTTGAGTCTTCTCAAGAGCCCGTAAAATAAATTAATAATATATTAATATTCCTTATTTCGTTAATGATTATGATGTTACGATAATAATATAAGCGAATTGCTAGTTGAATTACCATAAACTCTTTAAATCATAGCAAAGACGCTACTGTACAATTTAATTGTCATTCTTATCTGTTCTTAAAAATACTTTTGGTATAATAAAATACATTAATATAGATAGATAGATATAATTAAAAAAAACACTAAAAAGCCTACAGAATTTAAAGGCACCTCGTAGATTATTATTTCATATGAAATTATATTTTACAAATAATCGATAACCATTTCCGATTTTATGGCTGTTAAGTGGCAACATCGAATGCATTGAAACAGCAAGGACACAATCTGTCACCATTACGTGAAATCACAACTTCATTTGCATTTCTATTATTTGTTTGTTTTCTTACAATACAACTAATAAGCTTTCTAAATGGACTCCGACATTTTTTCTTACCCTACTGACCACGGCCTGAACATGGATCCCGCTCCCGCTTCTCACAATAACTCCCGCACGAACTTGGACTCAATATCCATTGAAAATGATGACCCCAGCTCTCACACCGGCCAGAGTTCTTCACAGCCCACAGTAACTCTTTCAAGAGGACATTCACGCTGTGTCAATTGTGGTATAAACGAAATAGAAGAAGTTCGAAATCTAATACAACAATGGGTTCGACCACAGCAGGTAAATAGTTAATGTAAATAGTAAATGCTTTTTAGCTGAGATGACTTAAAATAATATCAATATCTAATAATAATGGCATCTTTATTATTAGGTTGGATTGCAGCCTGGAATGAAATACGAAATCCAACTAGTGAACAGCAGAATGCACCGATTGTTGGCCATGGACTTGTGTGCATCAGCTGTGGCAGGTCACTTTTGAGAATAAGATCACACTCACTCTGTTCTGATTCTCCACGTGAGGAACTCATAAGGAATGTGATTGTGCAACAGATTGCACCACGTGAGGTAAGTGTATAACAGTTTTTAATTTATGTGTATAAAATATTATTCGCTGATAATATAACTTCCATTGGTGAAAGAATTGTGTGATAGCGTAACAAACAAACAATCTCACTTTCACATTTAATATAAAGTATTGGTTATGGATTAGCCGCAAACTAGCTGGTGTGTTCACATCATTGCACTGGAATAAAAGTATATGATGTAAAAGTTTTTTCATGTTAACATATTTGTTTAGCCCAGTGGGCTGTATTGTTCTAACCATTTATCTAGTTTAATTTGATTTTGTTTACTTCATTTATGGTTTAATTATTGTTTCAGTTGCCATCATCATCTTGTGTGTGTCATAATTGCTGGCGAAGGACTGATAGAGCAGCATCACATTCAACTGTAGACCGTGAAACCTCCGAACCATCTAGTCTGTCCTCGTTGCAATCTGAAGTAGCTAGCGATGTATTGCATCCGGAACAACAAAGCTTAGATACATCAGACAGTATACTGCTGCCTAATTATGTAAGAGCACCAATTACAGAAAATCAATGTTTTTTTCCTGGTTGTAATGATTCCCATTGACTCACTGTTACATTGATATTGCGAGTACGTCTTTAAGAACAAGAGAATGATGAATGATTCTGGCAGAAGTGCAATCAAAAAGTATTGTTGTAACTGTATTGTTGGCCGTCGAACGGTAGGATGTTGTGCCCATATAATGACAGTAATATGGTATTTGGGTTGGGCACGACATCAAACAAATATTTTTCCTCCAGCTCAATTCCTGGATGATGTACTAATTGTGTATGACACAAATGATGTATGATCATAAAATACCTAAGAACTACATATAACTTGATATTGTATGTGAGAATAACAATAAAATGATGAATAAGAAAAAAAAACTGTAGTTATTTCTGAAAATTAAAATTATTTTATATCTTAAAAATCCCGACTTTTTTTAATACCAATTCCTTAAACATTTCATTCTTTAAATTGTATATTATCATTTCCATATGCTTTTATATGTGTGCACCTAGGGCCAAAGTGTCTATGGGTAGTGGGCATTCCCCTTTAGAAGTTTGTTTGATAAGATTGATGTACAGTGTTTTAGACAGAGCCTCGTGAATATCGAGGCCCTTTAAAATATCGTGGAATATATTACAAAATATAAAAAAAAAACAAATTCTATGTTCAGGGACAAATATACACGGTGATTTTGAAAGCGTTTTGGAAAAGAAAATTTTGAGTTATTTATCAGTAACAGAAGCTATATATAACGTTAATTTAATAAAATATATATATTTTTTATCATCAAAGTCGATATTCATATCGATTACAGAGAAAAGGTGAGAACCAGTAGTAGGGCTTTTCAATCGCAAGTAGGTAAATACTACGAATAGAAATACTATACTCGCGCGCAAGGTCAAGGACGTTTAAATTGTTATTCGCCGGAGTGTAGTGCGTGCATACCTGGACAATGAGTTTAGTGATCGGTGGATAGGTCGAGGAGGGCCAGTGCCTTGGCCACCTAGAAGCCCGGACTTAACGCCTCTGGATTTTTTCTTATGGTCGGAAATAAAAATACTTGTTTATACACGGGAATATGAAAGCCGTGATAATTTACTCATTGCGATAGTGGACGCTTTTGATAAAGTGAAAAGTGATAGAGACACATTAAGAAAATTAAAAAACAATTGCATTAAACGTGGAAGTTTGTGTATTGAATGCAGCGGACTCCATTTTGAGCAGTTGCTTCGATACAGAGAAGTGTAAATAGTGTAAATAGGTATGTAAGTTAATTATTCTGTAGATAGCTCCGATTTTTTAAATACGCTTGAAATATTTATACCTACAGTCCGTTGATAAATTGATTTGTTGTGAAAAGAACAATCGTGGTTAATAATCGAAAAGAAGTTTAAATAAAATAGGTATTTCCGACGATCCTAAGCCCGTGTAAAGTATGAAGGACAAATTGGAGTCTATCTACGTAAGTACTCGCTAGCTCGCGCCTATAGGTATACTTTTATCAGCTGCTGTTAGCGTCAGCGGTGCGCAGCGGCCGCCGAAACGCCCACGGACGTGTTTCATTCATATAAGATAATGAATGAACGATCAGTCCATTACTACTTTCCAAGTCGATCGAGTAAAAATGAATATTAAAACTGAAACTTTTTTTTAGACAACATTACAATTGATTTAATCATTTTTATTGGTACTATAGATGATTCCAAATTAAAATGTTTTGTTTCCAAAACGCCTAAAAAATCACCGTGTATAGAAGATGCGTGACAACCCGGAAAAAACATTTACGTAAAATTTACGTCAGGATGACATCTTGTTGCGTCATGATTTACGTCAGATAAAGGACTCAGATTGTCATACCTCCTGAAGCACAATTTTTACGTAAAACATATGACGTAAATATGATCTCTGAATGACATCGTAGATGATTATTAGAATGCTGCTTCTTAGAAAGCAGAGTACCAAAAATATAGAAGATTCATTTAAGTGTTCCCCTCCATGGAAATCTTTAGTTAAAGGCGAAAGATTTATACGTTATGAAGGGAGTTATACGTTAGGAGTTATACGATATACCAGAGAACAGATTACCAATTTAAAACCGGTTTTATACTGTAAATTTTAAAGTGTTACTTAAATGTACTGCACGGTCGCTTTTTAGTAGCCATCCGAACTCGGTCGGGTTATGTATCAATTGAGGCGATTGTCAGTATTTTAATTGTATTTCGTAATTATTGAGTGAAAAGGAATGAAAATTTACATGTACATAGTTGAATTAATGCACTAATTATTGGAATAGGTCTTATGACGCATTTTCTTTACAATCCCGTGTAATACTACTGCATATGAAACAGTGATCCAATCATCGTAAATTATCCCAGAGCTCATTAATTACTAAGAGTACGTCAATGATACTTGGTAAAACGGTTTAGATGCTTAGAAGGTATGTGTAAACGTTATAAACTAGACCCTAGTGGATAAGCACTAAGTACTAGGACCTAATAACCTTATTTTACGTTTATATTTATATCTTCTGAATGGCATGTTTTTTTTTAAATCCGTTTTAACAAACAGTATAAACAAATTCAAAACAACGTATGAAAAAATGTAGAGCTCTCTAGAACAGCGTTTTATATGAAATCTAGCAAATGGTCGTACGTTGTCGCAGCGGAAACCTGAATATCTTCGCAGTTTATTGACGCACAAATTTCATTTAAACATACACAATTACCTAACGTTATACACTAATTTTTGATACCATTTTTTTTCTACGTCCATAGGATAAAAAAAGTGCCGCTGGGACCACGTTGTCCCCTCGAAAACAGTTTTTCGTGAATAACTTGGCAATGGTTGGATGTACACATTTTTACTTACCATACACAATTACACGACGTCATACACTAAATATCTGTTAAACTCAAACAATGAAATTCGAACTTTCTCCGCTGGGGCAACCCACACATTCTTCCATTTTCAGATTCCATTGAGAGAGTCGAAATATGTATGTATATTTTTTGCGACAAAAGCGGCCGTATCTTTTTTTTGTTAATTCAGAAGTTTTTTTTTTCCACAGCTTCAAGGGACTGTAGACCTGAGTATATAGTTTTAATTTTAACTCGATAACTCCACGCGTTCCAGAGACAAGGGGTCTTGACAGACAGACGGACGGACAGCAGTGATCCTTAAAGGGCACCGTTTTTTCTGTTTGAAGTTCTTAACGATAAAAACAGGGAAAAACTATTTTAATGGAAAAACATGAAAAAGGAGGTTGTAGTATGAGAAAAGACGAAGAAAATGAGAGTTGCTAAAGTCAGTATCCTTAGAAACTTTACGAGAAAACACGCTTTTATCTGGAAAACATAATTTTTTTAACAAACCGGTTTCTTCCATCTATTTGTTTTTTATTTCAACTTGCCAAGAATCGTTTTTTCCAAAGTACTTTTTTTAACTAATACTTACTTTTACCTGTTGAAAAACCAGCTCGTGTATTTTTTTAAATATGAAGTTATTTTACGCCGCACAGCCTGTAATATAACAAAACTTTAGTGAATGCGTACCTACGTTCGCTTTAAAAATCTCTACAGGTAATGAATACCAAGAGTGTCGAGAAAATGTCTCTATAAAGTACCTAATAAATAAACAAAATTGTGGAACTGACGTTAAACGTTTATCATAATTATGTTGTTTATAAACACGTTCCGTGATTAAAAAAGCATTTATATTTTTCAAATACTCTCTCTCTCTCTTTTTGTTGCAAGGGCATACTATATACTTAATCCCCACAAAGTGACCGTTGACACATCTTACGTAGGCTAGGTATCAGTAAAAATAAGCGTTGTGAACTTGCTACTTTATATTAATATTGTTATCACTTCCAAATATTGTATCCATGTAGATACAACAGTAACAAGTAAATCTGGTTTGGTTTAAGATACAAAAATATCAAATTGAATGATTAACTATGTATAGTAACTATATTTGAACGCAAGTTATATTATAAAAAACTTGAATAATATTAAACTATTCAACACATTAATATTTAATTATTTTTTTTAATAAGAAGTATTCAATTTCTAAATATCTGTTTCTGAACGTTCTACACTCGTCATTTTATTTGTAATACGGCAAAATTATAATACATAATGTTTTTGTGGCGATATTCGCTTATCTCTTTCTAGCACTCTGTATAGAACGCTATTTTGACGTTACATTCACCTCCTTTCAAATTTGTGTTTACCATTAAATTTAGTAATATAACGATTCCTTTCTTTTGTTTGACGGTCGTTCACTTCGTTCTCCTCAATTTGGGTGATGTGTATGTAGTCTGTTTCTTCTTAGATTTTAGTTGTGAATCTCTTAAATGTATTGTACTGCTTTATTATTATTTAACTTCAGTGACATGATTATGTGATAGTCTATAAAATGCCTGGGATGAGGAAGTATCGACGCGACACAAGCGAAGTCAGCTGTTGCTTGAAATATGTTATTTTTGGTGTAAATGTTTTGTTCTGGGTAAGTGAATACATTTTATTTGTCTTATTAGGCTTATAATTAGCATATTGACCATAACTTTATTGGTGACAATATGGAATGTACGAAATTAAGGTCTATCTATAACTTAAATTCGTTTCAGATTTCTAAATGTAAATATATATATTTGAAAGCTCGTTTTCTGTACGTATGGAATGAGAATGTACTGTCGTACTCGTGTCTAATGTATCGCCAGCCTGTAATAAGCTTCATATTACCGGTTTAATCATAACTGCGTAAATCCTCCTTGTATTGGGGTCATCTTGAGTTACAGCTAGTTATATAATTAATATATCTCGGTAGGTAGGTACCTCCTAAACTTTATGCTATTCAAATTCATCTAAAAGGTTGGCATAATTAAGTAGGTATAGCCTTGAAATCTACAAATATAACAAAACAAAAAAATAGAACTTAGTTTACTGGAGTTTGTTTGAATAACAATTTAAGTAAGTTGGTACTTTTAAGATAAAATTGACAGAGTTTTAGCATCTATGTTACACATATTTGTATTCTTTATTCTAGATTTTATTTGCTTAAATGGTCATTCTTTACAAAAACTTATCCTCAGCAGAATATAAAATTTGTTAATAACAAAATTTGTTAATTATATCATTTGAATATAATGCATATAAAATTTGTTAATTATATCATTTGAATATGATGCATATAAAATTAGTTAATTATTTCATAGAGTAAGTGGTGTCTCTTAAGCAGCTAAGTATACGGCTAGTTGTAATGATTCTAGTATCCATTGTACTTATAGCTATTGTTTATGTGTTGTTTGTTATTTAAATATATCTATGTCCAGATAAGAATAATAAACTTCCTTTATAAGACGAGGCCTATGTCCAGAAGTGGACTATGAAAGTCTGTTGATGATGTCTACATGGTTATGTACACTAGTTGAACCATCTTGTAGTAGAAATAATTCAATATACAAATTTAATAAATTTTAGAATGCCAAATAGCTGTCGAAAATTATACTTTACATTTACATAGCTGTAATGAAAAAAGGATTTTTGTTTTTCTAAAATGATTTTTTTCAGATAATTTTTTGTAGAGCTTTAAATTAACATTTAGATTTTGGCTGATTTGTGGATTGGATCGTTTCTTCACAATTTGAGTGAAAAAACATTAGATTATAATTTCTGATAATATTGTAGTTAACTAATTTAAAGACATCTTGGCAATACTAACAATGCATGAATTATCCTTTTCAATGGCACAGCAGTGAAAAATAAGGCATGCAAGCCTCCAGTAAGGTTTGGTATCACAACATACTTAACATTAGTTGTTCTCACAGTGTGTGAGTAAAAAAATATATATTTCACAGCAGGGTAAAATCACTTTAACCTAAACCTGATTAATTTTTAACCTTCAGGGGAAGGTTGAAAAATTTAGCAGCTTTTAGATGTAGTTGCTTTTGGTAACAATTTATTTTATAGACTATTGATCCATTTATTCTGTTTTAAATTTCAATTACTTGTGCTGTGTAGACCATGTAGCTTTACTTATGCAGTTGCAGAGTTATTAGGTATTGTCATATTATCAGTCTTTTAGTATTTCATTACTTAATGTAATACTAACTAAATCTTTTCTTAATATAATCCTTTAAAAAAAGCCTTTCTAAATATAATCCATTCACATCAAGAAAATAGTGATTCTTCAATCAAAAAGCTTTGTTTCCTATGAAAGCTTTGAACCTGATTGGGTGTGGGGCTTGAATAATAATTCACTATTATCTTAATGCAATTTTTTTTTAACATTCTAAAGAAAGTGTGTGCTTTTATCCATCAAATATTATAAAAGTGTTAAAAGAGCACGAAAGTATTGCTGCTGTAGACAAGATTGTATGGCCATATGTCAACAATTTTTTTTGTGAAAAAGGTGTTTTTAACAAATATTGACCTTATGTACCATGTTACCAAATTTGTAATATACTGATAATTTACCATTAGAGACTGAAAGTTATATTACTAATAACAATTTCATATTTCCAGTTCCTAGGGTTAATTGTGTTAGCAGTCGGTATCTGGGCATGGACTGAAAAGGATACTTTCAACAATCTATCTCGGCTTACAAACATTGCATTGGATCCAGCATTCATATTAATATGTGTGGGTGAGTATCACGGTCACTGTCATTGAACCTCGATAATAATGAATAATCTTTATTTGAAGCATGTCACTTTTTGAATTTATTTTCTTAATTTTTTTATTTGACCTTTCAAAAGTTCAACCTCCTTCAAGCAGAAAAGATGTTTTAGAATAATTAATCTCTTTCTATCCTTTGTAAATTAAGAATTTGCTTTTAAACTGATTTTGAATCTATTTTCAAGCTAAAGGTGTCAAAGTCTTTTACGTTTAACGTTTATATTAGGACCTAAAACTCAAATTGCGGTATTTAAATGATTGAAATGAAGGAGACCATGTTTGTTAACCAATAGGCATGGCAAAACCAATAAAAAAAATGATGAATTTTTTTTTTCTAATAAAGTATGCACTAAATCAAATGGTGCAAGCAGGATTTTGTAATCCTACAGCTATAACCTATGTGAATTTATAATTTCTATCATGGCATGTATTAAAAATGACAGTTTAAATTATATTGCTCGTTTGAGTCAACACCGTGTACCTAGGTTCATTGTATTCTTTCCTTAGATAGTGTTAAAATAATACTAAATCACAAAATTATTATCAGTTGTGAGATAAAATTACTCGCGTTAATATTGATTTTCGAAATCAATAGTCAATTTCCTGTTCCAGACCATCAACATTATCAAACTGTACCAAATATCATCCAAATCCGTTCAGCCATTCTGGCGTGATTTGATTAATAGATATCCATTCATCATGATCACAATGACAATGATATTCATTCAACTTTCATATTTAAAATATTAATATTGATGTCACATGACTGCTAACTAATGCATAATTTTAGTTCATTCTTTCTATCCTGAATTTGTAAATAATTTAAATATACATTAAAAAGCAGTACGATATATCTGAAGTACAGTTAGATCCAATTAAATGTCGCGTTCGTGACGTAATTGGTGCATACAGTCACTGACAAAAAACTCACGGCTCCTCTTTGTTTGATGATCGACTTTACAATGTTGAGAATCTTCACTTACTTCTGATGTAACCAACCAAGAGAAGTGTTATAATCATTAAAAAGCGCATTAAAAATCAAACAACACCTATTTAAGAGAATGAATAGACGTTGCATATTATAATAAAGAAAAACTAGGTAAAAATATAATGTAATAGTCAGTAGGTACACGATTCACAAATTGCTTTAAGTAAAATGTTCTGTCTAATAAAAATAAGCATATTCAACTGAAAATGTAACTTTTACGCCGCCATGTATAGGCATGTTTTACATTATGTTTACTTACAAATTATTGAGGGCATTGGCGTAGCCGTTGTTAGGAGTAAATCGCGAAATTTTTAAGTTTACAAACAAATCTATGTGATTAAAAATACACGATTAAAATGTCATTATTCTATATAAAAGAGTTTTTAATACTTATCAACCAAATCTAAGTATAAAATAAATTTATTGAGAGTTATTATGTTATTTGTGATCAAGAGGAACATTGATTAACTGACTTAGTCATTAGGTAATGAAGTAGGTACATTTTGTTCCTAGCCAATACCAATTTCGTCAATAAAAGTTAAGAGAAAACCCGTTAAGGCCTGAAATAGTGATGCGTCAATTTCAAAACTGAGTTTAGTAAAAACAGACTATTATTTATTGTTTGAATTATATGATTGCAGGCACGATTACGTTCATAATCGGCTTCACAGGCTGCGTTGGCGCTCTGCGTGAGAACACTTGTCTGCTGGCATGCGTGAGTGTCTATTAACCTTGTGCAATAATCTTAGTAATTTTTGGCACACGTAATGTATACAATGCTTGCGAATTCCAAAGAAATCGTGTGATACGAAATTAATGCGAAAAAGACCAGACAGTCTGTCCAATGTAATTAATTATCTATAGTCATGGTAACATTAGTTCAGCAGTTAAGTAAGTTAGTTCGTTGCAAAGTTATGTTTCAGCATAAAGGGGGCAGCTCCCCCCTCTAACTCGAGGAAGGAGGGAGGGGGGGGGGGGTTAAGAAGTGGCAATACACTTGCCTGTTGAGTTATAAGTGTCCATAGGCGATGGAAGTCACTGACTTTCAGGCATCTTTTTCACTACTATTACTTTAATTATGATTAAACTGCACGGATGGCGTAGTGGTTTAAGCGGTCGCTTCCTACTACGCCGAGTGTTGTGGGTTCAAACCCCACAAGGGACGACACTTTGTGTGATACAGAAATTGTTGTTCTGAGTTTTCTTTGTGTCCGTTTTATGTATGTTTGTAAAATCCCCCGCGACACAGGGTATATCTTAATGCGATAGTTCTCCAAAAAAACAAGAAACATTACTATGAAAAAATAATTTAGGACAGGTGCCCCTAACCTTGTTTTCTGTATGACCATTGTTTTAAGGTTTAAGCTATAAATGCGAATAATGTTGCGTTGCCTGCGTTGATCGTTTTCAAGGACGTTTGCGTAATCGCCGTTGTATTAGGTTATCATTTTATTCTTAACAGCTTAAATATGTATGTATTTTGGTTTTGCAGTATGCAGTATTCCTGGCATTACTGTTATTAGCTGAGATGACAACAGGCATACTGTTTTTCGTCTTCAAAGATTGGGTAAATATTATAAAACTATGATTGTGGAATTCTTTAGTTTAGGTCTAGTATGTAATTTGCATCGGCGCAGTGATTTGATTCCCGCGTATTTTAAAGAGTATCAGTTTTGACCACTCGCGGTTTCGTGTTTTGATTGTACCTGTGACATGGCACTAGCTGACATAATTTTGCCCGTTTTGCCGGGCCGGGCAATATGGGCCGATGCCGGCCCATATTGGTCGTGGCGTAATGGTATATAGCCTATAGCCTTCCCCGATAAATGGGCTATCCAACAATAAAATATTTTTTCAATTCGAACCAGTAGTTACTGAGAATAGCGCTTTCGACCAAATAAACTCTTCGTAATCTTAATATCAGTATACCTAATTAAATTTTAAATCTTGTTATCTATCGACATAAGCTTTTTAGTTTTCCCTAAATGTGTAGATAATACAACCGAGGCAGCTTTAGAAAAATACATTATACTTATACTTTGCATTGTACGTATTAGATAAAACAACAAGCTACGATGGGCTTCCAAACGTTCATCACGCATTATAGAGAGGATCCGGACCAACAGAACTTGATTGACTGGATACAAGAAAGTTGGGTGAGTCACATACCATAATTCTACATACTATTTATTTACCGAGTTTAAAAATGAGATAGCCTTTATATCATTTTTTTATTTATTACTTGTAATCAAGATCACATTTATTTACAGCTTCTGACACCATATTTTAATTTGGGCTCATGGAAGTCTGTGATACTTTTGATTGATGAATCGTTGATGACAAAATGATAAAAAATTATGAAAAAACTTGTACCTACCTTAATGTGTGTAGATGATTTTAATTTCTATGATAGGAATCTTAATCACATTATTGTATATTAAGCGATCTGAGTCTCAAAACTGACATGATAAGCCATCGTTAATTGTTGCCTCAGCTGAATTGTTTTCTTTTAACCAATGTAGATCTTTAATTTCCAAAGTACCTGTTTAGCAATCATGCGCAAAATGTGGGTGTTTAATACTTGTACTGATAACATTTTAATGTGATGTAATAATGAATACTCTCCATAGTTGGCCAATCTTACATTTTTAAGAAATGAAATAAAATAAATAATATAAATGTGGTGATGCATTAAGAAGTGATTAAGAGTGAGTGTTGTAAGAGACGACTAAAGGAACCAACTACGCGGAACAATAGCACTGCAAAATGAAGGAAAACTTGAAACAAACCCTATTGCCAACCTGTCTGGCTTGCGTGGCCAGTACCAGTAGGCCAAAACCTCTTTTCTAAGAAGAGACCTATGTTCAGCCAGTGGACAGGCTGTTGATGAAACAAAACTTTTGATTGTCTGATTTTTTCAGTTACAATGTGTGGTAACACAAAGAAAAATATATTGATTGTCTTTCAGTTACAATGTTGCGGTGTTGAAGGCCCCCGGGACTGGGATAGCAATGCATATTTCAACTGTTCGAGCAGCGCGGTCGGCTCCCGCGAAGCGTGCGGCGTGCCCTTCAGTTGCTGTCGAAGCAAGCCTCAGGATATCATTCGTAACAAACAGTGCGGTTATGACGTTAGGAAACCAAGTTTTGTGAGTACTTTTTCTTATATAGCTACACACTGTTAGAATAGTAATTATTTTTAAAGATTACAATCCAAACAACGTATACGTTTCGGAGGGCTCCCTTCATCAGGGAGCGAAGCGACTTGTCGCGTTATTTCTAGACGCTGCACATTATAGTTAGTTTATCCATTGGAAATGAGTTCGTGAATATTTTATGGTCATAATTATACGTTACAGTTTATCACATTAAAATAAATACTGATAAGACTCATACGATAAAGGCAAGTTAAATCCTACACAAAAACTGTAACAAGTATTGAAACATCACACATGTTATAATGGCTTAATATTGTGTTTTAAGTGTTGAAAGTGATGCAATACCGAGACGTTAAATGTAATTTTGACAAAACCACATTTTTCAAAATCACTGTTAACCAAAGATTTAATTACCAATTATTTTTGACCAATCTCTTTTTTTTCTGTTCTGTCGAAACTACTTTTGAACGATTAACAGTTTCTACCGTCCATAACATATAATATTCATAAATACTAGGATAGTATTACTACTATTCAATAGTGATCATACTGAACAATGAATAATGAAATAGCAAAACACGGAGCGCGTTATCCACGAGCGCGGCTGCATGTCGGCGGCCGAGGACTGGCTGCAGCGGCACCTCACGCCGGTAGCCGCCGTGCTATTGGGGCCATTGGCGTTAAAGGTCCTTCTATATGACACTCCCTATTAGTCATTGTGTTGTGCATAAAGTCACTGGTTCGGAAACACACACTTAGTTACATGTACTTACTAGTTGTGATTGCTTTTGTAATTGTTATTATTAATGTAGTGAACAAACCACACCTTAGCTACGATTTGTTTAGTTTTGTAGTTCTTAGTGTTTTTAAGAATATTATCACAGTCAATAAATATAATAATAACAGTTTTTTTTTAAATAAATTTGAAAAAAAAAGTTGTACCTCAGTCGAAATGCGAGTGTATGTTGAAAGCTTGTCATTCGAATTATGTAGTTGTATATATTATGTTAATATATATACGATAATTAATTCTGCAAATATACGATACATAACGGTAAAACATATTTAACGATTACCGCAATGGTTTACATCAAAGGAAAGCAAGCCTTAACTTAAAAAACGTAAATAATGAGAATATTGTGTAAGTTATCAGAGATAAAAATACTGTTTAAGTTTTTGGTTTCTTTTTGTTTTAGAATACTGATATTGCAAAGAAAATTTATGACAAGGGGTGTTTAGAGGCCGCGGAAGAGTGGTTTGACCATAACCTCTTAATTGTAGCCACATCCGCTGTTTGTACCGCTTTTGCACAAGTAAGTTTTTTGTTTGTAGAATGCTTGCAGTATTTTGTTCAGCCGTTGGAAATATCTATTAGTCCTATGATCTTATTTTGACATTGTTATCAAAATTTCCTTTTGGTGTAATTTTTGTAACAATAAACACCTAATATAAATCTGGGCATTGACTGCACGGATGGCGTAGTGGTTTAAGCGGTCGCCACGCCGCTTACCACTACGCTGAGTGTTGTGGGTCCGATCTCCACATGGGACGACACTTTGTGTGATACACAAATTGTCGTTCTGAGTCTTTGTTTTCTTTGTGTCCGTTTCATGCATACTTGTAAAGTGCCCCGCGACGCAGGATATATTCTTAATGCTGGAGTTGTCTTTTTAAAGAGAAAGAGAACATTGTGATATTCACCGTATTGCTAGCTAAAAATACAACCTCTTTCCTAGACAGAGCTGCCTCACTAATGAAGTGCCTAGGTATTTCCAACGACTTTTATGTGTTTAAAATAGGCCATTTCATTGTACCTTTGAAAATTCACTGTCATAGATAAAGTAGAACAATTATGCAGTGGAATTTATAAAGATCGGATTAATAATGTTGTAGTTTCATTGCTTGTAGTTTTTTGTAAATTTACAATTCTTTTTTTAATTTCAATTTTTATGAAATATTTGTCAGTTATTTTGAAACATTTGCACAGACTGCACGGATGGCGTCGTGGTTTAAGCGGCTGCCACGCCGCTTTCTACCGTGCTGAGTGTTGTGAGTTCGATCCACATGGGACAACACTTTGTGTGATCCTCAAATTGTCGTTCTAAGTCTGGGTGTTCCTTGTATCCGTTTCATGTTTGTTTGTAAAGTCTCCCGTACTCAGGATAACTTGAAGAGAAGGAAACCTTAAAACAAACACTATATCAACCCGTCTGGCCAGCGTGGTATAGTAGGCCGAAACCTCCTTTCTAAGGCTCTCCTTAGTACGGGAGACTTAACAAACAAACATGTAACGGATACAAGGAACACCCAGACTTAGAACGACAATTTGAGGATCACACAAAGTGTTGTCCCATGTGGATCGAACTCAGCTTATAACAGTCCACTGCTGGACATAGGCCTCTGCCTATGTCCAGCAGTGGACTGTTATAAGCTGTTGATGATGTTGATGATGACACAGGATATATTTCGAATGCGGGAGTTGTCTTTACAAAAAAAGGTTTTTCCTGCAAAAATGCCTATTATCATATTGAATAATATGTATCTGTTAACAGATTCTAGGCATCTGTTTCGCCCAAAACCTGCGCGCGGACATATTCGCTCAGAAAGCGAAGTGGCACTGACAATCAGCCTCTCCTGCCGCCGTGTGACGCGCCCGCGCACGCGCTCGCACGCCTCGCCCCGCTCGCCCCACACGCTAGTACGTAACTACTCACTATGTCACTATGTCTATGTCACTTTTTGTTGCTAAATTCTACCCATTTCGTAACTCTTGTTGAGTTTTAACAATGTTTGTAGTTTCTAATATTGCAAGTACAGGCTATGCACTATGTTGTTGGGGTATCGTCGTAACTATTATTTTCATGCAAATGGAAACTGATACTGAACTGATAACTAACTTTCCGAACGCCATTGTCAAGTATGTGTGACATAAATCGTAAGTAATGTTGAACGAAAATCTATGCACAATCGACGAATTATATCTGAATTTTCGAGATAATAAAAAAAAACGTGACACTGTGATAAAAAAAAAGATGCTCGTCTGATTTCAATCAACAGTTTCTAGTTAAAAGGCGCTTTGACTTAAATAGGAACCGAAGTATTCGTTGTCACTGTGGAATCTCATAGTAATGTTTGTAAAAAGATCTGATAAATACTAATGAAACCGATTCAGTATACCTGCCTTAAAGGGAAGCAAGCACGATAAATTTTAGTCGGAAGATGATATATTTTATTCACACTATTTTAGCCCGAGCCCCAACACAGCAGTATAAAATCCATTTATTTTCACAATTAATAAAATAAATGTATGTCGTGGAGATGAAATTATTTACACGTTGTTATTACACCATAAGTGCTCATTTTACCATCCCTATGGCTTCGAGAAAAATCTTCTTTCAAAATCTCTTGCACTATACCACTCTTAGAAATACCCACATAATTTGGACAATTCCTTAATATCACTCTTCTTGTAAATACGTTTATATGACGTTGATACTTTGTTATAGGATTATCCAGTATGTGAATGTCCAAAAAGGATGCAGTTAACTTTATAATGTTAGCCTTATTCATACCTAGATATTCTCTTTAGGTTATGATTTAAATTGAACGCAAGTGTGTTTGCTTTCCATTGCTTCATATGTTTTTTACATCTTTAAACTGGCCTCCTAATAATAGGTAATGTATAATGCTGTCGTTTGCTGAACGGCTGAATAATTTTGGAGACTATATAAATGAGTGTTTTATTTAATAACGATATTTATTCAAAAATCTTTGACACTACATTTCGAAATACAAAATAATAATGGTGTCTACTTGATATTGGAAAGTGATTTTAATTTACCAAAAGTAGGTCAATATTATAAAGTTAACTGTATTTTCTAAAGCGATGTGTTCAAATTGGCCAATTAGCCTTAATGGGAGCTGTGAGATGAATTTAATATTGGAATTTACAAGTATTAAAAGATTTAAAAAGTTTGTTTATTCAGACAGCTGTTTAAATATTATTCTTTACTGATGTAAGGGTTGCCACTTATAATGTTATCAGATAAAACAGATCTGACAATTTATTTTAAAATATGGTGCTGGTGCAAGTGGTGACCCTATCGTATTTAATATAGAACGAGTGTGCTTTACATGGCATTCAAGAATGTTAGGCGTGCGTTAGCAGCAGGAGAATAATGGCTGACAATATTTTAAGGTTGGGCCTTGGAATAAGTGGGATTAAGTTGTGAATGAAGCGACTACTTTATGGCAGCACTGTTCTGATTGTCTGACTGTCAGCTTTGTGTAATGCTTACAAGTTTTGCTCTGTCGTATTATAAATGTAGGTCTTATTGTAAGTTAATGCCATTACTTATACAAAAAATCTACTTATTTCTTGACCCAACCGTTATGTATAAGTGTAATTCGTTTTAATATAGATCATATTTTACTATTAACCCAAATTATTAATAAGCAATACTCATTTAGAAGACAAAAAAAAATATACAGATGATTTTACTTAATGATTATAAAAAGTACGTCTTTTAGATATAAAAATATTATGTGTTATATGTAACTTTTGTATTTGTTGAAGCTTTTCTAGGATTTATTAAGCACAAGTTATTTAAAAGATTAATTATAGATTTTATATGTAAGTATGTAGTGGTTTTACAATGATGTTAAAAGTAAAAGTAGACGGATATGTTAAGTCACACCGTCTGGCCAGTGTGGTATACTGGGTTAAAACCTTCTTTCTAAGAAGAGGCCTATGCATAGCAGTTAACTATTAAAGGCGGTTGATGATGATGAAGTCATGCCGAGGCCATGGACCCCGTTCTGAACAGCGTTAAGACGATTGTAACATATGACGTTTCTATAGTGTTGGAGAGCCATGCTTTAACACATTGGCAGGCTCGACCATACCAGGGCCTCATAAAAAACCTATGTTAACCAATTTAACTTTGTTGTATTTTACTGAGTGAGTGAGTATAGGATAATACAACCAACTCCTCCTCCATAATTCTCACAAGGACACACAAAGGTCGGTGACGACTTGTGAATCCTACGTTAAACGTGTCCAAGGGAACGGTTTTCATAATTTACCTTCCGTCCTTCCCCTATACTATAAACACACCCTCCAAAATACCATATCTGGTCGGCTTGTTTCAAAGCGTGAACGTTGTTACGATTTCTAGAGACCTGTTAAGTTTTTCTTTTTACATAGAAGGAAAAAACCTGGGCAAAGGAAAAATGGTATGATATTATGCATAACTCTCGTGTGATGGATATCCTTGTTGAGAAAAACTTTATATTTACGGGCTGGTCATCACGAAATGACGGTTATGTTACATTTCTGTTTCCATCTGTCTATTATTACTTAAAACATAATTAGGTTCTTAAACTATGTGTGTTCTCAAACATTATAATTAAAGTAATCTCACAACAGTATAATTAATATTCCTTTTATATTTCGCAGTACAAAAAATGTATGTATGTAAATTAAAATATTTTTTACTATATTACAATTGTAAATTTTAAAAGCCTTTTGTTCGGAGGGGTACCTTTGTACCAGCAATAGCATTAATAACAAAGTTATAACAAAAAAATAAACAAAGGCAAATTTTCTCTTTCTGTTTCGTTACATGACGCCCAATATATTTTTTTAAATAATAGAGTCAGAAACGAAACAATAAATCAGATCCACCGATTGTCAAACCTTATTATGACGGAAAATATTCTCTTGAAAAGGATATTTTCCGTCATAAAACGCTGAATCATAATCATGAAAGCTGAACTATAGCTTTAAGTATACATTTTTATCTTGCTGATTTTTATTACCTCATTTATTGACTAAAAATTATAACTATTTTCTAAAGATAATATAAATATTATAAGTAAGAATTATTTATAAACTTGATTCTCGTAACACTACTAGCTTTTGCTTATTATATGTATTTATCGGCGTGTGTTAACTAATGCGTTTTATGGTTCTATAATATACTCTGTAAAGTTAAAGTTGTAATAGTTGAAATGACGTGCCCAATTTTAAGTATAAGTTGCCACAGTATAGGAAACTAGTCTTTAAGTAAATATGTACGTACACTTACCGTCACAGAAAACAATAAGATTTATTAAAAATTCGATGATTATTAATTCGGTAATTTATTTTACAGTTTCAAAACTGGCAACTATTACTTATTGTTTTTCTGTCTGTTATTATAACAAATTTTAACGAGTATTACATCACAAATCTCATTAAAAAAATGTATTTTTATTTTTTTGAAAATTGTATTAAAAAAAACTGTATTAAATAAAGTATTGAAGAGTCTGGTGTAGCTTTATGACACCAGATGTTGTAAACTGTCCTTATATTCAAATAGTAGTAATAGTATTTATGTAATTCTAATAATGACTTAAAATTGATATTTTGTATGGAAATATAAGTACGATATACAATGGTCTTTTATTCATTCGATTCGATTAATTCCTTTGTAGGGGGAGTGTTCCAAGGTTGAAATTTAAGTTGTTTGGCTGAAATTGAATTCTATTGAATCCTTTTGTGTGGAAAATTGCTTTTTGGGGAACCTGAGTTTCACCATATCGTGGGCACCAAAAAGGTGTCTCCAACATCAGACTTGCAGGAGAAGTAATATACGAGTAGATCTGCAACTAATTCAACAAACGCTTAGAAAAAATTGTTTGAAATCGTCTTTTATGTAGACTCTATAGTCATAGATCAACACACACAAAAGCAACAATCTCTGTTTTGTCAAATAGTATGATATGATTATGATTGATATGCCTGTGCCGATCTACAACCGCCCGTTGCCAAGGGGTTGAGGCTTATGAGATATTCGATATTCCAGTATACATAGGTGATTATCACATTTAGAGTACTACCTACTGATAATATTTACATACCTCGTATTAGTCAACGAAAATATACAAAATATATACAAAATTAATAGTTAACTAGTTGAATAAAAAATGTTAGCAAAAATATTATAAACAACAACAAAATCATTTTTTCAGTATAAGTGACCTCACCTCTTGTTCGGCTATCGGTATATAGCGTTCCCAAAAACTGACTACACCATTCTGTAAATGTAAGTTATAATAAAAATGCTAAAGAAAAGATTTCACTGCGACAAAATTCGATTACTGGCACGTCGCGTCATATCGAATTTCGTGTGACGCCGATGCGTCGTCATGTCACGTCGAATAGGTTTGCGTCAAGTATCACGTCGCTCGCGTCATTTTTCACGATGGCGAAGCGGCCTTATATGATTGCGTGCCGATAAATACGCAGTTTACATTAATGTTTTGTTTATAAAAAAAAATAGTTTGGACTAAACTTTATAAATACTACTTAAACTCACATATCCTATATTACTCATATAGGATATGTGAGTTTAAGTAGTATTTATAAAGTTTAGTCCAAACTATTTTTTTTTACTCATATTACTCATATAGGATATGTGAGTTTAAGTAGTATTTATAAAGTTTAGTCCAAACTATTTTTTTTTATAAACAAAACATTAATGTAAACTGCGTATTTATCGGCACGTAATCATATAAGGCCGCTTCGAATTAGGTAACAAAAGGCATCTTAACATATTTTCCTCACTAATTTTAGTTC